ATCCTAGGGTCACTCCAAGAGAATCTGGCACTTATTTAATGAGTATAAACATGATCAGTCGCAGGCAGGAGTCCGTGCTTTTGAAGAGTTTAATGTCAATAACTCAAACTTACTCTAAGCACCTACATCTTTCATCATTGGTACGAGCAGCACATGGATGGGGAACAAAAGTGGGAGAGTGGGAAAAGCTAACTTTTGCCTCTTCTGAATTTGAGGTCCTCCACTTACTTTCTGCACATAAGTACATTCCTGAAAGGCACTATTTCAAGAAAGGTTGAGTCTGGAAGTAGGCAACTCCAATGGGTGATATGAAGTGGCAAATTTCTGCCCTGTTGGACCCCTGGGTATTCACACAGGTACTGGGAACAGCAGTATTACTCAACCCTGAGAAGCACAGAGCACTGGCACATGGCTACCCAGCGTTATCGCTACTCCTGACTTACAGAGTCCAAAGGAATCACTTGCATCACTACTATTGTTATCTGGCAAAGCATAAAATTCAGTCACATATTTCAGTTAAAGCACAAACACGACCTTTGAAAGCGGATTTTGAACCACAGCAGTCATACTGTTGTCACAGGAAACTAGTCTCTACTTGTCTTAAGGCAGGTGTTCCTCCTGTTCTTGAGATAAAACCAAACCAAACAAACCCACTAACTTAATCTGTGTCATATCCACAACTGCCATTGCTCTACATTTGTTGGGCACCCTTGTTTCTGACACAGTGAAACAGGTGCTGCTGGCAAAATGAGCACGGCAGCTCCAAGGCAGAATTTCAGAGTCAACCAGATGGAGACTGTAAGAGCACAGGAAGTTTTACAGAAATGGCTCAAGAATAGTTTGCAGTTGGCATGCAGACAGAGCTTGGGGTTTACAGAATACTACACATACATGAAATAAATGTTAAAATGTTGAAACCTTCACAATAAAACTAATACGTCTTTCATTCCATCAAACTGCTTAGATTAGGAAGCAAATCATGCTGAGACAAGATCCCAGTATGTCTTATTTCCAATCCAAACCTCATTTCTGTGGTATTTTATTAGCAAGTGGGGTTTGGGGAGATAATTTTCTGTGGTATAATCTCAAATCAGTTGTAGACAATGTTACATGAAAATTAACATCGTTTCCAAATGAGTCTTCTAAAGGAGAAAGTTGGGTATCTCTACCTATTTTCTACCATCACGTAGATTTGATATTTTTAACAGTAACCGCAGAAGGGTATCATTTTAAATTTAGTCATATAATATTTCTACCATTTTGTATTTAGGGATGCTCTCCTCCACACTTCTGATACATTGTCATGTTTCTCACCAGCACATCTAGGCAACAGTAATCTCCCCCAGCCAAAGGGAAATCTGAACTATCACAAATCTGCAATAGCATTCCTCCACTCCCTCTACACCTCTAGCTTAACTTCTAGCTTTTCCCCTTGAAAGCATTTGAAAGTTTTTAAAACACCCTTCTTTTCTTATTACTCACTAATCTGATGTGTTTCTGTGCTCCCTAACTTCTGACTTGTCCACAGGCAAACTATATTACAATAGTATTATAATACATATTACAGAGAAAATTGCCATTGCAAAACAGACCCTTTCCTACTAACCCTCTTATAACTCTTGGTGAGAATGAGAGGTTTTTGCTGTGCTAATCTTGCAATTTTCATTCTTGCTTGATACCTTCCAGTCCTTTAGCATCACTTTTCCTCAGCACTGTGTAAGTTGTCCAGATTTCACACTACATAACAATACAGCAATATTCTCAGTACCAGGAAAAAGGTCACAAGGGAATTTTCAAGAATAAGGATAAAAAAAATAGCATTATTCCTAACTGGATACTGCATGCCTAATGCTATGCATCCGTTTGCATAATATTACAAGCTATTTTTATTCGCAGCACCCCAGGAAGACTGCAGTAAAATAAGGACTGCAGTTCATCAAGATGTACACAGCTTCCATCAGCCACAGGCAGTGGTGGCAGTAGATCTACTTCACTGGAATTAATAATACAAACTGTAATTGAAGGAGGGAGCACATACAGTTTGGCGTTCAAAATCTTTATAAGTACTCCCATTATGAATGAATCTTGATTTGTATGTTGAATCTTAATTTCTGGCAGCAGGAGAAAATACTGCTTAGGCCACAGAAATGGCTGGAGAAGAAGTACATAAGACCTCAGAGGCATTTCCCTACTGCCTATTCAGAATAGATTTGCTAGTGTATTCTATACATGAGACCTTACTTCCTGCACTTGGGCTTTTGTCAATATTTGCAAAAACAGTCTGCATAAGTGCCCTTGGACTTCTGAATCAGCATGCCTCAAGGCTGCACTGATGTTCTGCCTGCGGCTCAGCCCTAGCCGCACTTCATGCCCTGTGTTGTGCCTTGGGGCAAGGAGCAGTTTTTAGTGTAAGCTTCACATTGCTCAGGGAGAAAGCTTGCAGGGCATCCTTTTGCTCATTCACTCCTGCTCATAGAATTCTTCACCAAAGCACCATCACAGGAACAAAGTGGCTTGCCACACACTGTTGAGTTCTCCCAATAACTTCTTAAACTACTAGAGTAGAAAGGGGAAAACAAGTTTTTCAGCATGCACACACATGAATAGACAGCTTGCGTTTGCACATGTCAAATACATTTTGTATCCTCGTCTTTCTGAATCTCTTTGGGATTTCTTGCAAACACCAACTTGATTCAGTTCAGGCTTTCTGATATTACCAAGATTTATGAATAGCTAATGGGCAAGTGTCCAGAGGATAGGGCCAGTCTTTTTATAGTAGTGCCCAGCAAAGGAAAAAGGGGCAATGGGCACAAACTGGAACACAGGAAGTTCCATAGGAACATGAGAAAGAATTTCTTTGCTTTGAAGCTCTTTCTCTGTCACTGGGACAGGCTGCCCTGAGAGGCTGTGGAGTCTCCTCTGGACATATTCAAGATCCACCTGGACACTTTCAACACACCCTGCTGTACAGAACCTAATTTAGCAGCAGGTGGGACTTGATGATCCCCAGATTTCCCCACAAAACCCTATAATTCTGTGATATTTAAACCCTGCTTGCTTTGTTTTCATTTTGTTGCTAGGTAAGTGAGAAAAGCAGAGTACCAATCTTAACTTTTTGAATAGGTCCTTAAGAAAAGTTCTAAAAACTCATTTATGTGCTCTTACATTTTTATATGATCATAAGGAATGGCTGAGACTTGTTTGCCAACACACAGCAAAGTACGACCTTATCTGTCCCAACCATATTGCAGCAGCTCCTTAGGAGGGTGAGGAAGTATATAAATAATGTTGATTTTTTTTTGCGTTTAGCCTGGACATAACATTTCCTATTCCACCCCTGGCTTTGTTTTGTTCAATAAGGCCAAGAAGTGCTACAGTGGAATTATTTACAGGAATAATGTTATTGAAAATTATATTTCAGTGAAAAGCTTCAGAGCAAGGCAGAGCAAGATAGGGATCTCACAGGTTGAGAGAAAGAGAGTACACAACTTGCTTCAAACCTACTGATGCAATTGTGGTAACGTTAATTGTTCAGAGAAATTAATCATCAAGCTAAACAAAATTTCTTCCCTTTGAAAAGCCTTATTAATTATAGAACGAAGAACATCATCTTAGATTTTGACAGCTGAGTCATCTTCAGAAAGAAAATTAGTCTTTCAAATTTGCCATGACAAATTACGCCGTTTGGAATCAGCTGTCGCTCTCAATGCAGCATAACAATAGTTACTGCATTTGTTCATTTGGAAAGAATGCTAAAACAGTAAAGATATCTGAAGAACTAAAAAATGGTTTGTTTGAAAGAACGTCAGCTTTCAGCTGCAATCAACCACTTCAGTTTACAAGAGAGAAAATAAATCCTCAAACCATTTCAACTCTGCTGAATTATATAAGGAGGGAGATACAGTCTTTAATGAAATTAATACATTAATGTTTCCTGAATCCAATTAGAGTTTAACTTGCAATTTTTGGCCATACTGAATTGTTGTAGGAAATGCAGTAATAGCTTTGACAGGATAGGGATATTTTTGGAATAAATGCTGGAGCTGGAAGAGTCCGAGTGCCACACTTCTAGCTGCTAACAGAAGTTCAGTGGTACAGTTTCATAGCATGATGCTGGCACCACATCATAAGGCCTACTTTTACAAAGTTTAACACAACAAAGCACGTTTCAAAGTGTTCGGTCCTCCACCAGCTCGACAACAAATTGCTTGGATAAATCTTGAAAATGAGCAAGAAAAAAAAAAGCAGGGAGGTAATTGATTTTTTAACAAGTATTTTCTCTCTTTCTCCCCCTATTCTCCCTCTTTCTTCAGCTCGCTGTTGATTATAGCTGTAGAAGTGATGGTTCCTAACATTTACTGGTTACTGGGGGGTTGTTTACTGCAGCAGTCCACGCTTATCCAACACTTCACCAACCCTCCTGCCTCCTTACACAGAGGAATTAACTCCTCATCACCCTTCGGCTTTGGCAAAGCACTTTCAGCTGTAGTTGCTTTTGTGCTATAATTCAGCTGTAGTTTGCAGCTGTAATTTCCTTTAACGCTTATCTCTCCCTGTTTGGATTTTTCTTAGTTTGTTTCAGCGAGGCGCTGTGATTCTGCAGTACTCACACGAGGACTTGAGCAACTCAGAACTAAGTAACAGTAGGCAAGTTCTGACACCGCGATTCATTTACAAGACTCATTTTCCTTACAACACGTAGGTCTTCTGCCAGAAATCGCTTACAAACACGCTGGCAGGGATGAATGAGCGGAAAATACTTATGTATATTCAGGGAACAGCTAGGACAGCACAGAGTGCCGATTACAGCACTAATCCTCCAAGCACAAACAAGAGGATGAGCGGTTTCTCAGCCTACCCCACCCACAGCTTCCTCACCCCCGACACAAGCGGTATAAAGCAGAATCAACGCTCTTAGCGAACAATTTATGCGTCCCATTGGCCCCGCCCCCCGGATCCCGAGCGGCTTCTCATTGGCTGCGGCAGGCGGCGAGCGGGCCGAACGCGGGCGCCGGCGAGGTGACGTCACAGGGGTAGTTCCGCTCGACCCCGCGTTCCGCTGCGGCGGAGGGCAGCTGGAAGCGGTTGGCGGCCGCGCCGCCGCCCCCATCCCCTCCCCCGCGCCCCGCGCTGTCAGGCGGCCCTGGGCAGCGGCGGTGGCAGGAGGAGGGGCAGGGAGCGCGGGCGGCGAACGTACGAAGAGGGCGGAGAGCCTGGAGCCGCGCCTGGGTCAGGTCAGTCCAGCGTCGGCTGGGTCGGAGAGGGGGACGCGGCAGATCCGTGCCGCGGAGGGGACGCCAGGGGCGGGGAGGGAGCTGGCCGGAGGGCAGCGCGGCAGCGCCGTACCGCCGCTCTTCGTGGCTACAGGGATGGGAGCGAGGGCTGCCGGCGCGTCGCTATGTGGAGATCGGGCGCGGCGCCCCCTGCCCCTCGCGCGCGGCCCCCCGGGGCTTTCGAGGAAAGGGCACGGCCTCCTCTACCCTTCCTGCCGGCTTCTCATTGGCTGCGTCTAGCAAGGGGGGCGGGGCCAAGGCGGCCGCGGCGTCACGTGGGCTGCCCCGCCTCGCACCTCGCCTCCTCTGCCCGCTGCGGCCGGGGGCAGCTGGAACCGGTTGGCGGGTGCGAGGTGAGGGCGCGCGCGCGCGGCGGCCGTTGGCGCTGAGGAGAGGGGCGGCCGTGCGCGCGCGGAGCGGGCTGGGCCGTGGGTCGGCGCCGCGCCTTTGTTCGCTCCTTGTAGGCAGCGGCTTATCCCGCCGGGGCGCCCGTGTCGTGCCTCTCTCCGTACGGTTACTCGCACAGAACGTTCTTACCTCTCCGCGTGGTGACGCTGTGCGGAGAGCAGAAGCTGCTCACCGAGTGGGCTCGTCGGCTGAGGGCTCCTGGAGGCGGCGTGCCTTTGTGTCGCTGCGGGACGGCTCTGCGTGCGCTTAGACCCGGCTGAGCGGGGCGGGCTGGCGGTGCCCCCGGCGCCTCGTTACCGCCCCGGAGCGCCCGCTTGGCCGCGGGGACGTGAGCGAGAAACGGAGCGGGCGGTGAGGTTATTGAAATGGTGCCGTTTCTCGTGGCTTTTTTTAAGAACGCGGTGTAAAAAAGCACCGTGGCGTGGCTAAGGTAGAAGAGTCCGCCGCACAGACGCCTCTCCCAATGCCAGCCTGCCTTATCGGTGACATTCCTGCCTTCGGGCCCGCGCAGCGCGTCTGCATCGCCCCTGCGAGTTTGTTTGCTGTCCGCTGCTCGTACTGCAATGCAGCAGGGAGCCGCTGGCTTTGTGGCCGTCCTGTGCGGCGCGTTGTGCGGCTGGCAGAACCCGCTGGCTGTGCGGGAGGACACGGAGGAGTTGGTGCTGTAATACGGTTTGTGAAATTCTCACATAGTTGCTGTCGTCTTCACAAGCATGCCCTCTCACCTTCTGCAATTCTGGTGCTAGCTAGGTATAATAAAATTAAGTAGTGGTAATTGGGTACCGTAAACGTATTTTATAATATTTTGATACCAACAGCAAGCAGCAAAGTCTGTTCTCTGTGTTAAGTTTCAATTGTGTATGAATAGATGCCATGCAAATCTGGGCCGCAATGCCCTGTGCTGACCCCACTCTGACCAGCGTGCACTCAGCTGTCAGACAGCTTGGCTACGATTGCAGCACCCTTCCCCTGCCCTGAGCTGGACCTCTGCCTGGCGCTGATAAGTCTCACCCCTGTGCGCTTTTAAGGTGGAGAGTGTCTGCTTAAAACAAAGGACATACGAAGGTGTGGCATTATGGATCTTGTTCTTTTCTGCGTGTGTGCAAAGCAGCAGCAATATTTTGAAAAATTCAGTATATACTTGCTTTTTGCATTAACCTGCATTGGTTGGTTTGGTGAGAGAACGTGTGCTATTCGTGCGAAGGAGCCTCTTTGTACAGACTGACTGTTCTACAGATAACTAAGCAAATTCAGTGATATAGTGGTTAAAAATATTCTTACTTCAAGGACCAGATGACTTGAGGTATCAAAGTACATTATGGGATTATCATGGTACCTGGCTCTCTAATTTAAATGTTTTCTGTCTAAGCACCTTTGAAAAATCTCGTTAAGTAATATGTAAAAACTTAGATGCCTGGATATATATGTATATATGTAGATATACATATATATATACATATATTAAATTAACCATTAAAAAGCAGCTTTGGCTGTATTTTATCCTTGTGGTGGGGGAAAAAAGTATGTTCTATGTTATCTACTCATCTTTAAATGTAATGTTATTCAGGAGTTTCAGGGCGACAATTTTATGGCAGACCCTTCTACCAGTAGCATCATTTACTGGATAGGGTCTGCAAGGAGAGGTGCAAAAAGGTGTCACACTGTATTTCAAGATAAGGTTGCTTTGCTTTGGCTTTCTCCTTGTTAGCTTGCCAAATACAAATTATCCTCAGTGGATAAAGTCATGGTAAAGGCTCAATGTATCATTTGATCTAGGTCATCTAGCATCTAGGAACTTAAGTTGGTGTAGTTCACAGTTCATCAGATGCGTGAAAGGGAGTGTAGTTTACAGAGCTGGATTCTCCCATTGCTGTGGCAGAACAGCATTTTGCTTCTTTTATCTTGAAGGTTTTTTTCTGAGTTCTTATTTTCAACAGAAGACCTTCATTTGTACCTCGCCCCTCCTGTTATAAAGCTAATGTCGATTTTTCCAGAGAGTTGGTCTGTTTCTTCTCTCTTTCTATTAGGATCATAAAATGGTTTGGAGGACCTTAAAGCCCACAGTGCAGTTCCAACCCCCAGCTGCAGGCAGGGCTGCCCCCCAAAGGTCAGGCTGCTCAGGGCCCCATCTGACCTGGCCTGAAGTGCCTCCAGGGACGGGGCACCACAGCTCTGGGCAGCTGTGCCAGGGCCTGACTGCCCTCTGAGTAAGGCATTTCTTCCTAATGTCTACCCCAAATTTCCCCTCTTTCAGTTTAAAGCCATTCCTCCTTGTCTTCTCACTGTCAGGTCCTGTATAAAGTCAGTCTCCCCTTATGTACTGTAGTGCTGCAGTGAGGTCTCTCCAGACTGAACAAGCCCATCTCCTTCAGCCTGTATTCGTAAGACAGGTGCTCCAGCCCCCTTTGTGACTTCCTCTGGACTCACTCCAACACCTCTTTCCTGAGCTGAGGGCCCCAGGCCTGGACGCAGTTCTCCATATGAGGCCCTGTGAAGGCAGAGCACAGGGAAACAATCCTTTCCCTCTCCCTGCTGCCACTCCTCTGCTATACAGCCCAGGATGCTGTTGGCCTTGTGGTCTCTAAGCACACGCTGCTGGCTCCTATCCAGTTTTTGTCCCCAAGTCCTTCCATGCAGGGCTGCTTGCAGTGAGTTCTCCCTGTGTCTGTACTAGGTCTGGGATTGCCCCAACTTGAGATTTCTATATGTATTTTTCCTGCTACTGCTCACTGTACCTAACTATTCTGCAGCCCTTACAGACATCTCGTGGTTGATAAAGTCAATGTTTTATTCATTCTTTCTTAATGCAGTTGCCTAAAATGGTTCCTGTCTAATACGTGGGTAGGAAAAAAACGTAACATAGAGACTTAGGAGCCTGGAGGCCTCTATGGGAGTGGAAGAGGGTGGAGGAGGAGGAAGATCACGTCATCTTTCAAGCCTATCTAGTTGTCCTGCAGGTGTTAAACTCAGAACCTCTTAATCTCATTGGAGATGTTATTACAAATGTTACTTGAGAGGACATGTCATTTGGCTTTATGAATGCTGTGAATTTCGATCTCTCTAAAATTTGCTCAGTATTTGTAAGCTAGGATATTGTGTTTCAGGATTGTCCCAGATTACTTGGTGTATACTTATATAAGCCTGAAATATTGACTGCAAGATATGGGGTGGAAAACAACCAATATCTTTTGAAATACTTGACTAAGGTGTCTTAGAGCTCTGAGTTCACTAGAAAGCTTAAGGAAGTAAGTGGTGGGGGGGTGTGGTGGCAAGATGCGTCTGCTACTGCTAAAGAGTCGTGAGGGGCTTGATGTGCTCCAGAACCATAAGCCAGAAGGCTCAAATAAACTTCAGACTTGGAATTACTGAACTCCATGTTCTGGTATGTTTTGACTACAACTGAAAATTATTTTGGTCTTCTCCATCCGTGATGACATCCCCAACCTTTGCTACCTCATTTGTAGAGAAAAGCTATATTTTGTGATCCGTTAACAGTTGATTGTATTATGCTAGAAGGGAAGTGCTCAATGTTATGTTTCTCTTCTTCCAAGTGCCTTTAGTGGCTGTTTTTGGTCACTTCCCAAAATGATCCTTCCAGAATGAAGAGAGTTTGCAGACTGTATTTCAGGATATCCATTACCTCCTGCCACTTTTACATTCCTTCAGGTGTCCATGAGGAATATGGAGATGTTTACAGGCTATGTTAGAACAAAGGGTACAATTTCTCTTTTCCATTCAGTGTGCACATTACTGTGCTTGAGGCTTTTGTTGCCTTTCTTGTGGGTGCATGAGGGAAGGTAAGCAGTTCTCTGAAACTGCAAGATGCCTGGTTTCAAGAGAAAACTTTATCTCCTAGCAAGGGAATGAAATTTGCACACAATGACCAGGATATTGATCTTGCCTCTGCCCTGGAAGACTTGCAGATAGCCTATTTTACTGTGGGGTTGACTGATGGGCAGGGTTTTTTGAGTCAGACGGAAGGCGGGTCGGGTCAGTTGGGCTTAAGACTCAGAGTACTGCTGCTGTGCAGTCACCATCTCCTTGGGGAGCCTCCAGAAGCTGTGGAAGGTGAGGTACTGCTTTGCAAAGGGAGGGTGATGAGAGGGAATAGAGCTGTGACATGGTGGGTAAAAAGAACTTGTTTCTCTTGTGAAAGCAAGAATCTCAAGGTGAAGAAAGACGTTTTTGATGTGAAGTGCTGGTAGGATTGAGTGAATGTCTACTGGGTAGGGCTTGTGTGAGTAACTGGCTGAGATTCATTCAAGTGTTCGTTGCTCCCCTGCACAAGGGTTAGCTGCAGTACCCTTAAATCCAGCTACAGGGAGGGGATGGCTCACAGGACAGGAGGCAGTTGTTTGTGCCCCAAGCTGGCGTTGAGTCGTGTGTTTACAGCAGATGTGAATTCAGCTTTCATGGTGTTGAACCCAAAGGTTGTTTATAAACGGTGCTTGTGCACGATTGTAAGTCTATATGGCTGAATTGGTTAATGTTTGCTAATTAGGAAATGTGTAACTTTTTTTTTTCTTATTACAAAGCTGTTCCAACTTACTACGTTTCCCTTGGATGGACAAAAATGACCTTTTTGGGCTTTACCTTCTCCCCAGCAGTTACCTCTGTACACAAGTAGAGGATTTTGCTGTTCCTCCTCACCTTTAGCAAGGTGGTATTGAAGGCTTGAAAGCACGTAGGGTTTAGAACATGGGCTGTCATCTCACTACTGGTCATAGAGTCTGAGTATTTAATCTAGGGTTTCTTGCCTCTAGAGAATAGAACTCTGTCTTCTCAGGAGCAGTCATAGCTGGACAGTGAAACCTTTGTGCTTTATGAAATTACAGCGTTTTTTGTATCATGTTCAAGTACAGAATGACTTGTAGGTGGAAGATGATATACAACAGTTTTGATTTATGATCAAAAAGCAATTTTCTACTGAAATACAGTTGCTGAGTGAACATATGTTATTTCTTCTTCACTGTGCTGGCGTTCAGTGCTCTGCTGGAGTAGGCATTTATTTAAAATGAGAGGCAGTGCCGTAGGCATGAACTGATGCTTGCGCCTGGTGGTGTGAACTGGAGTTTTCTTGTCCTGCTGTGTGTGCCTTGGGCAGGTTGGGAAGGCCTTGGAGATAAAAGGCCTTTTAAGCAGAATTGTGAATACTTTATGAAGTGAATTTATTAAAATTCCTTACAGTTAGTTACTGTTGCATAGAGAAGTAATACTGTTTTGTTAGTCATTTTCTAAAGCTCACAAATATATTCTAAGTAGATAGACAGAATTTTTACAGCACCAAGTAAAATGCTTTATAGATTTGATAACAGAGGTTCAGACTTTCCATAAGAGTGGGTGGATGGTTAATTTGGAGCAGAACAGACGTGCTGGTTTTGGGCTTTGTTTTTGTCAGGCTGAATTTTGAGTCATGTTGCGTGAGCTGTGGAAATAGATCTTATACATACTGAAAGCCTGTTCTTGCTTTAGGGAACTGGGTTCAGGCCTTAGTGACAGCTGCCTGTTTTGTAACTTTTGCCAAATCACTTTTGCCTGCTTCATTTCCCCTTTGGCTCTCTGCAATTAAAGGGTGTCCAAGCAAGGACAGTGTGTGAACCTAGCCAAGGCCCTGAGCCTGTCAGGGTCTTTGTAATAAACACACTGATGGCTTGTAGGTTCTGCTTCAAAGTGAAGCTTTTCTGTCACACAACACCAGTTTTGAAACCGCAGTTTTATTTTTGGCACTGAAATGCTGCATTTTAACCTTCTCCTGTCTATAAATAGCTGCTAAAAATAAGTACTAGAGCGTGTTGCTGTTAATATACATTCCACCTAAAGCAGGCAGTTCCAACCTGCTGCCCAGCACAGCTCCTATTGCCCTGCACGATCATGGCGGTGGCTCTGCCCCACCAAGTGGCCCGGCATGGCTGTGCGCCCATCGCTCACAGCAGCCGCACAGCTGTGTGCTGTTGGTGCTGGCTGGGCTGAAATTGGCCTGCAGGAGGGTGCAGGGCAGTGCTGATTGAGTTTTGGTAAGTGACTGTATGCAGTGTCATGCTTTAGCTGAACACAGGCCTGAACAGCAACAAATATGCAGCTGTGCTTTCTGTTTTGATGAAGGAATGTGAGTATAGATTTCAAGATTGCTGAAAAAATCAAGTTTTTGGTATGTTCATTTGAGAGCAGCTGTTCTCAAGGATGAAGTACAAGAAAAGCAAAATTTCATCAGAAGTCTGACAAGAACTCACTCAGAATTGCAACCCTTTCCATTGAACTGGGCTGTTGCATTAGGTCACAAAAATAAGACCAAATATCCCACTAGTTTTATGTTGTTGTTACCCTCTTTTTATATTTAAAAAAAATATTAAGAACTAAAAAGTTTTGTTACTAATATATATATATTATAAAACACATATGTTAAATGTGGCCCAAGACAATTACTTTTCACTCAGTGCCGCCCAGACAAGCCAAAAGGTTGGACACACATGACCTAGTGATGCAGGCATGACCAAATTCATAGAAGGTGTCTGCTCCTTATGCAGCTTCTGAAGTGTACTTATTTCTAGCATCAGTGCTTTGCACTGATTGTTTACAGCCATGTTACTTGTGAAGCTTAAGTGCAGAATGTGTGGCCTGTGTAGGAGCAAAGTTAGTTATAACTTATATGTACATATAAAAACTGAATCCCAAGACTCTCATGTGTTGCATGATATTGATACTTGCATATGCTGTTTGTTTCAATGGTCTTTTTGTGTGTGTTTCCTCTCTCATAGAATAAGCAAAAGATGTGGTATGGTGTTCCTGAAATGTCATGTTTTCCTCTCTCTCACTATAGGAAATTTCAGCTTTCCTAAGACAAAAATTCTGCAAGTATGACCTCATCTCAAGTGACTTTTGAAGTGAGAGGACCGTCAGTACCAGGTAACACAGTCATGCCCACCACAAACTTTCCTTTTGCTATTGTAGAACTGGAAGAAAACCGATTACAAGACCATTCAAAGGCTCTTTTTGTTTTCTTCAGGACTAAAGGAACATGTCAGTTCTAGTATTAAAGTAACTTATTGTAAAATACCTTAAGAAATAAATTTTGCACAGAAATACAAACAATTTCATGCAACAATTTTGTTGCTCGCTCAAATAGTTATGGTACTTTAGAATTAGCATTCTGTCTTTAGTAGCTTCTTACTCAATTAGGAGTATTTACATTCTGGGCTGTGATAGTTAAGCATGTGTTGATGTGTTTATTCTATTTTATTGCTCATTGTCCCTGCTGAAAGCTCTGTGTAATGAGGTGTGACCTCTGTTAGGTGCTAAGGGCAGAAAGACACTACAGCTGAATTCAATATTACACCTTACATATTTCAAAAGAAAAAGCTGACAATCCTTCAGGTGATACCAACAGAGTCACTTGTTCCTAATTTAGCTTTGTATAAATTTTATCCTGTAGGATGCCTCACATCTTGAAGCAGGAGGTTTTGGCTGATGTTGTATTTCTGCCTAATGTTACAACACATCGTTTTGTTTGTAAAAAAGCACCTTAGAAATAAATTGATAAGATCCACGTCTCAGTAGCATTTGGTAACAGAAAGTTGTGTTAGGTTCAAGTCCCCGCTTAATTCACAGAGTAAATACTGATAACAACTTTGCTTTCTGTTTTCAGCAAAATTTCCTGGCTTTTGGAAAAGAACAATGTTTGGTTTTTTATTTATTATTGACCTTGTAAACGTCTCTAAGCTCTGCTGCAGTTCTTACTGAGAACCAGTCTGAGCTTAAAAGTGTTTGCAGTTCCTTACAGTATAGAAGTATTTCTGTAGCAGTTCTAGATTTTCTGCGGGGTCCCTCCTGTTTCAGCTGTGTTCTTAGAAATGGAGAATCATCTAATCTAACCCAGAGCCTATGCTTGACTTGGGGAATTAAAATGTTTCATGCTTTATTATTACAAGTATTTGTTAAATATGTAGAACTTTTTGTCACACTTTGCTTTGTTATAATGAGGAAAACTTATTTTTTTTGTGTAATATAATTTCATGTTCTGCTGAGATGTGTAAATAGTTCTATTCTTCCTCCTCTATTATTACCTTGCGTTTATCAATCCCACATGAGATCTTGTATCACCTACCTACCCACGTTTGTTATACTGTCATGATGTAAAAATCAGCTGTATGGAACTATTGCTATCTAGACATAATCATAACAAAGCTGGAAATCTTTGTTTTCCATTCCCCAAACCACGCATCAAACACCGGGTTCAGCATAGCATAACATTTCCTTTTTCTTTTATTAAAGTGGGTAGAAGTTCTTGAGAGGATAAGTGACTTCATTTCATTAAATGTTTCAGTCAAAGGTCTTTGGTTATAACCATCTGAAGGGTAGTACAGCACTGATGCAGGTGTCCTGTAGGGGTTAAGAGCTGGAAGGTGCTGTAGTCCCTGTGTTAGTGAGAACACTTTTGAAATGGATGTAAGATTAAATTGTGATATTGTCATCTTAGCTCTTCAGAGCAGATGTGTCCATTCAGTGGCTCCCTTATATACCTCCCTTTTTACCCCTATATCTGTAGTGATTAACTAGTTGATACTGACATTGAAATCCAGCATCAACTTATTTTATATGTTGCTAGTGTTAGATGTTCTCCAAGAACAGTACTACAGAAGCTTTATTTCTGTGCAAGCCAGTTGCAGATGTGGTTCTTACTGCTAAAAATATAACTTAGTTATCAAAGCCATTTGTCTAAAGTGTGTAAAATCACTTCCGTAATCTAAATGAGAAACGCAAGTTACCAGATCATATGTAAGACCAAGATTTAGTAATGATAAATTGTGATTATTATTTTGACCTTCATCTTCAGGAACTTGGAAACTAACAACAAGAATAACTTGTAGTTAATTAACAGAAGCAGCTGAATGTAGTAGTACATATGAGTGGCCAAAAATGCTATTACAGGTAAATAGTCTAGATGGCATAGCTGTTGTAGCTGGGGGTAAAACTTAAAAAGTTGTGACATCTTTGCTGTGTTAGATCTCCTGCATTTCTGCCAGTGTTGTTGATAGTTGGGGGAACTGAATGTTGACACATGATGTGAATGTGGAGTCTTTGGTGAGGGGAAATGTTTTTCTTAGCACTATAGAGAAAAATTGAAAATAATCAATAGACCTTGGATTAGATGAGACTAAAGCACGAGTGTAGCTATCCAAGAGTGTTGCAATGCTCTCTTTGCCTTCTTTACAGTGGTATTTTCACTGTTGTGGTGGTGCTGACACTAGCAAAATTGACTTTGGATGTGTAACTCTGTTTTGCTGGTGACAGCTTCAACAAAAGTTAGGGGCAGTGAGAAATAGATTCTGCCCCAGTAGTTGCTTGCTAAGAGTGACTTGTAAATGCTTATACTGATAACACAAAGAGGTGATGGGAGGTTGCTTATTGACAGTATTAATACTGTTGGTTTTGGCCAGGGCAGCAAGCTTTGAAGAGGCAGCAGTGGCAAGATGCAGCCTTGTGAAATAGGTGTTTCCAGGGTTATAAGCAGCTCTGTGAAAGACAGCATTTCCAGTTCATTTAGAAACAGACAGTACTGAGTTTCAGGTTGCCGTGGTGAGTAGTTGGTGAGCACCTGAGTGCTGAAATGCTGTGTCTGCGTCACTCAATTTCCCTGCTGATATCACTGGTTCCAGCTAAAGGGTAAAAGGGCATCCAGCCTAGGAATAGTGCCTTATCTCATTCTAGTCAGACCACTTCTGGAACCAGCCCTGCTGATGGAGCGTACACAGTGGCATAAGCTCATGGCATCAAGTGCTTCAGTTTTACTTCATCGTAGTGGGAGAAGACTGTCACTGGTGTGACTCGTGTAGGTCTTCACTGCAGCTGTCCCTTAGCAGGATGATCAAAGATAAGCTAAAGTGAAGTAAAGAAACAACAAACCCAAACTCACAGGGTTTAGAATTGCCTTTGAAAAGACGAGTCCACTTTCTGTATTTCTCTTGTACCTTTCTTTGAATAATTTGATCAGAATTTTACTAATCTTGGTGCAGGCATTCAGTGTAATTGCAAAGTGAGTAAAGGTGTGCCTGTATCTCGTTTCAGTGTTGGCTTTTATGTGTTGTACCTTGCTGTGAGAATTCACCAGATGTTCAGGTTGCTGGATTTTTGTTTTTAAAGAAGACTGAAAAGCTACTGTAGCTGGATGTTACTAAGAGGAATGTAACTTAGATTGTGCTTAAGAGATCGGCTGTTATTTGCACAGAGGTGTACTGAATGCTGCTGTTTCAAAGGAATATCAAAAGAGGAAAATTAACTGTTTAACATCTCCAGTCAGAAACTGTTAACTGTGTGGTATTCAAATGGCCTTCCCTTCTTCCTTCACCTCCCTCTTGTAGTTGGGGAAAAAAAAAAAAAGACACTGTACTGTGCCATAGAAGAGTGAAAAAGGTGAAAAACTTCATGTGCAATGCAATGACTTACACTATAAATATCACTCAAATCTTGTCTACATTTGTATACTCGGAGCAAGCATGCAAAAGGCTGATTATTTTTTTAAAGTGAATTGGAATAGAAAATTCTTATTTAGAAAACAAAAAGCTGCAGTTAATGATGATCTCAAATTATTTCATTTAGCAGTTTTTAAGATAAAATTCTTTCCATTTGTCACTTATGTGTCTACAGTGGCCTTGTCCATAAATGAACCTCTTCTTAAATTAGATTAACCTGTACAGCTGGAAAAAAATAAACTTATGTTAGAGGTCTGAGTAAATCCTCAGAGCTCTTATTTCAGACCTGAAGTTCCAGCTATGATATTTGGCTTAATAGAAGATAGCATGTCTTTGTTGCACACACCTTGCACTTTGGGACTTCAGATTATTGCAGCTCCAGTGTCAGAATGACTGCTTTCCTAGAGTGAGAATGTGAAATCGCGATCAGAGACACTTTCATCTCACTTCAGTTAAGATTGGTACTTGTTTCTCTGAGGCTGCTCACTTATACATTTGTTCCTTGCTTTTCCTGTTGGTGAAGCATGCAAGCTCTTGATACTCTCCCCTTTTTTCTCAAATCCTAGGCTACACCATAACTTCAGCTGAATGTCTTCATCTGCTTTTCACATGTAGATGTCATTCAGATACTGAAGTACTTTTTTTAAAATTACGCTTCAATATATAAGTGGTTCCAGTGCTTTGGTTGTTCTTACACTGCAGAGGAAGACTAAAAGGTTCAGCAGATGGTGAATAAGTGTAACAACTTCACATTTCCTCCTCCTGTAACAGATTGTTCTTGTGTATAATAATGCTGTTGTAACCCTGTAAAAAGCAAAATACTGATTTGTCCTTTCCTGTTGTATTTATCCTTGTTCTTATAGTCCTGCATGTTGCTTTTCTATTAAAAAACAAAACAAAACAGGATAAATTGCAATGTTAGCTTTTATCTCTTGGATTCCCTAGAATTGAGCATTCTTACACTATTGTGGTCTTTTCTGTTCTTTCAGTGTGGTGTAATATATATTAAAGTGTGATGATTTAATACTTCTTGCATGGAAACCTCATTTTTATATCCAATAAAAACTTTAAAACATGGTAATTTTATTTCACACAGGAATTATGCTGTATTTTTGCCTTGGGAATGATGCTATTACCCTCCTGTTTTATCTCCTTCTGAATTTTAGGAAATTACTGTTTTTTGATGTGTTAGTACATGTATGTGCTTACACATCTGTGATTATATGCATATATACATATTATATACGTGTGTGTGTGTGTATATGACCATTTCATTTTTACAAAAGACATTTCCCAGTGAAAACTTGCCCTTTGCATTTCCAAAGACTTATTCAAACAATGTTTATGTAGGAAAATTTGGATGCCAACCGTCTTAGGAGTTTGGGTTGTTTGTAGTGCCTCTCAGCGATATCTTTGCGATGGAAGTGAAAACACTGTTGTAATTCTGAGTGGGAGGGGATAAGAGTCTTTGGAACCAAAAAGTTTGGATGGGTGGGCCTGCTGTACACATTAAAATTATTCAAATATTTAACTATATAGACTATACATAGTAGTTCCATGTAGGCTGGAGTTATGATAACCATGTTTTTAATTTGGTCTGTTCACTTTCAGGGGAGGTTTTTGCGATATGTGGGAGCTGCAGTGCTTTAGGAAGTTGGAATCCACAAGCTGCAGTGGTCCTCCAGACTGATGACTGGTAGGTTGTTTTTTCTTTAGAAATCTAGAGCAACAAATTGATTCTGGTTCTGAGTTTGTCAACTGTCAGGCTACATAGGAATGTGTTAAAGAGAGTGTTTAACTTTGATATGTGTTCATATGAAAATGAGCTTATATGAAGACAGTCTGGCACTTCAGAGGAGTTCAGTATTTTCTTAAAATGATACTCTTACCTGCTGTTATTTGTCCATGTGATGCAGGAAATAGGGTTATAAGATGTAATTCTGTCAGTGACTTCATATGTGATGCTGGATGAATTCCTGGATGATATCGTCATGTTTTCGCTATCTGTTAAATGAGCATGAGAGGTCTTGCTCCTGTAGAGCTCTTCAGATCTGAGATCCAAAAGTGCAGTTTCTGTTCTAAGTATGCCTTCTGAAAAACTTTCTTGTAGCAATACACACTGTTTCATTTAGAATGGAGAATGACTGAACTAAAGTAGTAATAATGAGTCAGAGTACGAAGTAACCTGTGAAGAGCATTAAGCATCACCAACTGTTTTGAATACCATAGTGCAAAGTCAGTTTTCTCATCAAAGTTGCAAAAAATACCGGTTTATTTGCATGAGTGTTACTTCTATGCTATTTCTAGGATAGACTATTGTCCTAATTTAAAACAACAAAAAAACACCTGAGAAGCTACAAGTGTACTTGGTAAGGAAAGCTGTATTTCAAACAAATGTTTTCTGTCTTTATTAATAAACCATTTTTTTTTTAAGATGACAGTAGTGCTTTTATGCTAAAACAGTGTTCAGAATGTTGGATCAAACATCAGAGAGCTGAAAAGAATAAGTTTTTTGAACTTATTATTTTCACAGTGAATTATGGAAAGCTACTATAGAGCTTCCTAGAGGAGTTCCTGTTAAGTATCGATATTTTAAAGGGTACTTCTTAGAACCTAAGGTATGTACAACCTTTTCTGATTTAATTTGGCTCATTTTTCTGTGAAAAATGTCTTCATTTGGAGAAAAAAGAATTTTCTGAGTTAAATCTCAGATTATAGAAAACTGTTAAATTGCAACACATGAAACATCAAAATACTTATGGAAATGCAAGCAACTCACTTCAGGAAATACCAAACTGCTTTTGGTTAACTTTGTTTTAGTGAAAACACCTTTTGTCTTTATCTGCTCTTAGTGCTTTTTGAAAGTATCAAGGATAGTGAAATGTCTGAGACTGTTGTAATAGCTGCAGCAGTATGAGAAAGTTTTACTGGATGTAGCAGGGCTATAACAACTTTTACACTAGCATGAAAACAAGCAATAGCAGGAGAAAGTGTGAGCAGGTTTTACCTTACTACAGCCTTAAAATTTAACTGCGGATCTTTGGTGAATTGTGAGATGGATTAACTTGCTGTTGTGCTGTGTAATTAACACATTTATCTCTTGGAGAAGATAGATGGGGCATCACAGTGTTTTCTCTAAGTTTGTATAGGTATTTATACAGTGTTCAAGGCTAGGCTGGATGGAACTTTAAACAGCGTGTTCTTTAGTGGAAGGTCCCAGCTCATGGCAGGAGAGTTGGAATCAGATCCCTTTGATTCTGTGATTTGCATGGCTTGAGAGACACTGATGTGTTATTATGGGTATGGATGTCCAAGCTGAGTGTGAGTTGAACGTTTGGGGCAGTATACTGGTCTGTAGATAAGATAATTGGATGGAGCTCTTTCATCTTCAGATTAATGATGAGACTGAACGGTGTCCAGAAAAAATGTCAGACTAATTTGGAAAAATAAGCAACTATTTTTCAGCTGTTTTCTTTAAAATTAATAATAACTGTAATAAACATATATATATCTTTGCTGTCTTGCTTACTCTGTGAATGTCTCATAGGTGTTTACCTTGAACTTTAGTTTTTGTTTGAAATCAGGTTTTTGACTGCTAAGCTGAATGTGCAAAGGAGTTATAGGATTATCTGGTTTGTTGTTTTGTTTTTTATATTTTAAATTACTGTCAAGACTGTATGAGGTCAGCTAGACTCAGTTTACTTCTACTGAAAAAGTATTTGACAGAGGAATCATGGAAGTGCTCAGTGAGGGGTACTGTTTTGAAACGAGGCATGAGACTGCTCTGCTTTTTATTACATACATACAGCAGTATAATCTGAAAGTCATGCTTTTGTTGTTGCTTTGGGGAACAGAAGGGAAGGTCAGTAATAGTTGTTTGTTGTGTTTAATTTTTGAAGCTGAAAGTAGATTTGTCTTTCATGATTTACCAGCTATGATGGGACTCTTCTGTTTCTTGTAAATGCCCTTAAGTTTAAAAGGTAAACAATACCACATTAAAAAGTACACTTAGTGAGAGCAAATTTGGCGGAAAATGTGCTCATAGACAAAGTTTGCTTTAACATTTGAAAAAGTTTACAATATGTATTGGTGAGTTTGTTTCTTTAAGTAGGTGCTCTGTATCGTGCACACTTTTTGTACCGTGTGATGCAGAGTCTGCCAAGGTAAGTATGAATTTTATGGAATAACAGCATAAAGAGCCACTGTATATAAAAAGGAAGCCGAAAGACCCTACAAAAGCCAAATACGCGAATTGCCTGGGTACGTGGTTATCCACTTAGCAGTCTCTAACCTGTACCCATTAAGTGTGCAGTACCACAGGACTTCATTTTGTAAGAAATAGTCTTCTGAAGCTGGTTCTTCTGCCCCTCTGTTTTCTTTCTACATATATAGATATAGATGTACGTAGTTTTTTTTGCAGAACTATAAAAACCAGGGTCTCTTAATTCCAAAAGGAATGTAATACACAACACAGTGCACGTAATACAGTCTGTGATTACTTCATCATTAAGGATAAGGATAAAATGCTTCTAAATGAAATTATTCTGAATGTTTATTTCAGTAAATGTGTTTTATTAAACACAGCATGTGATTAATTTCTCAAGCTTGCTATATGTGGTCCTTCAGACCCTGTTAACATTTTGTGAGTGCAATTGTATGTCATGGTCTGTAGTTGGACACCTTTAATCTATGTCTAGTTTTAATTACATGAATGTGAATTTGACACTAGGTAACTGAGTCACTGATTCTGAAATGCAGATCCAGTTCCAATTACTGTCCCCTTTGATTCCTTAAGAACTGCGTCCTTGAAGATGCTTGACATGAAGAATCACACTGACATGGGTGCATGTTGGCAAAGTGGAAATGATGCATGTTTACACAGAAATGATCTCAGACTAGATGTGAAAATGCATATGACTTGTGTTTTGGAGTTGTAAAAATGGGGAAAGTATTTTTCTCATCTCCTTTTAAGAAGTAGTCCTTGATTAGGTATGTTCTGTCAGTTATTTTGCTTGAAGGTTAGCACAATGTTGTGGGAAGTTTTGTTGCTTTGCATTGAAACATTTTGATGTTAACATGATAATGGCTATATAGTCAGAGTATCATTTTATACTCAATACAGAAATGTATAGACTATTTTAGGAGTCCTTATATGAATATATACACAAAGGATATTTTACTGTAGAATTGGTACAAGTCTTGATTCCTAAATACCAAGAGCTTTTAATGTTATAACTATTTTAATGATATGAGTAATCCTAATATTTTATTTTTTTAAGTAAATAAGTGCATTGGATAAAACAAGACAGTAATTTAAATTGCTTTGCTCACATTTTTGTCTCAAAATATAGTCCAGTACCAGTTACCTTACTGTAACAATTTTCCTATCTTATTTTATATATACTTTCTGTCTGACTGGGGAGGGGAACCACCTGCATACCTTGTTTCAAATTTAAATCTAGGGTATGTTATGCATTTTAGGATAATTTTTGATAGATACTGTTTGCATGATTCATGTTTGAAAACCTTAGTAAAGTAAACACAAACAGTATTCTGTTCAACAGTGTTCTATCACAGTAAGTAATCATGCAAGTTCAGGGTTATTTCCTTGAAGGAAAGTGAGAAATAGCTATCTGCCTGTATAGGGAAACTTTTAAGATTGTGTTGGTGAACATGTTCCATAATTCAGTATTGCTTGATGGAAGATATTTCACATGAGACCTACTAGCTTTTCTAAAACTTAGTAGGTCAAGTCCATGTAGTGCTTGCAGTACAGTAACCAGGGTGAAAGATAGGTCCAGGCTCAGTAATTTCTGATAGCCAAGTGCCTCAGAAGACCTCTTGCCAGATGATTAACCCATGGTTAACCAGTTGGTGACAAAGGAGCACTGCTGCTAGGACTGACCTGAGGTGGAAGATTTTGTGTTAAATTATTTGAGCTATAGGATATCTAGTTGGCCTAAGATGTTGTGGCAGGTGATGTGAAGACACAGTTGCCTTGTGAAGTTAGTGACAATGGCTGTAAAGCTTTGGTTGTTTGGTTTTGTGCCTAATTGTCGTGTGTTCAATAGTTGAGAAATCTGGAGATACAGCATTGGGAGAATAAGACTAATTTGTTTGTAATTTCGTTTTCTTGAATTAGATTAGCATCCTTGAAAAACAGTTTTAAGAAGTTTAGCCATAAAGTGCATCTTGTTAAATGTTCTGATCTCCTTTGTGGCTTTATTTTGTTCTGTTCTATCATCTTGTTTTTCTTAATGTCTACTCTGTTGTGTAGTCTTGGATCAGGAATCTTAGAACTGGCCTCCTAAATTTTCATTAAATAAAAGTAACTATTTTAAAAACAAAAGGCAAATGAATTTGCTATTTTATTTTCTAAATGTGTTAATAGATAGCCCTTGCCATACATTGCTGCTCTGTGTAATGTCAGTGTACAGCCCACAGGGATGTTTGAAGTGACACCTGGGGACATGTCATTTAAGCTACTGCTTGGACAACCTGACTTCTCAGATACCATATTCATACTGTGAATACTGATGACACATCATTAACTTCTGCTGTACTGTTGTTCAGATGTCATTGTATGTAATTGGAATTGCATCACTACTCTAACCTCACTTTAACCGTGACTTCTGTTGGGTGTAATTAAAACATCTTAGAGGCGTTTCAGTAAATTGCAGCTAAGCACCAAGTCTGAGCAGGGACTGTGAGAGGGCGCGGACGTGTCTGTGCCCATTCATTACCTGCTTGCTAGGCTTCTCTTATATGGAAAGTATTGTGGGATTAAATGTGTAGCCATCCCATTGTATGCCTTTCAGGGATTGAAATTTAGTGATCTGCATCCAGTGTGTTGTGCTTGTTCTGGAAATAATATTACTCAAATTCTCTTCCATAATTTTAGTGCCTAAAAGTTAAATGTGGAATTACATTAGTGTATTTTATCCTTTCAGCTGGCATATTTTAGTGCAATATCAGGGTTGCTTCTACAAGTAGAAACCTTTGCCTGCCTTCTGTAGGAAACAGCCTAATGCGTGTGAGGGCAGGTTTGTGTTCCCCAGCATTGCAGACTGCAAACTCTGCAGTTGTTCATGGGAGCTGCTGCTGGAGAGCAGCACACAGTGTTAGGAAACTTTAGTAGTTAGGAAATGTTGGCAAACAAAGGCTTCAGTTTTGGAAATGGAGATTGCAATGTACAAAGGTCAGTCTGTGAAAAATGGGGGAAGAAACTTGTTACAACTCCATAGGAAGTTATATTTATATATATATATAGGAAGTTATTAATTCCAAGGGGAGTTAATACTGCCCCATAACTGGAATAAACTGAGAACAATGGTGTCATCTTATTTATAATTACATGAATCATGTCCTTTGAGCAAAACTTTAAACATTTGCATTTTATTTGGATTTGATTTGGATTTGATTCTGAATTTGGTAGAAAATTTGGTCAGGTTAAAAGCATTTGATATAGAGCAAGAAATCCCATCAGCTGCTTAAGAATTAAGTGTGCTGTAAGATAGATCTAGGTATTGGAATGCTTTGTGGAGTTTGAAGCTTGTCTGGATGTGCCTCTTGAGCTGAAATCTGTTGAAGCAAGAACCTGCAGTACTGGGAGAAGTTGGCATCAAAGTGGGCATGAGTGAAGCGGACAGTGGTAGCTAGTCTTTCTGGAAATAAGAGTTCCTAGGCCCTGTCCATCTAAAGGACAAATGCAGCTGTTTGACAGCAGTTTTTACTGATAGGAACAACCATGCAATGTTAGGGGAAACAAACTTGCTAGGGTGACTGAACTGGAAATCAGGATGTTCTTCCTGTCAATAGCCATTGGCTACATTAAGGTTTTAATCTAGAAAGCATTTAGAAATTTAATAAATCTACACTAGTCAAGAAAAGAGTAATTTTTTTGTAAAGTAGCCAAATTTATTCTGCTTCAAACATGGACCTGCAGGGGGCTTCATTGCTGGTCAATAGCACAGTATCAGTGTATCAGTATCAGAACTGAGCCAGCAACTTCTAACTGATGAGCAGATTCACTGTTTCAAACTGTGAAGATGGAGCTTATATGGATTCTGTTTATGAACTGTAGTAGAAGAAAACAAAACTCACCTGATGAGTTCACACACTATTTTGGTTGTTCTTTTTGTATCCAAAGGAGACTATGGTAGTCCAGAATAATAGTTATAAGCAGTAAAGTTCTGTCTAACGTCACCACTCTGTCGGACTTTTGACAAGTTTTGTTGTATGTAGTGTGACCTGACTTAGCAGATAGCGGCAGTAGCAGCAGCAGTTACAAGGGATAAGAGCCAAGCTAACCTATTTTTCCTTTATTTCATTCTCTCTCTCTCTCTCTCTCACTCTCCTAGTCCTTTTAAATCTGTAATTTAAGTTCACAACCATCCCAAAGAGCTTCGTGGGTAGAAAATCAGATATAACAAAAGAAATTATTGTAGACATTTAACTTTTAAATTACAGACTATCGATGGTCCCTGCGAAGTCATAGTTCACACGTGGGAGACTCATCTACAACCACGATCAATTACCCCTTTAGGTATGGGCATAAACTGCATCTGTTTGAGGCATATGCATAAGATTGCTAATATGCTGCACATTGGTTTAGAGGGATTGATAATTATAGATATAAAATAGTTAAATTTATTAATGTTTTGGAGGTATAAACTTTTCTTTGAACAACATGGACCTTACTCTCAAAAAAAAACCAACCCCATCTATCTATCTGTATATATATGAATCAGTGACTTAAAAATGAAGTGGGTGTGGAATTCTTTGCTGCCATCCCTAAGATGATGTGGCCTGTTTTTTTTTTTAACTTGAATGTAATCCTTTTTTTCTAAGCTTAATTCTTTGAGACTAAGGATCCATTTTTTTTTTTAAAGTATTTTTTTTCCCTCCCAGAGAATGTGGGGAGGGGGAGGGCATGAATTCATTATTGGTTTTGTTTAAATACTGTATCACTAGTAAAAATTTAATGCAAACAAACAAACAAAAAAATTAGGCTTCTTTAAATAAGTAAAATTAATGTAATGAATTTATATGGCTAATTTATATGGCAATTTAGCAAAGAAAGTTGTTTTGCTGGAAGCAAGAATGGCATGCGGACGTGCATACAAGTTCCTAATGCTTTTCTAAGGTGGGAGAATTTGGGTGTTTTGATGGTTTAAGTGATAACCTTTGACTGTAGCTTGTAATTTAGATCTAATGCTGCTTAGAATGGCATGTTCTATGCATTGTTCCTTTTAGAACGTGAGAAATGTTATTTTCTCCCCACCTCTCCACGCAGAGTATTTGTCTGTTATATATTTTCTGATTCATTGAAAAAAAATACATCTTTTATGAAGAAGATGATATTAAAGAAACTTAATAATGCATGATCGATCACTGTCTTTTTTTGTATAATTTCTATTGAATTAATGCAGCTAAGTGTTTGTATTCCTGTAACAAGTTATTTCTGTATTTTTCAGTAATTAATTAGGGAAGCAGTCTGCCCTCTTCTAGGGTTTATGCTTTATCTCTAAATTCAGATAATTCCATTCCGTACAATTAGGATTTTTTTTTTTCCAAGTAATACTCAATACTTTTTGTCTCTTTAGTAAATGAATTAATGTCAAAAACATTTTCTGCACATTTCTATGGTTAGGATGCTTAATACTTCAATGGAACATGAAGCTAAAATAAAATTGAGTCATAGAAGTTAGATCTCCCATGTCTCCATGAAAATAGAGGCTTTCTTCCTGAGCAGTCTTTAAGAAAATGCAGCAATACCAGGATGTTAGCTTTTGGTTATTATGAACCTAAATTGGTTGATAGTTAGTAAAAATGGAGCATGAAATTATGATTCCTCCTAGGAAAAAGTCAGGGTTAATGGCTGTAGCAACAAGATTTTATTGAGTCTTGTGAGAAACTCATAGCTTGTGTATGCTACTGCAATTCTGTTAATGCTGGTGAATTCACCCAGTGCCTGAAGATTTCGGCTATTAAAACTTCAGAGAGTGGAAGGATAAAAGTAACTGAAATGAGTATTTTGATTATTTCATCCTAGAATAGGTCTCTGTCATTGGACAGAATAAGCATTTTGATTGTGCCTAACTCGAGTAATAAGCTTTAACTGTAAATGTGCAGGAGAACAGCTTTCTTGTATGTTTGCAAGAAATTATAAGGGCTTGGACACTACCAAGAAAATCACTGTAGCTTCTAGTAGGATGTAGATGTCTGCAGACTATTACAGCAAGCTGAAATTATGCAGCTTTCCTGATTTTTATTTTTTTTTCTGAGTTCAGATTAGTTCAGGCAAAGCACAAATCTTAGGGCATTTTTTTGGCTTGATGGGTTTTTCTTGCAGAATGAAATAAAATGCATGAAGTTGGAAAAAACTTAATAGAAGGTTGCAATAAACATGCTTATTTTTTTCTGCTTCAATTTTTGTACTTTTTATTAGGCTCTTTAGAAACAAAGTGGAAAAGTAGAATTTAGCTTGGCAACAATTCCTGCTGGCATTAATACTGATTAGTGTCTTCCATTCTCTTTGTCCCCTCGTTTCAATTCTAGAAAATGAAATGACCATTGACGATGGATACTTCGGAATTCATAGTAAGTGAAATATATTGATCTTTACCATGTTTTTAACTTTGACAAGGTTAAGCATTTGTAGTTGAAAAACATGGTGAAATACTTAGTTTTAGACATGAATTTTCTGCTTTGTTGAAAGAAGAGCTAAAGACTGTCAGCATACTGGTGTTGGATAACTCTAGGCTGTGTGTATGTGAATAGGCTGCTGCTGCTACTTGCCTTCTCTTTAAAAATAACTGTAAAAAGAGCTCTAGATAGACATGATCTGCCTCTGGTTGTGCATGTAACTGCCAAAATTTCTCAAGTTCAAATGTCATGCTCTTGTGTGTGCATGTGTTGCTTTTGCAGTTAAAACCTACTTCTCAATTAATGCTCTGTCCCTTGACGTCTGTGTTAACTCTGTTATGTCTTATACGTTTTGTCTCAAAGCTTTTCTATTTTCTTTCACATCCCTAACAGAGGTAGTGTTTTGTTAGGAACTCTTCAAAACTATGGCATCTACTTTGATGCTTGGTCTGGCAGCTTGTGCTTCCTGGCCATCCTCCTTTGTAGACTTTCCTTCTCCTGATGGTGAGGTTGAGGATTCCCCTCTGTGCTTTTTCCCCATCATATTTGTTACTATATTCTGTCCTCCAGTCTTATGCTGCTTTACTGGCCTTGCTTGTGATGATATTTCTATGTCAGTTGAAACAAAAAGTTTTGAATTGCTTTTGAACTTGCATTTTCTGTCAGTGGTGATTCATGTACTGAGAAATCCCAGGACGTGGGACTGTTTTGTATACCTCTGGAGACATAGTTGTTGATATTCTAAATACAATTGATACCAAAACACTTGGTGCTTTCCTTCGGACAGTTTCCATGGGAAGTTGGTGTGGATCGGTGTTCCTATTTGTGTCCTTTAAAAAACAGTGAAGTGCTACATATCTGTTGCCTGTTCTAGGTATCTTGGAAAAGACAGGTGAAAGGATGTACTCAGCAATTGCTTTGGAAATACTATTGAATAAAGCTGATAGAGGAGGATTGGCTGGAAGATGGTGCCAGAGGAACTGTGTTTATATTTAACTATCTAGGTTCTCCTTTAGAAATTAAAGAAGCTTTTAAGGTGCCTTTCTAATGGTTGTTGCTCAATTCTTAACAGATGGCATTGAAACAGTGGATGCTGGGTGGCTGACCTGTCAAACAGAAATACGATTACGTCTGCATTATTCTGAGAAGTCCCCTGTAATGATATCAAAGAAGAAATTCAAAACATCGAGGTTTAGGTGAGAGTCTGCTCATCTTGTTTGGCAATTTACCTCACATTTTCCATATTCTGCCTAAAAAATAGAGTTGAATCTGCCCTGTTAGAGTTTTTGTGACTATCACCTCCTTTGGCAATGTTATTTTTCAAGGTTGTAGAATATGTTTAAAAACACTCTGATGTCTTATTCTGTGAGGATATTCAGAATGTCTAATCTGTGTAAAGAATTTCTGGTTGTAATTGTTTTGAGGCAAGTTCAATTTTAGTAGTGAATTGACATCTAAATGATAACCCTGTATCCTGCCTGCTTTAAGATGACTTAGATGGAGATTGCTTAAATGTGCTTCCATCACTGATGTATTTAATTTTGTACATCAGTGAAATTGGATGTTACTTGGAATGTCTGTCCTATGTAGAATTAAGTTGAGTCTTGGGGAGAAGGTCTTTCATCTCAGTCCATTATATTGCAGAAACTTCTTTCTGTTTACTTTTAAATGATTGTTCTCAAGATGCTTACTAGTTACTTCAGAATATCTTTTTTTTGTGATCTGTATTCAGAGGCTAAAATTACACAAGAAATGTGCCTAGCAGCAGCTGTCAACGTTCGGTGTTGATTTTGAAGAACTTTGTCACAGTGAGGGTGGCAGAGCACAGGAATAGGCTGCCCAGATAGGTTGTAGAGTCCCCTTCTTTGGAGGTATTCAAGACCAATCTGGACACTTACCTGAGCGACCTGCTGTAGGGAACCTGCTTTAGCTAGGGGGTCGGACTCGATGATCTCTAGAGGTCCTTTCCAAGCTCTGCGATTCTGATTCTGTGACTACTGCTATTTCTGGTGCTTTTGCTTAGTCTCCCAACATTTATGGGTATCAGTCTTTGGAGAAAAGCTGTCTATTATGGTAGCCCAAATCATGTTACTGTGACAGAAATCTGCTTTACTGACCATTACTACAGTTTTCATGTTTACCCACATTCCTGTATTAGCAGTGATTTGAGCACTGAAGTTAAACTAAAAAAAGGACTTAGAAAGCGACAATTCAAACTTAAACTTGTCAGCGTCCGCTGTATGCACTGCTTTCCTGTAGCTGGTGGTGTTGAAAATAATTCTTATGTTCTCCTGTAGCTTCTGCTTAAGCTTCTTTTTAATTCTCTGGTATTTCTTTCTATAACATTTGTTTTCTGTTTCTGATTGAATAGAGTGAAGTTGACTCTGGAAGGCCTGGAGAAAGATGATGATGATGAAGAGGGCCAAGAAAAAACATCTCCTACTGTTCCTCAGAAGATGGCAAACACTGTAGAGTTCTCCTTAATAAGCAACAACGAATATAAATGCCGACACTCTCAGCCAGACTGTGGTTATGCTTTGCAGTCAGATCGATGGCTAGAATACACCATACAAACCATGGAGCCTGATAACTTGGAATTAATCTTTGATTTTTTTGAGGTATGCCACTTCAGCACTTAGAAGCAACTCCGATCTTAAATTCTGGAGTTAGTGGAATCAATTAGCATCAATTCACTGTTAGGACTGAGATGCTGACTGACATTCTTGAACTTCTGGATGTTGTTTGTGTAAATGAGTTATGATACAGTTTACTGCTGCACCATTTTACAGAGAGGTTTAAGTCGTCTCAGTATTACACTGCAAATTTTGTGTGTTCCACTTGTTTAGAAGTTAGTACAAATCAGTGTGTGGTATTGCATATAGTTAGGTTAGCTTGTTTTTTATCCTTTACCAGAGATAATTTGTGTTTATCCTTTGGATCTTAACAGTGTGTACACGGACTAGTTAAATTGCAGCTATTTCATCTTGCCTTTATGACAGATTTCTCTGGACTAGCTAGTGCAAATTAGAACTGTGCTTACGTAGAGTCTTACTATGACATCTGCAAGTTACCTGAAATGTATTTCCTGAAATATTTTAATATTCCAAGTTCTTTTTGCAAATGGGAGTAAATTCTGTCTTCTCCTACTGCTTATGCATTAAAAAACTGTTTTTGGAGTAAAGGTGCCCCTCTAACGCTTGTAAAGCGGTGCTATAGCTCCTGAACTTGACTTGATCAAGCACTTGTTCTGTGTGCTACATACATACCTCCTTCTTCCCTGCAAATGAATGCAAAGCTCTTTTTAAAATGTATATTGTACTATATATACATACATGAAATACATATGTATAATATTTTATACATATTATGTATGTATATACAATGTATGTAGAAAAAATTGATTTTATCTTTGCTCTAAATGTAACATGGAAGTTTTAGAAGAGATCCTATTCCTTGTATCCAGTTGTGCTCTGAAAAGATTACCATACCGAAGAGTTTTTGAAAACAATCATATCTGACTTCCTAGATTGCCACCAACAATTTCATATTTCTGATCATAACTTGCAACACTGTTACACAAAAACAATACTGGCCTGAAGTTTGTGTTTTCTGTAACATGTGGGAGATTGGTTGCATCAATTACTATCTTGCTGAGGAACAAGGTTTTAATGAAATAAGAATTTGTTAGTATTTTCATCCACGGGTAACAGTAGATGTTTTGATTGGTTTGTTTTCAGGAAGATTTAAGTGAGAAAGTAGTGCAAGATGATGAGCACCCAGGTCATGTAGGTTCTGCCTGCCTCCTCTCATCCACAATTGCAGAATCTGGAAAGAGTGCTGGAATTCTTACACTTGCTATTATGGGCAGAAATCCAAGGAAGACTATTGGAAAAGTCAGAGGTACAGCTGGTACAAATAAATGTAGATAACTTCATTGGAAGTCACTTATCTATGGACACATGAGGCTATTGTTTTTTCTTGTAGTGGACTACATAATAATTAAGCCAATCCAGGGATACACTTGTGATATGAAGACCTCATATGCAAAATACTGGAAACCAAGAACAACTCTTGATGTTGGACACAGGGGAGCTGGAAACTCTACAACAACAGCTAAGTAAGTTCATTTGTCCTCTAATCTGAGATCTTATTCTTTAATGTTTGGTTTTATGGATATCAACTGGGGAAACAGCTAATTTCAAATTATGAGCTGCAATTCGTAATCATTTTAAGTCTCTTCAATATCAAATGTGAGTGTTCTGTAGAACACTCATTTGTATTTCTGTTGCTTTGATGGAGTTTTGTGACACGCATCTAATAAAACCTTTTCCTTTGCTGTTATTTCAGACTTGCTAAGGTTCAAGAGAACACTATAGCTTCTCTGAGGAATGCTGCTAGTCATGTATGTACACGTTTGTGTAAACACAGTACTTGAGTAGCTGCCATGTTTAATTTTCATGATTCAATATGCTGAGTGTTAAATGTGCTGATTTTTTTAAATTAAAAAAAAGGCATCAAATCATGGAGACGCTGGAGAAATACAAAGGAAAGTAATAGCTTAAACTCTTGTTCTTAAGTTATTAAAAAAAACCCTTCCATCTGCAGGGGCTGCTCCTATTTTATTATGTTGGCCCATGATGTTAGAGGTGGATGTTGGTGGTATGAGAGTAGAAGTAGAACCTTCTCCCCTATATCCCATTGCATTTTGTTGCTGTCTGACAGGTGGCAGCAGAGGGGCAGTCTGACACAATGGTGTCTGATATGGAAAAGTGTGTGAAGCAAAAGTATGGTTCTGAATTTCCCCATGTGGAAAAAAAAAATTGAACCTACTGACATTCACTGACATTTCCTAAGCATTTCTGGAGACCAAACATGGGTGCGAACACAGTGAGGTGTTGAGTGGTGCATTGTGACAGTGACCTGAAAGACAAATCACTGTCTGGATGACCCTGCAGATTTATGCAAGTGCAGCATGCAGTCTCTTGCTCATTGCTAGTGAAAATACATAGCTAATGGTGGTGGCTGTATTGAAAAAGTGTGTTTTGACTGAGAATTTGCTCTGTCAAATAGTGCTATTGTGCTCTTTGTATCTCTCATAGTTTCTATGGAAATAAATAATGACCTATGTAACATGTTCTAATGTTGTTCTAGTACAGGGAAATTTTAACTTCAATCCTGCAGAAGCGTATTTGTTCAAAATTATTCATAATCCTGTAAGAAGTTTTGGCTCTTCTTAAGTCAGTCAGCATATTCTCAGGCAGTAAAGTTATTTTTTTGAGACAGCTGAGTATCTAAATCTGGTCTCCAAAACAAGACTTAGGAGCTGAGTTTCTAAAATATGATGATTCTCTGATCCTGTAGTTTTTACAATGAAGAAGTTTACTCCTGAGATGAGACTTTCAATTTGGAGATGCTAGCTTTGTGTTCTTTAATTCTCTAATAGAGGCAGTCAGTTTTTTTCCTTTCAGAAATAGGTCACTGAAGTGATCTGAGGTAAGACTGAGCTAGGTAAAGAAACACTGAGACAATATAGCAGAATAGCTTGAGTCCTATGGAGGACATTCCTTGTCTAGCTCCTGCTTTCATTAGAGATCTGCATACAGTAAGTTGTAGCTATGAGATCACCTGCTGCTTAACTTCCGAGGTTCCTTAGGATTTTCATGTATGTCTCCACTAATGTGGTTTCTTACCAGGCATCTTCTGAAGTTGTGAAAGAGACGAGAGTAGAGTCTCTATTATTATTACTATATTTATTGACTTCTTAACTCCTGATTCTCCAAGAGTCATAGCTGAAAGCTTTCTCTTGGGTGAGTTTTGAAGTACAGTTTGAAGATATTTTCTGAAGCGCGCACTGACTGCAGAGCAAATGAAAACTGCAATTGCAAAAGAATCTGTTCAAACAGTACTTTTTCATTTCTAGGTGAATGCTGCAGGTTTACAGACAGCTTTAAAAGCCCACAGAAAGTATGCTGAGGCAGAAATTAACTATAAAATAATCATTATTACCAGATGCTTCCTACTGTTTCCAAAAATGAAAAGGCTTGTAACCACTGCTACAAAAATAATTTTCATAGGAAGGAGTACTTAGAGACAGTCAAAATCTGTCAAAAGAAAAACAAAAAGTTTGTGTTCCTCACTTCCTATGACCATCTCCATAAAGATTATCCTTTCAGTCCTGGTTTAATCTTTGCTCCTTTTTAGGCTTAACAGAAAATAACATGCATTTTACAAGGATGAGAGAATGCTGGATGTATCCATTTCTGCTCTTGCAGATGCTATAACACACTGCTCTGCTGTTTTCTTGCTTCTTTGTTTTGTTTTGCTTAATCCTTTGTTGAATATGATGTAATTGTTAATGACCAGCATTGCATTCAACTTCTGATTGACGTCCAGGACCTGTGAATATTTGGCAACTTGTACTCCTGTGTGTTGTGCCACTCTGTAGTCCTTGTGTGTTAGCACTAAGTGTTTATTTGTTCTATTGTGGTTTTTTGCTATTTCCTTTAGGGAGCAGCATACGTGGAATTTGATGTACATCTTTCTAAAGATCATGTGCCCATTGTATACCACGATCTCACTTGTTGCATGGCCATGAAAAAGGTAAGGATGAGGATGATGTTTATAACTTAAGTGTGACCATTCCACTAACTAAAATAGTTTCTCATAGAAATAATTCTGAATATTCAAGGAATGGAAGGGAATGGAATTGTAGCTTCACTATATGCATAAACTTGAGCTGAGAACTTGAATTCTTCATTTTGATAGCAACAGTATTTCAAATGCAGTTAAAGATAACTGGAGTTATTGGAGTTACTCCTTAGCTTTTGTTTATTTATTGTTTGAATGAAAAATCTAGAGGTCTTCACTGTAATCTGCAACATCTCTTGGGGCCCCTGAGGTTGTCAGGAGTAAGACCTTCTGGTGGGGTTTTTTCGGTGGGTTGTTTTTTTGAGAGTGGTAGTCGATATGATTCTCAGCATGATTTCTTCTCTCTGCTGATACTTAATAGTGTATTTGTCTTAAGCAGTAATGTTTTTAAAAATGCTTAATAGGTCAAACCAAAGTCTGCTTTGCATTATAATAGTGGCCAGTGGATGGAAAACAAAACACTGGAAGAAACAAAGACCTTCATTTAGGAGGTTGTTGAACAATTGGGTTAGCTACAAAGGGCTTGTCTTCCATTAATTTTTCCTATTCTTTCTTGATTCCATTTTTTTTTTCTCTGCATTCTGATCTTCCTTTAGCTGTCAGGTAAACAACGTACCTCACTTCTTGTGGGGACAGTAGGAGTGAGGAGAAGTGAGAATTGTATTGACATAATTTTTTTTAACATGAGATCATTGCAGTGGGGGGGTTGTTTCAGTTTTACCAGGACACGTGTCTCTTTTTATTAGTTTCTGAGAGACCAGAGAAATAATAATAAACTGAATTGCACTGGAGCATTTTAATGAATTTCTTTATTTGAGGATTTTTGTTTTTATTTTATTCCCCTGAATAACTGATCAAGTTATTACAGAACAAATGCATTGACTTTTATTGAAGGTTAGCACGAAAGAGAGTTGAAGCCTATGATTTGCATAAATGACCAAATCCTGATTTTTTTCAAATTGACATTGTTGTATGCATCTGAGTGATAACAAATTGATTTGTTACATGACTAGTATCTTTATCAATATAAGAAAGAAAATTTTAATATGGTAACATTAAAGGCACCTAAAAGCATACAGACTTTTATAATTTTCAGCGATTGTTATTACGTATTATTTCTCTTCAAAGAAACTGGATACAGAACCTTTGGAGTTGTTTGAGATTGCAGTTAAAGAGCTCACATTTGATCAGCTGCAGTTATTGAAGGTACTGTTACTTTGGCTGTGATATGCGGAGTGTGAGATTTGTAGTTTTGGTTTCTGGTGTAGCTGTAATTATCTACAGTGGGAGAGTATATACTTTAAAAATAGTAAAAGTAGAACAAGTAGTTAATTCCAAGCGTAGTATTTCTGTACCATCATTACAGCTTGATTAAGTTTTGTTACTCAGTTGTTTTTTTTTGTTTTTCTTTTTTTTTTTTTTTTTGACAAATATCATCCAGACAACTAGAATAGATCCGTATCATTATGCTAATGTTGTTCTTTTTTTAGAAGAGGAAAAAGAGGGGAAGTGGTGATAAGGTTCATTTGAAGCCAATGCTTTGGAGTATTTGAAGAAAGATGCTATTCACCAGGTCTATCTAGTTCTTAAATGTCCCTGTTTAACAAGGGAGATCCAGATTGCCAGCTTCCTCCTTGGGGTGCTTGTGGAGGTTTAGAAGGGTCTCTGATTCAACATTATGGATTAAACAGACTGGCTAGAACTAACTTTATTATTTCAATTGCTTATTGCTGTATCTTTCAAACAGAAAAGGTCTTCCTATATAAAAGGGAGTTGGAGAATAAGACTTGCAACTGAAGACCAAGCTGAGATGCCTGTCCTTAGCCAGGGAAGCATGTTGCTGAACCAAGAATCATGTGTTTCATTTAATTTCTACTTACATAAACTGCGTCTGTAGTGGAACTTCAAACTTAAAAAAAATAAAAAACTGTGTTTTATTTGTAATGAGATCTGTGTGGGTAGAGCACCTGTAACTTTCTTCTTCATTTGTCTTACAGCTGGCTCATGTGACTGCCTTGAAAGTAAAAGATCACAATGGTGCGTACTAGTTGGCAAGAGCCTTGGGGTTCATGAGAGGCATTGAATGGGTGCAGTGACTTGTTCTAGTCACATTTGGCTTCTTGAACACTTCTGAACACTTAAGTAGTTTCTTGAATTTTGTGCAGATTGTAGAGTTCAGTTTTTGTTTAGACAAAACTTAGAGTTTTTTTTTTTGCCAGGATATAAATACCTGCATGGGAGTTCTTCCTCAGGAAAAGAGGGAACAGGAGGGTAGAAGATGCATATATAGCTAAATATTTATTGAGTAATAAGATAACAGCAAGACAATTGCATGAAGTGTAACCTTCTTACGCTTCTCTAACTACTTTTTTGGCAAACTTTGGTAACTGCTGTAGGTTGTCTTATTGGTGCTGTAAATCTGGGGCTGTAATTCATCTCCTTTATGGGGACAGCAAAATGATGCTAAGTACCTCACTCATCCTACTTGTCTCAGAAAAGATAAAATAAGCCTTGATAGGCAAGGCTGCTTCTACTGGATGTGATTCAGTGACTGAATGAGTGAAACATGGGAGAAACTTCTTCTGGTAAACATTCTGTGGAAAAAAATGTTTCCCACTATCAAAATAAGAATTGGCAACATGACTGGCAGAGTATGGCAATCAAAATATAGACCTGATTTTATTTTTCATTCTTAGTGATGCTGAGCTGTTATTTTCTTGCTGGAATTACGAGTGCTGCAGTCTGTTTTTATCCAATATCTTGTATTTATTTTCAGCATCCTTTAAAGAAGAAGAAAACTCTGCTTATGAGACACAGCCATTTCCTTCTCTACAGAGAGTAAGAATTAATCATCATCTCTATGCTATATATTATAGAACATGAAAACGTGTATTTTCCTTTCAGTGTTGCAGTACATAGTGAGAGATGCTCATTTTTATTTAGCCATCCAATATCCATGGTGGAAGTGAGAATTTAGGCTTTATTTGGCTACTGGATCCTTTCCAGCACTTAATAGTCTGCATACCTTTCAAGGTTCTAAATTCTGGATTTCCTTTGTATAGCTCAGGATATGAGCTGGCTAACATCTGGGCATTGCATTTTAGTGCACTGACAATTGTTAAATTTAAAGGAGGGAAAGAAGGACCTTTGGCTGTCTATGTGATTGAAAATGAGAATTTCTAGTGTGTTTCCCTTTATGGTGATTTGCAGACTATGGTCTTTGTACTGCCTTGTATTTTTCTGGAAACAACTGCCATGTAGTTTGGTCCCATTTGCAATAAGTTTGTTCATTTGTTTCTTAAATTGCTGTTTTTTTTCACCTGATGGTTTTTCCTAGTGCCTAGACTATTCATTAACGTGACCTTTAGGAACTTGTTTTATTTGTTAGTACTGCATTCTGTTTGGACCGTAAAGGTTAATACTTCTGTGAGAATGTGTATAAAATATCCATGTAACAAAGAACTTTGTGTCACAGATTTACATACTGAGGTTCAATTCCTACTGTTTTGATGATTTCTTACTGTAAGAAAGGCTGCATCACTTTAAAGGGTTCAAGAACCATCTAGGTTTTTCTGGTTTTGTTTTTTTAATCACCTTTTAAACTCATGAGTTTCATGCTTTAGACTGTGGTCTGCTGAAGATACTTTCTGCATTCAAAAAAGCCAACTATGTAGAGAAATATAGAACTTTTTTTGTGAGTACAAATGAGGCACTTAATCATAGGTGTTAAGGTGAATTCACATACTTTTATACCTAATCCATTTTGAAGACAAAATTCATTAAGACAAAATTTTGACAAATTTCTTTATATTTCCTATCTTTAAACTGATTTTTTTTTTTTTTTAATCAGCTCTTAGCCCTCACTGAGGGTTAAATTCCAGTGTATTATCCCAGTAATTACCCTATAGTAATTAGTTCTCCTTCTTTGCTGTATAGTCTGTTCATAATGAAATATTTTCAGGTTCTAGAGTCAGTTTCGGAAGATGTTGGATTCAACATAGAAATAAAATGGATCTGCCAACAAAAGGTAAGTAAATGTACAGGTGATACATGTTGGCTAAAGCTCGTAATTTGATGTGACAAGATCTTATAAGCTATGAAAAAAGAATAATTTTTGTTTTAATGTAATTGCTTGGGTTTTTATGACCCATTACCTAAAAGCAGAGTAAATGAACATATGCAGATATAATTTTCAAGTAATAGGATGTATTTGTAGGACTGAGATCGTAGTGCAGCTCTGAAGCTTCTAGAAGGCCCTGTTGAAAATGAATAGGTCACAAGTGAGACATCCTGTACATAGGGGAAAGAGGGTAAACTCAAACTTTCCTGGCTTCATGCAGGATTGCTTAGTGCTCACTCTAGAGAGAAACAGATGTCATGTCTAAGACTGGATGCCTGGAGTGGGAGAAGGGAACTGAAGTGCAGTGGTAGGTCGAAGTCTTTGTGCATGAGGTCATGCTAATCCTCCCAGGGAAGGGCTATAGTAGTGATTTTTCATGGATTTCCCATGTATTTTCAAAATTTAAAAAGGCTTCGTAGCAGCTTTTCCATTGGATAGGAAAACAATGGATTTTTCAGTGAATCTTCCCATTGTTGAAATTCATCTGCAGTTCTCAAACTGACAGACCTCTAGAGCTGTAACAGGCATTCAGTACACCTGGAGTAACTGATGTATTCACACTTTCAACCTAAACTAAACAAGAATTCTGTTTGCAGGAGGCTATAGTTTGTTAAAATAATTTTAGTAAGTGTTCCTTAAAATGGCTGAAACTTGTCCTTTTTTTTTTTATTTTCAGGATGGACAGTGGGATGGCAACTTGTCAACTTACTTTGATATGAACCTCTTTTTAGATATTATTCTGAAAACTGTTTTGATGAATGCTGGGAGGAGGAGAATTGTTTTTTCTTCTTTTAATGCAGATATTTGTACGATGTAAGTTAAGAAGAGAGAATTTTTCTTAACTTGATCAACTTTATTTTGGATTTAAGAATACTTAAAAGATAACTAACAAATTCCATTTAGATGTAAAAGTTGGGTGCCAAAGTAGTGGGCAACTGAAATAAGAAACATAAACCCCTTTGCCATCTGAACTGTGCCAAAAATGAAGAAGGAAAATGAAGATTAAGTGGATTCTTTTTGTCAGGTGCCTTCTTGAATGCTGAAGTCTGTCTTGACATAAGAAAAGAAGGCCAAGATTTCTTAGGGTATCACAGTCTTTTTTTCTTTTTTTTTCCAGTCGTGATCAGAAGGTATGCAAGCCTAATTTGCAAACAAACGCACTAATTCCAAAGCTTTGTGTTCATCTATTTTCACTTCATGCCACTGCATTGCTGTTATTCAACTTGAAGAATGCAACATTAGTTAATGTACATTAAGCATTATAAATTCTTATCGTGAATTTTCATTTTACTCTGTTATGCAGATAAGAAAATATAGAACTGGATAGTCTTTAAGGATTTTATATAAACATCTTGAGGACGTGGGTCAGAGATTTACACAAATCTGCCTTCACTTTAACTCTGAATACAAATCTGTCACAGCAACAGACTGCTGGAATAGTTTGTCACATAGCTTAGTATGAAAACATGGTATTTCTTGTTGCACCAGATAGGAATTAAGTGGACATGCATTAAAGGGGGAAACTTTTAAACAGTAAAGTTGAGTTTCCATGATTTTTAAACAACTTCTTACTTGGAAACTTTTTTTTTTTTAATAACAGGGTACGGCACAAACAAAACAAGTATCCCGTGTTATTTCTCACCCAAGGAGAATCTAAACTCTATCCTGAACTCATGGATCTTAGATCTCGTACAACTCCAATTGCCATTACTTTTGCACAGTTTGAAAACTTGCTGGTAAGCTGACGAGTTCTGGTATCATTATGCGATAAAGCGAAATTGAATTACTACCAATTGATGTAAATCCATCTCTTTTTTTGTTTTGTTTTTAACCTAAAATTTCAGTCAAACTCATACTAACGTGAACAACTGCCAAAATTATGATCATTATTTTAAATGTCTCTTTAAATGTCCATGTTACTTAAAAAATAATATCAGTGAACTTGTATTAAATTATTTATGTGAAATTATAAGTAGCTGTAAGTGTCAGTGGATAAAAATGCTAGTTAGAGAACTTCTGAGAAACATAATTCTAATTTTTTTAATGGAAATGTTTTTGTATTTCAGGGAGTCAATGTGCACTCTGAAGACCTGCTGAGGAATCCATCGTATATTAAAAGAGCCATATCTAAAGGCTTAGTCATTTTCTCATGGGGTGATGATGCAAATGATCCAGATAACAGGAAGAAGCTGAGAGAATATGGTGTTCATGGGCTAATATATGACAGGTACCATATTGTGCTTAAAATTAAAAAATAATAATGAAGCTTATGAAACTGTGCTATACTGAATCCTGGGAAACTTCACATTCCTTTTTGATTGACTGGGTGTAGATTATTTTCCTTAATACTGCAAACACAGCAATAGTATAAACCTGGGTAAGGAGACAGGTGTTAATTTGTATTCATGCAGCTGTGTACATGAATCAAAATAATTTTTGCTTGTCCTGTGGCTGAGCAAATACGTATGTAATATGATGTGTTGCTCTGAAGAGCTCGTGTGTAATATACACTTCCAATAAGCTATTTACATTCCTGACTGTAAGTTAAACTGCGTACCTGACATGGTGAGGGCAATCTATTTAACCATCTGATTGAAATTTCTGGTATTCTACAGTCATTGATGAAGATGTTTAACACAACTTTTAAACGAATCAGTTTCTTTTTTTTCCCCCAGCATTCTCTTTACCTGTGTTTGAAAGCTGTGAATGCGCAGTTGTACTACTTTTCTGTACTGAAATTAGTTTGGTGTGACTCTCAGGGCAAACTGGCAAAAATGATCACTTCAGAAACCAGTTGATGGATATGTGCTGTTCAGGTGGACATCAAATGTCGTGCTAAATCTTTGAACAAAGATGTTACTTGAGGTTCTCAGAAAAATCAGAGATCTCAGTCCTTTGTCATAAAAGATATAAAACTAATAGTAGAAAATAGTTGCACGTACATAAAAAGTGCTTAATTTGCATTACCAGAAGAATCTTGAACTTGAAAAGGTGAAATCTCTCGGCAGGACATCTAAAACAAAGAATATGTAATTGGGAAAACATTGAGTGTAATCAAGATGTCCAACTGAGAAGAGTCTCAAGCCTTCTAACTGTTTGCTTTACAAAGGGAATTGTGTTGCATATTACTGGACCATGGATAAAAAGGCAAAGGAGTTCTGCTCTGGTGTTTTTCAAGTGAAAACTGAATGTCAAGTTAAGATGTATAGAGAAAGAAGGACAAATACACTCTCTTGCGGTTCTAGGCACTCAGTGCAAAAACAGTTAATGCTCATGAGTCCCTTATCAGCTACTGAGAGTCCTCCCAAGTAGGTGGGCCCAGAGATGATCTGGATTGGTGGTGGTCTTGCTTGTACTGTAATAAGTCTGCCCCTTTTTGTGGATGGTAAAAAGGAATTTCAAGATTTTTGCACTAAGGATCAGCTTCAGACTTGCGTCACTGAAGCATTAAGTCCTCTTCTTGGCTACAGCAGTGAGACACGTTAGGCCTTTCTTACAACTCAAAACTCAGGGCCATTTAGTTGCTGGAAAAAAAGGTCTTTGGATCTTTGGTATGGAAAAAGAAACGTGGCAAGTACTGTGTTTTAATCAAATTCTACTGCAGTAATGGCTCTTAGGAAATGTCTGTTCTTCTGATGTCTGCTAATCCAGTCTTTCCAAGTTGGTAATTACTCCTGCAATCTGCACTAGTGTAGTAAAATGGGTGATAGCTTTATTTCTGCTTTGTGCTGCTTTCCCCATTTAGATATGGAGGTGTTTTTTTCTATACGCAATTGCTCAACCCTACTGAAATACTCCTGCATTCTTGTCAGGGCTACAGTTCTGTGAAGTGTCATCTTGTGTCCCTTACTGCTTAGAGTGTTAAAGCTACAGCATGATAGAACATATGTCACCTCCTGTTTTGAGTAACACAGGCTTTGTAATTGTTTATAGATTGACTGCCCATTGGATTTGCCCTAACAAAAAATCTTTATCCTTCCTGTATTGTCCAGACCATTCCAGACCAGATTCTTAATAGTACTCATCTCTTACTCCCTCACTCCTATTTCTTCCACCTTGCTGACATCTTCCCACAAAGATGATACCAGTTCCTAAGCTCTTCCTCAATCCTCAGTTATTTCTCCAAAGTTTGCAGCAGAATTAAATTTAATACATATCCCTTAGAGGTGACATGACACTTCCTGAAAATTGTATCGTATCTTAAGCCCTGGATGCTTTGAAATGTGGGTGGTACTTGCAAATCCTGGGTGGTATGCCTAAGTGTAAAACCTGACTGCAAGTGCTTCCACTCACAGTTGGAGTTGGTGGGTTAAGAGGCAGTCTTTCAAATCATTTGAAAGAACTAAGTTAATATCAAGAGTTAAATTACCAAAATTTCTAGAGCTGTGGTATGAGCATCAATTAGGAGGTATACAGAATCTGTATTCTGTGGTGATTCAAGTTAGAGGGGGATAAATTCAGTACTGATGTGAAGCAGAACTGACGTATTCAGGAGAGACAGATGGACATGGCTGTTTTAAGGTCTAGAAATATGCAGGGACTTTAGTTACCTGTTCTATTATTGCAAGGCTATTTGCCTATTATTGTAAAGCTAATAAGCCTGGCATTTTATGTTGCTATTTACTTGCGCTTTACTAAACCATCTTTCTTAGTGCTGTTAGTCAGAATATTAGCAATTACAAGGATTTCAGTGAATTGAGCTTGCTTGGATATGGCCCTGAGTTATTGCTTTCGCAAGCATCTGGTAGCTGTCAAAGCTCATGTACTGTCTGGATGGAGATGACTTCTATACGCTGTTTTTCTGAACTTTAGTCTTCCATGTAAAGATGAGCAAAAATGTTGTTGTGAAGATGGGAGAAAAACTGTGTCCTGAATACCAGAAGTTGCTGGTACCAAATGTCGGGCAAAACAAATGCAGGTAGGGGGATCTGACTTTGTTTTGCATGGGGAAAAGTTGCAAGACTAAATCTGGGCAGCTTACAAATGCCAGTGCTGTTTAAGGAGCCATATCACTGGGGCAAGGGGAAGAAACTTCTCCCATCCACTCCTTTCTCCACTCGGGCAATGAATTATTAGACATACCTGAAGTCATTAAACTGAAAATGAATGGTCTTGTGTTGTTCACAGGACAGTGTTCTGCTTTTTTGCTTTGTTCAACAGTCTTAACACCTAAAATGCTGGAACTACTCGTGTTAAAAGGATGGTCTGTAGAAAAGGTACAGCTTTGCCAGAATAGCCAGGCTTCTATTTGGGCCCTGAAAAGTGCATTGATGATATGATTGGGCATCCTCCTTTAACACTAAAAGCTGAATATCATGCTTAAAACACTTCTTGGTTTTTTTTTGTTTGAAGTGTAGCTTTACTGAAAGAGGAAATACAAACCTGGTATAGAAAAGTTCTTGGAATTGGCAGAAAGAATGCATGTTAAGGTAGGGTTTTGAAGGGCATTGTGGATTGTTGTGTTTTTTTTTTTTTTCCTTCTGGAAAAGCTTTGTAAATAGTGCAGGAAATCCTTCTGTTGAATTTAGTTAGTAAAAATAATAGTCCTAAGTCTCTAAAGAAGTTGGCTATCTACTAAATACCGATGTGGAGAGGGAGTGGCTGCTAACTTACATTTGCATTATGGGATTTTTTTATCCTCTCTGCCCAATCAGAGCTGTGCTTGTTCAGTAATACATCCAGCTGCATGGAAGTGGTAAAGCCAGTCAGCCTGCCATGTGCGCCAAAAGCTTTTTCATTAGAAATCTGAGTGCGTTGGTCTCCCTCATGCAGATTGGTTCCATGCTGGCTTCATTATGGCTCCTTGCTCATCTGGCAGGCTCCTCACTATGTTCTGTTTTCCAAAACTAATGCAATTTTTAGTTGCAGTAAAAGGCAAAAGCATTTTAAAAGCTTGTCAGAACTAAAAATCTGTTTTAAAATGTGCCATTTTATTTGCCTGAGACTGAGCATTACCGAAATAAATAATAGCATGTATATATGCAGGAATAACTAGCAGAAGTTGAACTTTTTATAATTGAATCTGCTTCTTAGTGATTAAGGCATTACCTGGTGGCAGGGTAGGCCTTTCCTGTTTTCTGAATTGCATGGTAAACCTGAGTTTGGCTTGAGATTGAAATTGTGTTTGGTAGCTGAGAATTTGCTCTCAAGTAGTGTTATTGAGCTCTCTGTATCAGTTGTCACGGACATAAATAGGAGGCATTACTTTTGTCTTTGTCTTTTCTTCACTCCTTTTTGGATCAAGCTCCAGCCAAAGTTAGCAAGAAATACTTCACTGAATTTTAATAAAATTCATTAAGGAGGGAGATCTACATTAGTGAATCTGTAGCTGTTCCTAAACAATATTTACAGGAACATGAACACTTTTGCTTTATGATGTGCTACAGCAAAGTAGTATTTCAGTTATACTTGATGTGTGTGTTGTCTCACATAAAATATGGTTTGGATCTGGACAGTCTGGTACAGTGTTTACAAGTAAAGTCCTGCAGCTTTGTTTCCATGTGTGAAAAATATGAAAGTGAAAAGAGAATATACTGTTGAAACAGTGTTGGTAGTTGATTGCATTTGGTATGGTTTTATGGCTTTTTACTCTTCACTTAATGCTGTAATAGTAGCTTAATTTTTTTTTTTTTTTTTTTAAGAAGGAATGCTTCTTTAAACAACAGGTATGAGCTCCATTCAGTGTTACATACAAGCAGTGTGTTACAGTCTGTTCAAATGGGCTTGGAGCTCTGAACTTGCAGGTGCTGAGCTCTGTTCTCTGTGACAGGGCCTGAGGGAACAGCATGGAGCTGTGGCAGGGAGGGGCAGCTGGGGGTTAGGGACAGGGACTGCATCAGAGGGCGGTGGGCATGGAACAGGCTGCCCAGGGCAGTGGGCACAGCCCTGGTACCAGTGCTCAGGGAGCATTGGGACACTGCTCTCAGATATTGGGTTTGTGGTGCTGTGCAGAGCCAGGAGTTGAGCTCAGCGATCCTTATGGGTCCTTTCCAACTCAGGATGCTCTTTGGCTGTAGGGTTTGAAGCCTAAAATAATGTTTTTTGCTGCTTCGTGTCAACTGTAAAAACATTTTCAGAAGAGTAACAAGAGTAAATACCAGTGGTTAACTTCTTAGTACATCAAATCAACCACTGTGTAAAAGGGACAACATTGTATACTGCAAGATTAGAGACAAGACTGAAGGTAATAGTCTTGAAGACTGTGCTTTGATGGACTTGCTGGTGCCTTAGCATCACAGAAACATAGAATAGTTTAAGTTGGAAGGGACCTTTAAGACTATGGCATTCCAACCCCCTTCTATAGGAATGGACACCTCCCTCTCAGCCAGGTTGCTCACAACCCCATCCAGCCTGGCCTTGAATGATTCCAGGGAGGAGGCACTCACAACCTTTATATGGTTTACTTTATTACAAGCAATGGTTTAATCTAGTATTTCTGTGAACTGTCAGATTATACTGATAACTGTTATCTTTTTTTGTTCATTTAGGATATACGACTCAAATCCCGAACAACCAAATATATTCCAGGTAGAGCAACTGGAACGTCTGAAGAAGGAACTACCAGAGTTGAAAAGCTGTGTGTGTCCCACTGTTAGCCACTTTAAGTCCATATCTCCATGTAAATGTCATCATAGTTGCTTGGAAGAGAAAGCTGTAGATAACTTGCAGAGCGTTCAAATGCAAAAGGACTGACTCTAGGCAGAATGCTGGTTTGTATCTGTTTAATTATGACCATTGAAACAGTGCTATCCATGCCTTCATGTTTGTTTATTTTGTTTCCCAAACAGCAATAATTGTGTTTCTCCCTCCTTGACAGTACCCGTTCAAGTTCCAACAAGATTCAAGTATTGAGCCAGCTGTAGCTGTTATTCCAGTTTATGTAGTTTTAACTTTCTCATAATCAAGTCTCAAATTTTGAAAACAAAATTAAGTATTAACACTAAGTGTATTTTAAAAATAAGCACTCTGAGGAGTGGAATCTCAAAAACCACATTGTAGAGAAATTACAATGATCTGGTAATGAAAGCGCTTAAAAAATATATTGATTTGACTTAAATTTTACTTGAATAGTGCAGCTTGTTAGCCTGTACCAGACAACAGGAAATGAAGAGTGGTCATAAGGCACATATAGTTAGATCTGGCCTGAATAAATTGGTACCTCACATATATACATATATATATTGTATGTATTTGCACTGAGACATCAATGTGTACAAAGCTTTGTGCCATTTCAAAAACATATGTCTATTTTCTTTAAGTAAATTGCAGTGCACGTGAACTCATTTCCTCCCCCTCCAGTGGACATTCAGGCTGCTGCCACTGTTTCCTGATTTGCCAACTGAGTGGTACGGTGTCTGTGTGGAGCAGCGAGGGGTGAACCACCAGAGTGACATCTTTCATTTATCTCACACAGACCTGCTGAACTTTTTAGAAATGTTGCTTAGAATTTTAACAGAATTACAGAAATACCTTCAGTGGTTGATAATCTTTTGCACAGTAACCTTAATAAACAAAATGTGTACGAATGCACAAACTCTACAAAATGCATGCTTTAGTTATAAGCATGGGATTTAGGTGTTTGAAGTCCTTGCATCTTTACGGTGCTAGTTATGTGTGAAGGGTGCAAGGACTCACTGAACTACTTCATTTTTTTTTTTTTTTTGCCTAAAACCACAAGCCTGTTATTCACAAACATTTGGAGGAGGAAAAAGAAGCTATACCATACATGGTTTGTCTTTTTCATATAATATAAGCCACTAGCCTTTGTATTTTGCAATATTTGATTTATTATTACTGGTTTTTTTTGTTTGTTTGTTTTTAGAGCAAGAATCACAAATGTTCTGAATTCAGATAATCTGTATGCTGTTGGCTGATACCTATCCCTTGTAATTTATTACCAAGTCATAGTTTAGAATTCTTAGTAGAAATATACGTGCATGTCCTTTTTCATTCTGGAGTTGCAGGTAATGCCAACACAACAGCTGTAACTTTCTACTGAAGTGTTAATGTATAGTAAGAATGGAAAATATTTATTTTTTTCTCTTGTAAATTGACAATGAAAACAATAGTGTGTACTATATCTTTATATACAGTCATTGCAACATAGAACTGATTGTACAGAGTAAAGCCATTGCAAATACGTGCTTGAGCTCACACCTCTGAGCAGTTTGAAACAGCTTGTTTCACTTTGCCTTGTGTATTTTAGTATTTAAAGTTTGTCCTGCACAAACAGCACAGTAATGACTAGAAACTTGGAAGCTGTCTTTTGTATATTAAAAAATAAATCTACCTTCAGAACTGAGCAAGCTGTGGGTTTTTTTGGTGGGAGGGAGCACAGAACCTCATTTTTTGAGATCAAGTATGATCACCTGTACCTGTTACTGAACACAGCAAGTCCAGATTGCTGACTTCGCAATGTGTATTGTTAATTCTTATTTTTAATTTGTATAGCCCTTGTGGATTCTTTTGAAAGATGTTCAGGCCTCTCCCAGCTCATGTGAAAGCACTCCCAGTTACATGTGCTGCTTCATGAACACTGGGCAGTGCAACCTCAGTGCTGTAGAAAGTGACAGCCGCAGCGTGTGGAGGTGATGCTATCTGAAGCACACTCTTGGAACAGTCCCATGCAATGCTGAGAAGGGCTCACAGGCACCTTGAAAACTTTATTTCTTAATCTTCAGATGAACAGGGAACAGCATTTGGCTTTTCTGCTTTTCCCCTGGAGAGATGAGAGGAAACTTTCCTAAGACATTGTCTGAGGACAAAATGATTCCTGAAAGAGGCTTACCTTGAAGAACTATACAGCACTGTAAGCTGTTGTGGTGCCAAAGAGGTTTTTTGGCTCTCTTGGGCAATTGTTCCACTCCTGCACCCTCATATGCGCAGTGATGCCCAGTTGGGGTGTAGGCTCCTTGGCAGTGCGGGACTTCTGCTGTGACTGCTGAGCAGTCCGACTGTCACTAAGGTAAGCATGTTGCTTGGAGAAAGGCAGCTGTCAGTTTTCCACTTGGCCAGAGTGCAAATCAGCATGACACACACCGCTGTGTGCCTCCAAGTCCTTCAGAAGCTTAACCTTCCCCAGCTCTCACCCAGCCGTTAGCTCACTTGCTTCTTACAGGCATCAAAACTGAAACAGGTCAAGACCTAGCTGTGGATGTCCCTGTTGATTGCAGGGGAGTTGAACTGGATTGCTTTTAAGCGTCCCTCCCACTTCCTAAGGATTCTAGGATTGCACAGGTGGCTGTGCTGGGACACCGCAGTTTGCTTGTGGGTTTGTTTGGATGCCCGTCTTGGGACAGAGACGTGCTCAGAGCCCGCAGTGTAAGTAACGGGAATTGCTGCTGCTTCCAGGCGTCGGCCGCGACTGCTGCCATGGCGACAGCGCTCCTGCTGCTCAGATCGGCGCACGCCCTGCTGGGGTGCTGGGGCGGCCAGAGCACGACTATGGAGAAAGAAAAAGACAGAAACGGAAACCCTAATGGCTGAGAAATGGGAGCCAGGATAGAGTCCCAGTTTTCGATTGGAATGCGTTCAGGTCTGCCGCCTCTTGCTTCTGAGTGCTTGCTGGAAACCAGCGTGTTCTGGAGCACGGTTTATTTTATTCCAGCCAAGGGACAGCTCCACTTTTTAGAACTCGTTTCCAGTTTGACCCAGTGCTCTCTGATTTGCTGCAGCTGACGTTGGGTTTCACTCCTTCGGAGAGTCTCTCCCCTTTCGGACCGTACGGGACTGCTGGCAGCCGCGGTGCTTTACTCCGCCTCTGCTCCCCCGTACGAAGCGGGAAGGAGGAACGGCGATGACGTCTCCCTGTGTGCCGGCGCTCCGCAGGGCGCGAGGAGGGGCCCCCGCTGCGCCCCGGGGGCGGCCCGAAATGGCGGCGGGGGCGGGTCAAGATGGCGGCGGGCGCGCGGTACTTCTGCACGGCGGGCCGCGGCCTCGAGCCCTTCCTGGCGCGGGAGGTGCGCGCGCGGCTCGGCGCTACTGAGGTGAGGGCGGCACCGCGCGCGGCGCTGCCTGCGGCCGTGCCCCCGTTCCGCGGGGTGGCTCCTCAGTGCTGACAGAAAGCGTGTTTCCGTGTGTGTCTGCTTGTTTCCCTAAGGTGGACTATGTCTTAGGGAAGGTTTTCTTCACCACCGCCGCGGAGCCGGGCGAGCTGAAGGAGCTCAAGTCGGGAGAGCGGCTGTTCCTGCTGCTGAAGAAGCGCGTCCCGCTTTCCGTTTCTAGAAATAAAGGTACCGCTCGCTGCTCGCCCCTGGAAGCCCCGAGCCTAACCGAGACCGGTCGGTTCGGAAGTGCCTGCCCTTTCCTGTGCTGAAAACGGCCTTAAGATGGTTTTACACAGCCGTCCGAGCGGCTCGCGTGCTGCATCGGTGACTTTGCAGGACCAAAGGCAGTCTGACGAGCGGCAGGGAGGTACTCCCTTTATTAAAGGCTAAACTTGCAGCTTTGGGTCTGCGTACGTGTGTACAGAGAGCTGTCTGTGGCATAGGCTGCTGCCCTTCTGGATTCACACCTCGGTGGCACCTAAGCGTGATCTCTGTTGACAGCTGCTCTCATGCTGTAAGGGAATGAAGGGCTGAGATTGAACTGCTTAAACTGAAACTGCTTTTTCTTCCAGGGAAAATGCTGCACGAGATTAAAAGCCTCCTCACTGAGGAACCCGAGTCCTGCCTGGATGTTATTGCTACTTGGAGAAAGCTTCGTAGTCATGAGGGGAAAAAGGATGAGGTTTCTCAAGAAAGCCTGAAACCTCACAAGAGAAAACCAGAAGAAGAGGTTAACATTGCATCTAAAAGACAGAAAACAGAGCAAGTAAGAGAGATTGTGTCTGAAGAACATCAAGCGGGAGCTGGAGAGAACTATGTGGTGTCAGAGGAGGAGAGTGACCGGGACTGCCAGACTGAAAGCAAGGCTTCTTTAGAAAGCCCTCCCAAAAGCAGCATAGAAAAACCTACTGAGAATGAGAAGCAGAACTTCAGTTTCAGAGTTTCATGTCGTTGTAGTGGAGCGATTGCCAAGATACTCACTTCACAGGTATGATAAAGTATCCGTGTTCTCACAGATTTTAGCTGAGGTGAAAGGAGACATGCAGTTTATTTGCAGTTTAAATTCTGTTTTGGAGTAACAGACAGATCTAGCCTTTTCCTGTCTTATGTCTACGAAGAAGAAAAAACTTAAAACCTGCATCTACCTTAAGAAAGTGGAAATACAAGTGCTGTTGTTAATTTCAGGATACTGTTATTTATTTATTTATTTTTTTAAATCTGCTTTTTATTGAGGGCAGGTAGAGGTAAGAGGCTGAGTAGTGGGGCAGGTGAAGCCTGGTGGCCTAAGGAGCAAAGTGCATGTAGCTCTCAGCTGCCTGGAGGGCTGCTGCAAGGACAGAGGAGCTGAGCGCCTGCTAGTTGTGACAGTTTGGAAGGATGCTGCTTCAAAGTCTGATATTCAGAGAGTTTGTTTCTCAGGAGAGTGGTGCAGCCCTGGGACGTGCTCTGGGCTGTGGATCTCAGCCTTACATCTCTTGACAGATGTAGAGACTTTTGGAGGTGCTTTCCATCCAGCACTATTCTCAGCTGCAATGTATTTTCACTATGAAAAAATAATAATGAAGTTGCAGTTTATTTAGGTTTCTCTTACCTGAAGGTAGCAGTAGTTACCAGTAGATTTTTTTCTCTACTGAAGTTGATGCCTTGGGAAGATGAAACATGTGAGGCTGCCAGCAGCAGTGTTTGCTTAAATTTGTGCTGTGTGTTTGAACTGTTAGTCTGAAGGCAGAGCCATCTAGAGGTGACAAAAGCATTAAAACTGAGAATTGCACTTACACGTAGGTAGGTTTCCCTTTAGGTGATCCAGTTTACAATCATCCAAAATACTTTGTGTGTGATATGTGACCCTGAAATGACTATAGCTGTTTGCTCAAACTTGGGCAGGACTTGAATTTCAGCTTTCCACCCTCCAGGTGTGCAGCAGTTCTGAGGTGTTTGCACATCTGTCAATCTGTGCTGTTGTTCCTCTTCTGGTCTTTGTACAATTTATTTTCTATGAATAAAGAGGGACTCTCTTCTTTTCCTAGGTACTTACGAGGGCTGTGCAGTCAAGACTGTGATCTGTAGTTTTCATATTTCTTTTATTTTTATTGCCTGATCCTAGTCTTTCCCCTTGCAGGAGATTGGAAGAGCAGTTGGCATAGCGCTAAGGAAGCAGTTTGGATGGCAGGCTGATCTGCGGGCCCCTGACCTGGAGGTAGGGCACTCGTCTGCTTGGTGGCCTGTTGCTTCATCCAGAATTGTCCCGAGTCCTTTATTTTTTCCTCTGTTCCCTTTGCTTGCAGTACCCCAGCTTCCTCCCATTTGTCTTTCTGCTCCTGAATTTAACTAGAAATCATCTGGTAGTGCTGAGCAAAGCTTTTCAGTGGCATGAGTACACATCTTGCAGAGCACTTTAACTCCAGTCATAAATACTGGAAAGGCCAGCATGTGCCTGCACTGACTGGGGGAGGATCCACACAGGAGACATCTCAGGATCTGGCACTCATATAAACTGCTTGACTCTCCACGTGTGGAAAATGGAGTTCCCCGAGCTGCCTGGAAGGATTATCTGTGTTGTCCTTCCAGCTGCAATGCTCCTTAAAGTGTTTTTTTTTAGAAAAACAACGAATAAAAAAGGGCAGGGCCAAGTGCTAGTATGCAGTCAGTGATCTCTACTTACAGTAAGTTTATAGGTAGAAAAACACTATTTAAAAAAAAATAAAAAGTAGCTCCTATAAAAATCAAAGTGCTTGCTGATGGATTCCTGACAAAAAAACCTCTCCTGGATATTAAATAATCTTTGAACCGGTTTTCAGTTTATCTTGCGTGATTACTTCCAATTAATCATAAATTTGTAAGCGTGTATTTTTACTGGGATTGGAAATTCATAGAATCATCTTCTGTGTCTGGCTGAAATGAGTTGAAGCTACTGCCATCTCAAGTTGAGAAATTTTGGTGTTATTCTTTCAGATCTTTCTACATCTTAATGACATTCACTCAGTCGTGGGGATTCCTCTTTTCAGGTAGGCATTCTTGTCACTAGATTTGTTTTGGCAGTACAGAACAGGCATAATTTCTAAATAGTCCTGCTGTCCTCTGTATTTAGCTTTTGGATCAGTATTCTGGCGGTCTACCTGGAGTTTACCTGAGCACATAGGCTTGGCAGTAAGCATGTGGCTAAAGCAGACTGGTTTCTGTCTGTCTGCAGGCCTGGGAAGTTCAGTTCTTTCAGTATTTCATCTTACGTGGCCTTTTCTGGGTGGCTGTACCATTACCTTACATTGATTTTTGGTGTCTGCAGGCTTCCCTTGGCAAATAGAGAGTATATCAGAACAGCAGGCCTGCGGTCAACTGTTGCCTGGGCCATGGCATCTCTGGCTGAAATAAGTGTAAGTGAACATTCATGGCAAAGATGCAGAGCCCTCCATAAGGGTGATTTGCTGCTTGGCAGGGTTGAAGCTGGAGTTCTGGAGCAATGTGTTGATTTCTGTGCCCTATGTGTTCATCCACATAGATAAAGGTTGCCTTACTTGTGCTCAGAGTGCACTGTCAGCAGGTGTTCAGCCAGATTCCTGCTTTATAGTTCCAGGTCTTTCTGAGCACAGTGTTACTCCTTCTACAAATATGTTTAAATTGCAAGGGTTTTTTTTGCTGTTCAGGTGTCGAAGCTAGTCTGGGGTTGTTTTTGCAAGGAAAACAGAAGCCTCTGTGATCCACAGGTTAATTTATAACCAGTATCTGTCTGCAATCCAGTCATGAATTTTCCCTACATGTGACTTCAACACTAGATGTATTGTGTTTGCTGAAACTATTCATGCTTTATGATATATCATCTTACCAGTCAGTTTGGCCTGGTAAAGTAATGACTTGTTATCTGCATTCTGTGCGACTGAGTAGGAGGTGAGAAATCAGTACCTGAGTGAGTATGCTTTGTATTGAGGGAGGAGTGTGTCTTACTCAGTGTGTGACAACCCCTTTATTCTTGTAGGTGGGTGCCTTCGTATTGGATCCCATGTGTGGGCTGGGAACCATCCTGCTGGAAGCTGCCAAAGAGTGGCCTGTAAGTGTCTCGCTCACAATAGGATTTGAGCAAGACTTGTAGCTGCACCAAGAAAAAATCTGTACTGTACTTATACCAATGTCCATTACTGAAAACCTGGAACCAAAATAATCTTTATAGACAGTTGTTTACAGTATCTTAGTACAGATATGCCTCCACAAGGATGTAAAGCAAAGTCCTATGTGTTGTATAGGTGCAGTGAGCTCTCTGCTGATGATCTGCAGGGCTTCTGTTTGGCACCCATGGCCCTTCTTTTAAGAATGCCTGTCCTGGAAATGGAGGTGTCAGTGTAACAGAGCAGCAAATTGTCTAAAAGACTTTTTTCTATTTTCTCTGAATAGGAAGCCTGTTACTGGGGTACGGATACAAGTGATTCACAATTAGAGGGTGCAAGTGTGAATATTAAGACTGCGGGCTTGGATGATAAGATTGAGTTGTTTAAAGCTTCTGTGAAAGGTATGTATGTAAGCTTTCAGAGCGAGACTTTTGAAGTGCAAAGTCTTTTGTGGTTCAATGGTTGTATAGGTGCTCTTGAGGTGGTCTGTAATAGAGTTATCTTTAAAAATAAATAGGTGGCTAGTGACTACGTAATTGTTTGCTCTGTGCCTCTCTGAAATTTGACAAGAATAAGCTCAGAATAGAATTATCTTCAGACACAGGCAGTAACCACAAAATGGTCTCTAGCCAATTCTGGAAAGGCTGGCACAGAATCACAGCAGGTTTTAGGTGGGAAGGGACTATTGGAGATCTTTAGTCATGTCATCTGCTCGGAGCAGGGCTAACCCTAAAGCCATGTTCAGATTGCTCACCTCATCCAGTCAAGTCCTGAGATACCTGTAGGATGAAGCACCCACGGTCTTCCCTTTCGCCTGAAGCCTATACTTTGGTCAACCCAGCCTGCTGTGTGATTGGCTTTTCACCACAAGGGTGCACTGCTGCATCATTATCAAGAAAACTAAATACCCCTGGGATGCAGAAACTGTGATTCTGTTAGAGCTTATATCTTTTAAATATTTCCCTAAAGTGATTCTGGTTGTAATGTAATTACTGGGAGAAAGAGTGGGTAGAGGAGAATCCAACATGGGCTTTTTGCCATTAATACCTGTACATTTAAACAGCTGTGCTTGACCATTTGCAAGCTTAGCTCTTACTTTGCATTTTGCTTGTAAAGATTTACTGTGTGTTGAGAAGCATCAGTTAGTTTGGAACTGTCCAGTGCCCTGCTAGGGAAGTCTTGCTGTTGAGGCAAACATATCACCAAACAGAGAATGTTGAGAGCTGGGCAGTGCTCTCCACTCAGTCTGCGTTAGGTTGGTAAAGTTTGTAATGTTCGTAGTGTTGTTTGTGAGGAAAAAAAAAAGAGAAGGAGCTGTGAATCTAATGGGATAACCCATGAAAGAGCTGGCAGAACATTCTGTAAGGTGAATGAGGGCATGGCTGCTGTTCGTTTTGCAGACAGTCAGATGTCAAGGCCTGCCTTTATTCTGCAGCGCTGCCGTTGCCCTCAGAAAGCTTTGATGCCGTGATTTCGGATATTCCATTTGGGAAGAAGTTCAAGATCACAAAAGACATACAGCTCCTACCAGATATTCTCCAGGAGATGGAGAGGTATGTGTGGCCTTTGATGGAAATGTAATGATGTCTTGTGATCTTAAATCCGAAGCTAACAATGTCTGCTTTGTTCGAAACGCTCTCCAGTTCAGTAACATGATCCTGTGCAGACTGTGAAAGTCTGAGTCCTTTACTTATTCCTCAGAGGCTGTTGTGACTTGTCTTGCAAGCTGTGGAAGTGCTGATGGCAGTGCAGGCTAAAAAGGAGTGAGATTGTCTGAGCCACGATGGTATCATGAGTGAGATGAAGGAGTAAAGAAGGATAACCAAGCAAAATTTAAAGCGTGGACAGGCAAATAAAGCAAAAACATTTCTCAGTTGAGGCCTGTATAAAATCATATGCTTTCATTTTGGGTTCACAATCAAGCTTCTACCAGCCTGCCTTGGCAGGAAAGATCTCAGACTGGAAAGCGGTGATACACATCTTCCTTTTTGACACTGTACTGAAATATCCAGTAGCCACCTGTCTTGTTTAGATGCCTCTCATCGTATCCCACCCTGTCATTTTGTGGCAGAGTTATATCAAGCTAAAAACAAGTTGCTTCTAATGGGCAGTTAAAGCCATCTGCCACCTAATTTAACTTTTTGGCTGGAAACAAGCCCTTTCTTTAGGATTGTGCAGATGTTGGTCTCACACAATGGAGGAATGTGGTGGGAAGGTGGTGAAGAGAGTGAGGTAGCTCCACAGAATGGCAGGGCAGTCTTCTGTTAGCTCACACTGACTATCCCTGCTTTTTACCCATGTTTCGTGTTCTTATCTTCTGGTCTCATTTGCTCTTTTGCGTCATTGTAAGCAAAATATCTTCTTGGGAAGGGGGAAGTGAGGAAAGGACTGTTACCATGAGAGCCCTACCAGTAAGACTGTTCAATGCACTTGCAGTGAGAGCCAGGATAGCCTTTTTTCCCTTCTTTCATTTCTTTTATGTATTAAGAAAAAATAACCTACAAACAGTGGTTAATTTTCCTGTTTCCTGTGCCTGACAGACTTGAAGGGTCAGTTGAATACAGAAAGGGACAGATCTTTCAACATTTTCAAAGGGAAAGGCCAGCTTCAGAATTGCTTTACCAGCCTGGAAAGCTCTCCCTTTTGCTGTAATGGGAAGCTGTTCCTTTGCAGGCCAGTGAAGGCTCAGGCCTTGCTTCTCATAATGAGACTCAATTGTTGTAAGAATATGAAGAGCAAAGAAGCTAGTCCCTCTTCCTTACTAATCACATGGAAAGAGCTCCTAAGGTCAGAAAGGTTTGCGAGTCTGTAGAGGGCCTGGTTCTCCCATTGGGCTGGGGAATTTAAATTCCCTTGGGTCAACTCAGTAAAGCAGTATTTGCAGTTACTCTTAATGTGTTTAGGTGTTTCATTGAATGCAAATGATGTCTGAAGTATCACTGTTGTTGAGTTCTAAATGAATTCAGGCAGGATGAACACCTGACCTTTATTATTTTCTGCAATTGCCAGAGTGCTTCGTGTTGGAGGGATTATTGTGTTGTTGCTGAATCAAGATCTCCGTAAGCGCATGGATGGCATTGCCAAGACTGTTGAAAATGAATCTCTTAATGCCATTTCTGATGGTGCAGATGAAATGACCTCTGTGAAAGCCTTGAATAATGATGGGAATTCATCCACCTCGGGGACCGGTGTTGAAGAACCTGTTCTCAGCTGTGGACAGATGTGTTTTGGGTCTCTCGTGCCAGATGGCATCTATGAAGTTAGTCTTGGAAAGACGGATGCTTTCATATACAAATACAGGAAGATCTCTGCTGCTGGGAAGAATTAACAGCTTTTGTGCATTGTTCCAGTGTTGAACTTGAATCCTGATAGACTTGAAAGCAGCATGGCAGTGAACTGGTGTAACTCTGCTAGTCCAAACTCTGTGCCATTTGCTTGCTCACCTCAGTTTACTTGAGTCTACTAGGCTGTTGCTTTTCTCACTTTGGCTTTTAGATGGAAGATTCCTTTTCGTGTTTCAAATGTTTTTAATATAAACTGCTGTAACAAGACAGAGTCCTCAAATCCTTGTTTAGACAAATCCTCTCTATATCAGGATGAGTTCTTCACGAGAAGGACTTCAAATGCTGTACCACAAAAACATGGTAATACTACATGTGAATGGGTTTTCACCTCCTTTAATGTTCTTAGGAAGTGCTTCTTAAGAAACCTCGAGCTGTTCTTGAGGACTGGATGGAGAGCCTTACTTTGTGCCTTGCAGTCTTGTATTATTTTAAAGCTATCTTATTATGATTCTGAATTGTCGCTATTCAGATACCATGCTGTGGAAAATAAATTATTTTTAGTATTAATTCCTTGTGGGGTTTGCATGTATCTAATAGGAATGCTGCAGCTTTTAGTGTGAAAGCTTATTTTGTTTTTCCTTGCTGATAACTTTGCTCTAAGGACGTAGTATAGAAGCCAGAAATGCTTGCAGGATGAGTTAACAGTTTGAGGTGACTTCTGTCTGCAAAGAAGCACGTAGATTTCTCCCTTTTCAGAAAAAGAAAAGCCTTAGTTAATCTAGTCTGTGCAGTAGGGTTGCTAAGGGTGCACTTGGTCCCCTGTTGATGTCATGATGAAGATGTTACAAAGCATTGGTCCTGGCACTGATCTGTGAGGAACACCGCTTACCTCCATCCAATCTGGACATTGAGCCATTGACCACCACTGTCTGGGTACAATATCATAGCCAGTTCCATGTCCATCAAACGATCCACCTGACAAGTCCATATCTTTCCTATTTGGAGAGAACAGTGTCAAAGGCCTTGTCCAGATAGATGACATCAGTGGCTCTTCCCTTGTTCACTGATGCGGTTATGCTGTCGTAGAACACCAGTACATTGGTCAGGCAGAACCTGCCCTTCATGAAGTCATGTTGGTTGCTTAGTATTACCTCTGTCTTCCATGTGCCTTAGTATAGCTTCCATTAGGATCTGTTCTATGATCTTCCTCGGCACTGAGGTAAGGCTGAACTGGTCAGTAATTTCCTCGATCATCCTTTCTGCACCTTTTAAAAATGTGTGTGACATTGCCTCTTTTCCAGTCACCAAAGATTTCACCTGACTGCCATGACTTTTCAAATATCACTTGGTGCCAATTCCTTCAGGACTCTCTATTATGTGCATAAATCATTTTGATAGAGTATTATTGCATCCATTTGCTTTTGACAAGACAAATACACAAGTGGGTAAAATACAGCTCTAGCAGGACCTAGCAGTTTTTAGTGAGAATTTTGCTCTGTGTTCAGTGGTAGAGCCAAGCACAGAAATGCAGGGAAGGCAAGCTCCAAAGCTGTGCTTAGCTCTGATGCTGGTATATCCTACACTTGCTTCTTGGTGTCTTGATTCTTCCTAATTCAATTTATTAATCTGTTGGTTTTTAGTCTCCTCTGTACCACTGTTTGCTGAATTTGCCACTGACTTTTTCTGCTGTCATTCAATAGATGATTATTGCATTAAGCATCAGTCTTCTTTTTTTCTCTCACTTCTCCTTTCTCTTCCCATCCCTATGCTCACAATACATGTGGCTTGTTTACCTCCGCTGTTTCTTTTTTTTATTCAGAACCCATGCCTCTTGTGAAGCAGTCCAGCAGTCCCGAGAGTCCAGCCAGCTTTTTTTCCTGTGCCCACTTGGTGTGAAACTCCACTCTGGTAACGAATGCATGGATGCCATGCACTGGGCAACAGTGGCTTTCAGGTGATGGCAGAGGATTGTAGTTTTGGATGAGTTGTGACAGATGCGTCAACGTAGCACAGAAGTATTTTAATTGTGGGGACTGGCACTGTCAGTTTGAGTGCTGTCTGATAGATCAGAGTGGTGCTTTGATCTGTTCATTCACCTGTCACTTCCATTAAGCACTGGAAAATGCAAAGCCGCTCCCCTCTAGAACTTGCCATTCCTTTGTTGCAGATGTGGCATTTTGCCCAGACGGGAGAGGCTTTCTGGGGTTCTAACATTGCTGCATTGCTTGTAGTGAATGCTTGGTGATCCATGCTGTGATCCGCCTGCTTTATGAACTCTTTCTCCTTTGCAAGAGACCACTTCCAAGCTGTGACGCTGTAGCTGTAAATGTTTTGACAGAGGCAGGTTTGCCTCAGCAGGAAGAGACCTTCCAGGAAGGGAGTCATTTAACCTTTTCTTGCAAGGCAACTCAGGTGCTCAGAATGAAAATCTTGGTTATTTACAAGTTATGCAGGAACCTCATATACAAGGGATATATAAATATATGTATAAAAGATGCAGGCACATACTTTTTTAGCTTTAGGAAAAGGTGTATTTGGGCATTGGGAAATGGGGAGGGGCAACAAACCCTATCTTTAAGATCAAATGCAAATGTACTGAATCATAACATTACACAAAATGCCCTGGGAAAAGGGATATAATTCTGTCTAGGATTCATCTGGCAACAATGACTTTTTCTTATTTCTTTACTTACAGATCCTTGAAAATACAAATAGTGCAAAATATTGCTGCAAATGAAATAATCACTTTGATATTCTGAAATGCAGGAGAGTGCAAATAACAAAAGAAATGCCTTAATAATCAAATAACTTGCACCCAGCTTTGTTGATACAAGTTATCTTCGGTAGCACACAGATTATAATTACTGGTATTCATGTTGTTCTAGTGTATTACCCAATTGTGCTAGATTGAGCTGTGGTTGTGAAGTGTTTCCAGTTAACTTCTTGGTTGTTACTTTAAAAATAAAGGATTCTCCTCTGAGACCTCAGTCACGCCTGCCCCTTCAAACTGAGCATGATAGCAAAAGCCTCTGTTCGCGATCAGACTTGACCCACGTGGCAAAATCACACTGAGCAAAAGTTGCAGCTGTGATGCAGAATCCCCTCTGTAGGAGCAGAGCCCAATGCATGCTTCCCAGGAGCCAGGAAAATAGTTTTGCATGTGCTGGGTGTAATCTGATCTGAAGGTTACAGAGCAGGTAATCCACCTCGGTGGGTGGCCCTCGCCAGCCTCCCATAGCATAGCTCTGCAGAGGGCAGCTGGGGGGTAAGTCTGTCCCCAGCTGTCTGCAGGCACCCACCTCCCAGCCTTGGCTTAGTCTTCATTAGGCATTTTTCATCAGGCTAGGATTTTCATTAAGCTGCTAGATTAGCTATGCGCAGCAAGCCTTTCCTCAGGCCTATGCTTTCTAAACTTTTTAAAGGAAAAAAAAGCTGTGCCTGTGCATTACAGCTGCTCGAATCAAAATATTTCTTTTGCTGTGAAAGCGTTGTTCACAGCCTTGTGAGTTTGGATGGTTCAAGCTCACACTGGATTCTTGTTGGGGGACTTTAGCTCTCTGTAAACAACCATTAATTTTACGGCTTTTTTTTTTTGTGTGTGTGTGTGTGAAAGTGTTCCCCTTCCCTATCTCAGCTTGAAGTATTCAATCCAACACCAAGGACTGCAAGCTCTAGGGAGGGACAGCTCTGCTTATGAGAAGAGATATCACTTTGCATGTGATGGAGAGGGAGCGGTTGTTTTAGTCCCACGATCCTGCTGCATGAGCCTTAAAACACTTCTCAGTTGTTCTTTTGTTTTGCTTTTTAATTACTGGTTATTCCACTTGTGTGAGTGAATCGGTTCACGCAAGGCCCAATAACTGGAGATGAGAAGGAAAGGTGTGCTCTACTTACTGGCATCACATGCTGCCTACTCAAGGGAAACCTGGTGAAGCTTTCACACATAATTAGCTCGCTAGAATGGTGCATCACTATTACCTGTCATAAGGAGCAGAAGACCTGCAATGTGCTGGGTGAGGCTTTCCTCCACAAGGAAACTGGTTGCTGCGATGACGCACTGCAGAGTTCAGCTGCAGACATGCCTTGGAAATATGGTGATTCTTCTGAAGTCTGTTGCCACCAAAACAAAAGTAAAAAGTGGGGTTTACAGTGAACATCCCTTCCTTTGCAGGAGAAAGGGGAGAAATGCTTAGAAACATGCACTTGTGCAGCTGGCTGGTGCCAGGCAGACCAACAGTAGGAGCAACTCTATACCTACAAGTGCCTGTAAGTAGAAAGTAATCCTCTCTAGGATCAAACCAATGAGACTGCTGCATATGGATGCTTTTGTAGCTGTGCTATGAACCTCCCAGTGAGCTATGTGATCATACAGCTTCAGCCACAAAAGATTCAGGATGTGGGTGGTATGGATTTATGCAAACACACCATGATAGACTTTGTTCTCTATTTCATCTTTGAGTTTAAATTTAAAGTAACTTGGATGGACATAAATGTTCCAGTTTCTGAAAGCTGGGGAGTTTCCATGCAGAAGGGTTTTGCCATAATTATTTAGCATGTGGCTTCTGACGTCATCTCCTGAAACATCTGCTGCTGGATGTCCTCCAGAGATGCTGGAATGCAGTTTTCCAACCTAAGATCTGCTAACTCCTGCAGGAGCAAGGGGAAAGGCAACCTTTCTATGCAAGCTAGCATTTCATTCCTGCCTTGTTCTTAGGAAGTGAACAGGCTGAGCTGTGCTGATCACTTAGGGAGCAGGTGACATTTGTACTGCTGGATTGTCTTTGACAGGTTGAAAGGGATGTTGCACAAGCATACTCATTGGCTGGCAGACATGCTACATGTTAGTAATGCACCTCTGAGAGATACCTGCTGGAGAGGTACATAAGGTGCTCTGGTCCCCTGGTGCTGGTAATGCTCCTCCTTTCCTACAGACAGCTTTCATTGCAATTGGCTCCTGTCAGTCCTTCTCTGCCCTGCTCCTCCCAATACCAGTCCTGGTGTGCAGAGGCAGCACTCGTCATTTCCTATTATGTGGGAGCACGACTACTTCTTCCCTCCTCTTTGTCCCCCCTATCCACAGGATACTACTTCCTTCAGCAATTTCCCTTAGCAGTACATGCTGGCTGGTGCAGCAGTGTCCATGCCACTGAACTTGCAGGGAAGAGAAAAGGAAGGGCCAGACTGACTTTCTTTCTTTCTTCCTTTATTTTGCAAGACCATTTCTTTTGTTTTTACTTTCCATGTTCTTCAGAGACACCAGTGCATCCTGACACTGGCACCCTGCTCTTTGACATGGCATCACAGAGGTGACTCCTTTACAAGGAGATAAATAGCCATGCAGCTGTATACAGACAGTGAAGGCAAGCAGCGCAGAGGGTCCCATCCCTGCATAGGTGCAGTTCCTTGAGCTTGCTCTGGTGAAGTGATGCTTTTCCCCTAACCACTGGTTCTCCAGCTGCAGATTCACACCTTTAGATTTAAAGAGGAAGCATGCAAGGAAGAAGCTGAGTCTTCAGGCTGTCCACATTGTGATGTATCTTTTTTCCTGTGAAGTGCAGTATAAAGACTTTGTGTTTGAGGAGAGGGAGAAAGCGTCTAAGATGCTCTCCTGCCTTTTTAAACTTAAATTGGGAAATATCCCAGGTTTGGCTCTTTTTCCCTGGGCAGCAGGAGTATACCAGGATGGGAGTGATGCAGAGGGTTCTCTTCATCTCCCTTCCACCTCCAGATCCAACCAGGCCTTCCACATAGCTTCCCTTCCCACACTTTCTTTGGGGCACAGCTTATGACCATAGCCAATACACAATGTTGATGTTGGTGTTTTGGGTCTTAAGTGGCAGCCAGACAAATGGGTTGTGAGCACGGTGAGCCCTGAAGTAACGCTGCCTCCAGCCTTGGTGAGGTATGTTCTGTGGCTTTCGGGTGCTGCTGAGAACAGTGAGAGCTCGTGGTCCCCAGATGCACCACAGCAGCACATCACAGCGATTTGACTGAGAGAAGTCTGAGGTGAGAGCTGGGTTTTTTGTCTCTTGGTATGCATGAGCTTGGCTGAAGCTGGAAGGAGTTGCAACACCAACACCTCTATCTCTAGCTGTTTGCTTTGCTCTGCCTGGTTGTTGTGATTCAGGTAAGGCTGACAGCCTCCAAAGGATGGGATGGCAGGAGGCAGCAGCCCAGCTGTGGCTCTCGAGGCGTGGAACGAGTCCTGCAGTGCCTCAAAGCCCCAGAAGCTGCTGCCTCCAGTTTGGTCCCTGGCACAGCCATCGCGGCCCCGCGGGTGTTTGTGTTAAGAAGGAATGGGAAGGTATTGGGGTGAACAGGGATCAGAGTGGAGAAACCCACGGGGTTTTCTATAAGATTGGAAAAAGCGCAGGCAGTAGGTGGGGATGGAAAACAGGCTTCAAGGGGAGAAACAAGCTCGACGCCGGAATACCGCCGCCGCCATGGCGCAGGGCGCGGCGCTCACGTCCCTCATGCACTCGGCCCCGCCCCGACGGGCCTCGCGGCTTTGCCGCCTCACGCGGAGCTGCTGCGGCCGCGCATGCGCAAAAAGCACACGTTCGCCGCTCGCCGCGCATGCGCGGCCCGCCGGGGCGGGGCGGCGCGCGTGCGCGTTGTGGCGGCGCAGCGCCATGTTGCCGGAGCGGGGCAGGGGGCGGCGGTGAGCGCTGCGGCCCGGCGCCCTCCCCTCAGCTGCCCTCCCCCGTCCGGGGCCGCGGCCGAGCGGGGCTTCCCCCGGCACCATGAGCGGTGCCGGCGGGCGGGTGTGCGACCTGTCCCGGCGTAACCCCCAGGAGGACTTCGAGCTCATCCAGCGCATCGGCAGCGGCACTTACGGCGACGTCTACAAGGTACGGGCCCGAGAGCGGGGCGGCGCGGTTCGGTTCGGCCCGGCCGGCAGGGCGGCCGGCACTCGGCACCGGCGGCCGTGTGGGCCGGGCCCCGGGACGGCTCCGCGTTTGGGCCTTCCGTCGGGCGCCGGAGCCGCGTCCCGTCGCCGCGGGTGCCGGTTCGGGTAGCCGGGCCGCCGCTGTCCGGGCCCGCTGCGGGCTCCGAGGCGCGGGAGGCACCTGTGCGTACCTGAGGTGGCGGGGCTGAGCCCGGAGCGTCCTTGGGGCCGGGCTGCTGGAAGCGTTGCTTCGGCACCGCGCTTCCCGAGCGGCATCGCGGTTCGTTTGCTTAACGAAGTCGGTTCTGGTGGGCAGGGCTGTGCCGGAGCGGTCCGAAGTGTTCTGCGATGGGAGGTTCAGTCGCTTAAAAGTAGCGCTGACGTTACCTCTGCCTTGAAGTGAGCGTCCCTAGGGTGACGTCTTGTTTGGGTAGAGCGCTCTTCAGTTCAGGCTGTCTCGCTTGGATGTTAGAAAAGCTTCAGGACCTCAGTCCTCGTGTACCTGCCTTCTCAGTGCACTAATCCCCAGCCCGAGTCATTGCTTCACTGAAAAGGGTTATTGTGTTGTCTCGTATACCTCGCCAGTTTGCAGTATTAGTGTGCTGTGCTGATGGCTATCTAAGCCTGCTTGCTTCACACTGTTTTTTATTTTTCTGCAAGCTGCCCACTTGATGTTTATTGCATTTGAAACTGGCCCACTGCCTGCGATCCCTTACTGATTGGGTTTGCTCGGTGCTCTGTATGTGACTGACAGATGTGAATTCTGTCTTCTGTATCCACAGTTTTATTTTAAAGATGTTACCTCCAAGCATAGGTTGAATATTTCCATTTACGCTACCACTACGTGAGTGAGGCCTGCTAGTTTCTGTTGAATTTGTCATAGTTTTCTTGGTGATTATCATGTTTACATTGCTGTCACCTTTGGTTCACTGCTTGGTTAGCAGTCAGCATTCAGCACTGCTTGTAACTTTTTGTTCTCTCTCAGAATGGATTTGTCTGTGTTTCATGTTTCCATGTGACAGCTGAGATGGAAGGTGATGAATTAGAGCAAGGATATGTTGGGCTAAGTTTAAAAGTATTTATTTCTTGTTGACAAAAGTGAGATAAACACTTTCTTACTTTACAATTAGGTTGTGAACAGCATAGGGAAAATGAGTCATGCTTTTCTCCTGGGAGAATTATTGCCCATTTCATTTCGAGGCAAGGTGTTGCCCAGGGTGCCTTCAAAGAGGAACGTGAAATTAGTCTGAGAATCATAATGTGGCATGGTTACTTCTAATGTCACAAAGAGGAAGTAATATACTCATGTGTGTCACCCACGTGTGAGCTTGCTAGGCCTTTGTCGTGAATTTGTGAGAGGGTTTAATATTAGAGCCTCTTTGATTTGCTTCGTCTTGCTTTCTGTGGGTGAACTTTGTGGTCAGTGAAGCAATTGAGCAGAGCTGAGGTTACTGGTGTGAACACGGTGCTCGTTGGCGGTGGGGTTTCAGCAGACCTGATCCAAGTTCTGGGTGTACTCAGATGACCTCAAACTATTCCTTCAAAACTTCATTTTTGCCCCCTTTAGCAGGGAGAGCCATGTAGGAAGGTGTATTATTGCAGTAACAAGAGGACAGTCTCCTTCTGTTGACATTCTTTCTGTATGCTGACCTTTCTGTAACCTGCTTTCCTGGCGAAGTTTGGAAGAGCTGAAAGCAGAGTGGGCTGGCATCCACTTCCTCAACTCTTTTTCGTTGAGCTGAGCTATGGAAATGCATGGGCCTGCTGTTAGACAGGTGGAGCATTTTAAATAACAAAACAGATCTTAGTATTTATAAGAGCCAGTGGCGTGGAATAAACTAATGAGTTTGTAGTAAGAAAAGTAATGGGTAGTGTTTCCATGTGATGAGCTCTTTATCAGATATGCATAGTCAACCTTATCTCTTCCAACCAAAGTTTATTGTAAGAGATGAAGCTGGATCTAGTTTTATCTCATTCTTAGTTATTAGGATATCCCAGGGATATAAACACTGACATAATGTTTTCTGTGAAGGTCTGAAAGATACCTAAAGGACTTCACAAATAGTATTCCAGTGAAAATATGTTGCTGTGATAGATAAAGCAATATCACAGAGCTCTCGTTATCCATTTAGATACAGTGGAGGATTTATAATTGATTCCCTTGTCCAGTGAGGTCTCCTGGCAGGATTGGCAAAGTCAATTAATGGCAAAATCAAGTTACTACCTTGGTAGCCCAGCTGTAACAAAACACAGATGAACTTCTAATAGTGTTTTCGTGGAGTTAAGTAATCTTCTGTTCTGCGTTTCGTCTTCTCACTTGTCTGATTTTGTATGTCTTAACAATTGTACTTGTTAAGTAACTTAATCTCTAAACCAGACTTTATATGAAGCTGAGAGCAAAATTGCTTTTCTGGCTGCAGTTGCATGTCAGCAGAATTGTTATTTTCACCTTCTGTTTCTATTGAATTTTCTCATCTATAACAAGACCTGTGAGAAAGGGCGAAGGCCTGTTCTGCTGTCTCACAGTCAGTTCTGTCTTCTGTGTTTCTGTATTTCACTGTCAAGAAGACTTTCGTTGCATGACATGGCCAGCAAGGCATAAAGGAGTTGTCGTCTTTTTCACAACCAAAACAGCACTACCCCATCCTGCTCCCTTTTGGGAAATAATTTTTTGGAGTGAAGTAATTGCTTAATTACTTTATTTTGTCAGATTTTTAGAAATATATGTATTTTTGTATGATTTTAGTATGAAATTGCCAGTCTGATAAGACCTGTACCCAAGTTCTGTTTAGTTTTGGGTCGCAACTTCCACATGGGATGTTCTAATGGCTGTATTAATAATTAACATCCAAGTGCTGTAGTTCTCCTTTTTGCCATCCATACCAACACCTTTGGTTTTGTTGGTAACTGCATATAGATTTGAAGTATATTCTGAGGTGGTTGTAGGTCCATTTTGTTTGTTCATATAGTTAACTTTTAGCACAGTGTATCTTAAAAAAAAAAGTCATTTTGGTTTCATAAACATTGAACTTATTTGCCATTGTGCAGGTTTTTCATCTATTGTGAGTGGACCCAGCCAAAGATTTTCAGTGTCTTAGGAAAAGACTCTTATTCCCTTTTACTGAAAGTGATGCTTACGATAATTAGACTGGACTGTTGTTTCTGCAGAGCTATTGGTTGTGTCAGGTCAGCTTCACCCCCATTCTTTTTGTTTTCTTGACATCTGATTTCAGAACAGAAAAAAGCTGATTTGTCTGCTCTCCTCTCCTTTGCTTTGGATATTGTTTTTATTGAGGAAAGTCATATTTAACCACCTCAACTGTTTGAGACCAAAACACTCAGATTCTGTTTCAGTCTTCAGTTTCTGACAGCGCTCCTATGTTTTGCTGGAGGAGAACGTGTCCGGAAGAGATGAACCTGAAGAGTCTTCCATTTTGCAGAGTCATATGCAGGATTCATTTCTCTGCTTTGCTTCTCTTTCCCGGGGTGATCCGATAAGCCACGCGTTTTTCAGGAGCAGAGAAGATTCAGGAATATTTAAACGGTGCCTTTTACTTGTGTGCTTCCGATGCATATTTTAGTATTCTTATGTACCTTGCAGTTGTTCAAGCTCCTTCTGAAGGATAAAGATTCTCCTTGAAGGATCTTTATTTCAGGATTTCTTTGTTAAACAACATCCCTAGTATCTAAGAATTGCTTTCTAAAATAGCAGCCCTGTCAGGCTTTGTTGTTGTGTCTCCTACCGGAATGTGGAATGTCATTTATTTTTACCAGAATTCTTGGTAGTTCAATTCAGGTTAATTACAGCTGCGACTTCCTCCTAAGCTGTTGGATCAGATCAGCACATCTTACTATTGCCTGAGAGCCAGGGGATTCCCTGCCCTATTCCTAGCTTTAGTCGCTGCTCTCACTGCTTATCTTGCATCACCTCTGGAGCTCAGCATGCTGCCTGAGCCAGTGCACTTAGCTAGCCTGGCAGAAAAGGGACCAAAAAAGGAGTCAGGTGGATTGCTGCATGCTGAGCATGGGCTCAGCTCCTGGCTTTGAGAGGGCTGCAAGCAGGGGGCCTGGGGAGCGTGTAGGGTGGCAGAGCTGAGCTGGGTCTTTCTGTGCAGCAGGTTGAGTTCTCCTAGGAAGTAGCAACTTATTTAGAAACTGCTTGTCCACGTTTTGGTCAGCAGTTAATGTGTGAAGTAGTTGAAACCAGAAGCAAGCTATAATTACTGTCTTAGACTTTGCTTCTTGGCCCAGTTTCTCTTGTAGCATTGTATACTTGATGTTACCAGCCTCCATTTGAAGGACAAATAGCTGGCAAGTGATTTACCTTTTTGGACCCTGGATTTTATGGCTGTACTGCACAGACCTCTCCCTGTTGTACATATACTGCTGGGGCATGTATTAGGTGCGGTACTAAGTATGAGTGTTCCTCTTCCTTTGCAGACACATCCCATGCACATCTGCTTGTCTTCCGCTTGGCTAAACAGAGCTCATGCACAGAGCTCATCTGACTGCTGTGCTATTCCATTGCTCTTCCATTCTCTATTTTGGAGTAATAAGGTCTGTCCAATTGTGAGGCATTTTGATAAACAGAATTTTGTATAATGCAATAACAAGAAAAAAAAAAAGGCTTTTCTATCTTATATTTATAGCGAGTGGCAGTTTTTCAGGTAACATTTTGGTCTGCCTATTATCTTCACAGAGGTGCTTGTAATGATTCCTGTTTGAACAGGCAGTGCTTCTTCAGCTTGACTTAAGTTGTTGGTTTTTTTTTTTTTTTTTTGTCCTCATCCACTGGTTAGGATGAGGAGCTTTGTATGGCTTTCCAGAGCAGACAGTAAGGGCTCTATACATTTAATGGTATGCCTGTGGGCCAACGACACCATCTTTGCTTCTGGAAAACCCTTACAGTGCGTTCTTGTTGAAATAGTTCACTCCTGTAAATGGGCAGGTGAATTGTACCCGTTTTGATTTCTAGACAGATGACATTGTGGTAAAGATGGCAAAGTAGGGATTGTGTTTTGTGAAATCTGCGTTTGCAGGACTTGCTAAAAACACTGATGGGAGGTAAAGCTGCTGGTGTGTGTTGTTGCCTCATGCTCATGAGGGCTAGGAGTTGCCCCCCCAGAAATGTGTTTTTTTGACAGAGACTGCGTGTCTTTGAAATTGTTGATTGCTTTTTCTGACTCAAAAGTACTTGTTTGCAATTGCTCTTCAGCCAGCTGTGCCTTATTTATGCTCTAATTTCAAAACCTGTATGTAATCGGCAACTTGACTGTGATTATGCTAAATGAAAGCATAAGGCCAGTCCTCAGCTTACCAAGCTGTTGTATAGTATGTACACAAGCATTCTCCCAGTAGGGTTCAGAGCCGGCTACCGTTTTCAGAGTGTCAGTACAGTTTGAAGTGCTGTGTGTTTTCCAGTGTCTCATTTATAGGCGCTTGGGCAGGGAATTGTTTTCCAGCAGATGTCTCCAAAGCGGTTTGATGAGATGGAGGAATACTTGTTGGGGTACCTAGTCTTCATCCTTTGTGAGGAGCTCTCGTACCTCTACAGGCAGGATGCTCGTACATTCAGTGTTAATAATCCAAATGGAATAGGATACAAACTGCTACCTTATGTAGGTTGCTGATTTCAAGTCATGTTGTCTTAAGGAATAACTCATGCCCTGAAGCAGTGGGTAGTCAGCCCTTCCTGAGGGCATTGCTGACCCCGCATTAAATCAGATTGTGTTCCTGCTTTCTAATATTTGTGAGTCCAAGAAGATAATGGTTGAGAGAATGGCCAGCTGGCTGAGGAGTCGTGCTACTGCTGGTGTTGGAGAAAGAAGGGAACACTGCATCTTTTCGGCTTCAGCATTTGTTTCTTTCCCACCCGCAGTTCTTCCATGTCCTGTTCTCAAAAGAAGAGAAATGTTTGTGACAGAAGGGGGTGGTGTCAGTCTCAGAGTGTGGAGAGTGCAGGTTTGGCAAAGTTGCCAGCTGCTCAGCATTTCTTTCTTTGGCTGGGATGGAGCATGCTATAGCTGGGATGGAGTCCTGCTATGGCTGTATCTGTAGATTTGTCTGTCTGCTGTTGATAATTTTTCTGGCATTACTGTCACATGGTAATTATCAACAAGAATCCTCACGTGTTTTATTTGGCAAAATTTACTTCACATTTTTCATTAGTTCCTACCCAACTTGAATCTTGGTTTGGTTGCCATAACATTCTGTCGAGCACAGTGACCTTCAGCTAGAGATTCCTGACAGCTGAACGCAGCATGAGGTGTGTGTAGGGAGGATGTACCAAGCAACTTGTTGTCTTTGTTAGACTGGCAGCATCCCTGAAGCCTCTGCAGTGGACTCCCAGCTTTGTTTGCACATCCCAGCTGAATGCAGGATGCCTAACTGCAGATCTCACTGTTTTCACTCACCACAGTGATATTTCATTGATTATCTTGCTAGCTGTTCCAAAACATGTCTTCAAGGATAAACAAGACTCACAGATGATCTTATCTCTGTATTAAAGCATAAGTAATCTTTCTTGTTGATCTCAGAGGTTAAAAGTATACCGACTTTCAGTTCATGAACATCTGGCCTCTGTTTCTTCCTATGAAAGTAGATGTTAAGGAAAAGCAGTAAGGAATAAAAATCCTACTTCAGCAGTGCCACTTTCTCTCTTGAGTCACCTTCATTCTCTGTTATGGATGAAAAGAACCGGTATTTTTGCTATTTTTAGTGTCTGTAGCATCTTCGTTGCTGCCACAAAGCGATGATCGGAGACATTGCTGCCATCAGAGGAGCACACAAATAATGGTTTACTGGGAAAGGCCTGCAGGCAAATTTTGTTTTTTAACTCTTCTTTCTATAACCTGTCACGTTTGGACTACTGTCTGACTTCTGTAGGTTTCTCACTGATCTCAGGATCTATTCATAACCATCTGCCTTCAAAATATTTAGAAATGCCCGTGCTCCCAGCATCACGGAAGAGCACGGCCACCAAAAGGAACAAGGGGTCTGAGGTCAGCTGTGCAAGGAACTATCTGGGTAGACCCCTAAACGCAGGAATGCATGCTGCATTTATTTCCAGACTGGCTATTTTTCGTAGTGTTTTGATTTGTCTTGCTTCTTTTCCATCAGTTATGGCAATGGAAAAAGCCATCGGCCACCTTTTAAGCTACTGTTGGATCAGTGACTTACAGCACTTAATGAATCTCATGGCTTTGTAGAGCAGTACTGTGGATCAACGTTTGCTTTCTTTTTTATAAAGTTAGTTTTAAAATATTTGAGAAGGGGAATCTCTCTAATAACCACAAGCCTCTGATCTGCTAAGTGACTTAAAACCAAGATGATTAACAAGTTAAAGGCGGTGGCCTCTCTGTGTCACTAAATTATATAATTCTTCCACAGATCTGGCACTTTTTTTGCTTTGAAAGTGGATGGGGAAAAAGGAAAAGCACGACAGGCCTCATGGTCTGGGCTCTGTGTAGGACACAGAGTGGCATTTGGTGCAGCCAGCGACTGTCTGTGCAATGCAGCATTGGATACTGAGACTAACCTTTGGAGAGGGGAGGCAGGAGCTGAGCATCCTTCAGAGCAATCAAGATTATTGTTAATTATGTTTCTTCTTAGTGGCTTCTTAAAAATTAAACTGGACTTCGTTCACTCGGTTGTTGAGCTACTGTGTATGGAAGGGAAAGGCTATTTTAATTCTTTCTAAATCATTCATTTGCACGCTTGTCTTCTTTGCAGCCTTACAGGGAGAAAGCTGTCAGTGACTGAGTGCAGGGATCAAGGGGCAGGCAGTACCTACAGGAGCAGAACATGTTGCTTCTCTCTCTTGGGAGTCTCAGAAGTAGTTGCACACTGCAGGGTAGGAGCACGTGATCCTCCCTGGGCCCTGCTTGTCTGCTTTGAGATCTGTCCGTACTATGATTACTTTTCAAGCAACAGTTCAGTGGCCAACTTGTTGGAATTTAACAGGGAAGTACAGCACAGTCAAGGACTTGCATAACATGGGGCTCTATGCTGTTGTGCCAGCACAGAGCTTCCTGAGCATGCTTGCAGTTTCAGAGCTCAGTAGAGAACTCTGCTGAGAAGGTTGTGGTTGATGAAAAATTTAACGTGAGTCAGTGGTGTGCACCTGCAGCCTGGAAGTGCTATCCTGGGTTCCGTCAGAAGAGGGGTGGCCAGAAGAATAAGAGAGGGGATTGTTCCCCTCTACTCTGCCCTCGTGAAGCCACATTGGTAGTGCTGCATCCAAGTCTGGGGCCCCTAGCACAGGAAAAATGTGGAGCTGTCAGAAAGGGTCCAGAGGATGGCCCTAGGGTGTGGCACCTCTCCTAGACAGGCTGGGCTTGTTCAGCCCAGAAAATAGAAGGCTGTGGGCAAGTCTCATTGCAGCCTTTCAGTATTTAAAGGGAGTTTATAAACACGAGGGAAATCAACTTTTTAGACAGTAATAGGACAAGGGGGAATGGTTTTATACTAAAGGAAAGGAAGCTTAGATTAGATATCAGGGGGAAGTTCTTCACTGAGGGAGTGGAGAGGTGCTGGCACAGGCTGCCCAGAGAGGCTGTGGATGCCTCTTGCCTGGAGGTGTTTAAGGCCAGGTTGGAAGGGGCCCTGGACAACCTGAATCTGGGCAACCAATAGGTTGACACCCTGCATGCGACAGGGGGTTGGAACTTGATCTTAGGATCTCTTCCAACCTGAGCCATTCTGTGATACAGGTTAGCTGCTTAATGTGTTTGTGACACAGTTTGCTATGTCATTAGAAAAGAAATCCAATCTGAGAGGATCTGCTGGAAGAACACTTCTGACAAGTTTGTGTTGGAGAAGAACATGCTAGCTCTAGTGTTCTCTTTGGTTCAGTCATCAAGCACAGGCATGGATTATTTTAAGCTTATCTAATGGAAGTATATGCTGTAAGCTCAATGAAAAATAAATGCATGCTGTATTTGCAAGTCTAACTTCACATTCAACATAAATATGCAAGACGTTTTAATTTATTGGCTCCTTCTGTGGCTGTTCTGCTTCAAAATAACCCCAACAAATGATTTCATTGTTTTGGGCCCTTGTGTTTCTCAGTTGCACTTTGATTCTGCATTGTTAGAGAATCTCAAGCGGAGGGCACAGAATAGATTGCTGTGTTGTGCTCTCTAAATACTGATTTTATTGTTTGTTTTTTTGTAGGCTAGAAATGTCAACACGGGTGAGCTAGCAGCGATCAAAGTAATAAAGTTAGAACCAGGTAAGTGGTCACTGAGACAAAATATTTACATGTTTGAAATACATTTTTGTAAAATCAGTTGAGTTTAGTATTGAAGAAGGGATAATCGCTGTTTAAGTAGGGGAGAAAATGCTCTATTTCAAAAACTAACATGCATGACAAACAAGATGTGAGAGGAAAACCATTATTAGAGAATGGTTAAAGGAAAGCTGATTAAAATTTCAGCCTGAGTTGGGTTTTATGGTTTTAAGTACTGTTTTCAACTCATGTGGTATGAAAATCTGCATAGAATAAAACAGTGAGGAAGACAGAAAATTCCCCTGGAGAAACTGAGGGAGAAATAAAAAGGAAGGGTGATATAATAGGTGAGCATTAGTTGAGTATTGGGAATTGAGTAAATTTCCTGCAGTTCTCTGGCAAACTCTGATTAAAGCTTTATTATATGATAGATTTTTGCTTGAACCATGCTTATGTTGTTATCTTGTAAGTGCATAAGCAGCATTTCTATTGCAGGCCTGTAAGTGCTGTTCTGTTGATATGCATAGACATGTTGAACATGAGTTCAGTAATTTGGGGAGGAAAATGGCCAGCCTTTTTGTTTGACTCTTTAACTGTTGATGTTCCATCTCAAGGTTAATGTTGAGGTGAGTGATGGAATACTTTAAATATTACCTGGCTTTATTTTTACAGAGTTTGCAGCTGAGAACTAAAAGGAATTACTGCTTTCTCCCTTTCTTTCTTTTTTTTTTTTTTTTGTCTTAGATTCTGATGGTGCGTGTATGTTTGAAAATATAAATTCAGGACACGACACTATGTTACAAAGTAGTTCCAAAAGCATATGTTCATCATGCAGCTTTTCATCAAAGCCGTGGCTTTGATTGAATCTGATGATTGTGTCAAGTTCTGCTGCTTTAGCTCATTAGAGCAGCTTCCATCGTTGGAGTACGTGGCTGTGCGTAGCGTGGGTTTTCTGCAGCCGGCTGAATATCCCCGTGGAACTATAAAGCTAAAGCAGGGAAGGAGAGTTGCAGAGTGAAGAAAAAAGAAAAGACAACGTCAACCTTTCATGTAATGCAGTTTTTCACTTAGCTGACTCCTTCCACTCTTTCAGAAATATGGAGTGGCTTATTACATGGAGAGGGAGTCGCTGAATTACACTGCGTGCATTATCTGAACAGCAGGCAGCATGAGGATGCACTGCTGCTAAGGGAGCTTGCTCTTGTGCTGTGTTGGCAGGGATAGCGTCTGGCATCTTGCAGCTGAATCAAGTATTTTTGGCAGCCTTTGGGCACTAAGAGGAGTACAAAAAGATGAGCTTTAGTTATCCTCAGTTTGCTTGGTGAGCTCAGCTTTTCTCTTCGTAATTGTCACTTCTAGTTGGAGTAGAGGGTTGACTCACAGCTTCATAAGTGTCCACGTTCCAGAAGTGCAGTACTGGCTTACATGCCAATTTTTGCAGACTTGGGGACAGTGTGAAAATTAAGAGCTAATTACGTTTGATGCTCACACTGCTTTAATATTTTGCATGCAAATGAAAGCACCCTTCAAATGCTGTAGGAATCACAGAATCATAGAGGTTGGAAGGGACCTCTGGAGATCATCTCGTCCCAGCCCGCTACTAAAGCAGGTGTTTCCAGGCATACATTACACAGGAGCTGTATCCCTTCATGGAGATACCTGCTTTCATGTTAAAATAATTTCTTCTTTGCTCTTCAGCATTTGCTTGGAGTATTTGGCTAACAGGAGAGTCAGGATACAGCACGCCATCGGTAATAAGCAATTGGTTATGAAGCTACCTTGCACTTTCAAATTTGCTTTCAGTAAATATAACACATGTGGATATCAGATTTGAGGTACCAAACTGTTGGATGACTGGTATGTTAATGGTTGGGAGAAACGTAAACCTTATTTACTTAGATAATAGGTTGGCCAGTTCTGCTGGAATTTATTGTGTTACATTTGAAACTTAGCAACAACTGTTTCTGCTAAGTGATTTTAGGTTGTGACAGCGGATAAGTAGAATCGTATTGTCTATATCAAGCTTTTTAGACAATAGTTTTAGCTCCAATTAAAAAAAGTCTAATTTTAGAGTTTTGCTGAAGTGTCCTATAGCAGTAGAGAAGAAGAGTTCTGACACACTTTGAATTGCGTATTTCTTGAATTCGCTTCAAGTGTCTCTTAACCATTTAGCTTCATGAACAACTTTTAATTTAGAGCTTCAGGCTTATTTTAGATACAAGTCCTTGAAGCCAGTAAGAATGAGTTGTTTTTTCTACTCTGTATGTTTAGTAGCTAAGCAAACTTCAAAAGAAATCCTTCAGAAATAGCACACCAGAGTAGCTATAGTTTGCTATGGCTTGAGAGATTTCAAGAGAGTGCTACTGAAATGCACAGGAACGTTTGATGTGTTTCTCAAAAATGAAAAAAGCTGTCAGATGTGTTATTGGCATTGTTTTTCATCTTGATTTCTCTCACCTTGTCTAACTTACAAAATCCCTGCATAACACCACTGAAGCAAAAACATCTCTGGAAAATAGCATTCAAGGTGTTCCATTTTGTATACATCTGTCTCAACGTATGCATCTAGTAGGGATCTTTCATAGAAAGACAGGTACAGCCTAAGTACCAAGTCATAAGGTGTCTGTCAGTGTTCTACCTGTATGTAAGTTATGTGCAGTCCATAAACGTGTGTGCTTGCCAAGTCTACTGAGAAGTTGGTGCAGTGTACTATTGAGTGGGTTTTTTTGTTCAGGAAGGTGATAGGAGTGATAGGATGCATGTTGGACACACGGCCAAAAATAGCATAGTTTTGTCATGTTTGAGGAACCTGGAGTGTTGGCAGGGCATATGCAGATGGACACATTGGGGCCTCAGGGAAAAGAGAGCTGAGAAAGATGTGGCACTTGCCCGAAGAAGTATCCACAGATGTGAAGTCTGTCTGGCCACAATGAGACTTGTTATTTGTAAGTTATTTGTTACTTATTGCTAACAAGCATTGATTTACAGTTTTTTTTCCATGCATGTGAAACTGGCAGATAATTAATTTTATTTCCTCAAAATGCTTTTTTTTTTTTTGTGAACATGTTCTGAATGTCTAGTTGAGATGCAGATATGGGCCAGGCCAATGATAATATTCATTCTTCTTTTCAGGAGAAGATTTTGCTGTTGTGCAGCAGGAAATCATTATGATGAAAGACTGTAAACATCCAAACATTGTTGCTTATTTTGGCAGCTATCTCAGGTACGGTTTGGTTCTTTTGCTCACTTAAAAATGCCTCGATATTGACTTGAAAAGGATAGGTCCATAGGGTGACATAGTCAAAACACAATTTATCAAATAAATACTATCTCCTTATTTACTTTTTTCCTTTTTACTGTAAAATCTGTTCACCTTGCTGCAGTCTCTTTCTAGAAATAATGTTTTTCTCAAAGTCTTTCAATGACCGTAGTTAAATCTGTTCCAGTGAAATGTCTCTTAAATTTGCAGAACTTTAGAAAGTATAAATATTGCATAATACAGAGTTTTTGGTAATATTATGACTTAATTGCTCTTGTCAAGTAAAATTGTGACAACTTGAAGTTGAGTGTTATGGGGAAATAACAAACCACAATTCTTTATCTCCTTTTGTTTTTGTTTTCACCTCGTGTAAGAGTACTGGTGCTATAATGCTTTGTAATGCAGAGACTTCTGCTTGCATTCAGGTATTCACACATCTTTTATCTAGAATAGTATAGATAGGACACTACAGCTCTGCAGTCTTGACAGTATGTTAGACCTTCTTTGTAGGAGAATGATGCCAGGTTGAGGTATTCGTGTGCTTAGTAGCCTTCAGCAGCTCCAGCTGTAGTTTTCCATGATAGCCATCTGCTGCAGGCAAAGATTTTCAGCAGTATTGGCCAAGTGCTTCAGAGAAGATACTGGTGTTTGCACATGAAAAATCAGCACGTGAAAATGTTTGAAATTACCATCTCTGGAGAAGGAATTTGGCTTCTTTATTTGGTGTGCACCTTTTCTATTTAAATCTAAAATACTACATTTCTTTTACCTTAGTTCCAGATCTGTTAGGGTTTGTGAAAGCCCAGTTACTGTTTTCCTTACAGCTGGCAGGTTTGGTGCACTTTTTACTGTGGAAGAGTTGAATGTGCACTCCCTGGCTCACTCAGCCCTTGTGAGGCGTTCCCTGTCTTGCTCTGGGTGATCCAAAATGGAATGTTGAAGTGGAGATCATGGAGTGCTCCCTTGTGCTGGTGGTGACCTTGGCACTGAGCGCCTGTGTTGCTGCAGCTGGCCAAGCTGATCCTGTCAGCACTGGGAAAGAGGCAAGGCCCTGGCAGCAAATGCTGGAGGAGTGGTTGTGCCCCCAGTAAAGAGTTCAGAGGTGCTCTAAGGAGTTTGTTCTTCCTCCATCCTGAACGCTCACTGAAACCATGTGTTATCAGTGGCGGCGATGCATTGCACTGTACTTTGTTTAAGTATGTTTTAGCTGTTTGATGAGTAAAGAAGTATGGTACGCTCAGATGTGATTCAAGTCAACAAGACTTGGGTTTTAATTAAATTTATGCTATAGTCATTTCAAAGGGCTGTAGTGGAAAACCTGCCATAGGTTAGTGTGCATTGAGGATGTGTCCAAGAGGAAAATGAATTTTCAGAATAAGATGAAATATGCTGAAAGAACAAAGAGAAAAGCAGACCATAAGTGATCAGCAGATCACTGATAGATGAACATCATCTGTGCTGCGTGCAGGTTGAGGCTGGGAGTTGTGTTACCAAGACCACGTGGTTATGTACTGCTTGTATTCTGAGGCACACAAAAGGAGCAAAGTCTGATTATAAAATCAACAAGGCATGCTGTTTTGGCATCCCATACCTCAGAGGGTGCTTGTCTTGGCAGCCTTAATGCTTTGATGCTGAGCTGATCTGTGAGGGTTTGTGCAAGTGTGTGTACAAATAGACTATGTTCATGTAGGAACTTGGTTCTCCAGACTTCCACTGCAAGTGTCTGTGCTTCAGTTTGGACTGCTTAAGTTTAACTTGAAGGTCACTTGCATTCTGTGCAGTGCTGGCAGGCTTTTTCCTGTGCATGAATAATCAAGTCTTAATACTGATATGTAAGTGACTAAGCTTTTTGAATTAAAATTGCATGGTTTAAAATTGTGTGGTTGGGACCAGGTTCTGTCCCACTCTCCGGTTATACCTCCTTAATCCTCTTCCCAGCCTCAAAGCCTACCGTTCTTTGGCAAGAGAGTACTTTCTTAAGATGTCCTCTTCCACATGGGATGCCTTTCTGCACCTTTCTGTAGTACTGGAAAGGAAGCGGTATTGCCATTTTTCTTGATGTGATACATTAGTCTTGCTTGTCATGGGAGCATGCAAGTCACTGTTATAAAACTGTAAGGAAGACTAATTTTACAAGAAAGAAGTAATTGAATGGAAGAGGGGAGGGCTTATGATCTGTAGTGCTGTTGGATTTACCTTGAGTTGTTCTTCTAATGCTTGAACTTGTGACAAGAATGTGCCTGTTCCACTTGTGGCTGTTTCTGGAGATGAGGTTGCTTGCTTTGTAGAGGCACTGACATGTGCATCCAGCTGCCTTACCAGCTGTGTTGTTTAACCAATCACGGTGGGAATGGATTGCTTAGGATAAATAGTAGAATGCTTTTTGTGACTTTTTGAGATTTCATATGAAAATAGACCACGAACAAACATTTTACAAACTTAAAAAGTTTAGATTTCACTTCATTGTGAGTTTTGAGATTTAATTGAAACTTCTTGTCATACTTGAGCTGGAAATGCTTTTTCTGTGTTGAGAGGATGGAGGGAAAGTAATTTTCCTCTAATCAGAGGAGACAGGCATGCCTTGGCATACCAGGAATTCAGTTTTAGTATTTACAGCTGTATTTTGATGCTCGGGTGCTTTTGCTTGGTCCCTTTCACACATGGTATACTGCTTCTCTTTTGTCTGGGGAGTTGAATGGCTGCCTTTGAACCTTCTCATTATCTGACCTTTTGTTTTTGTAAATATCTTTCAATGCTAAGAAAAATACCATCGTCCTATGCTTGGCATTTCACTTTGTGTTGTTCCTGTGCTTTTCTTCTGTTTACATATGGATTTCCCAGGCAGTTGAATTTCTGCCGTGCTGTTAACCTAGGTGTTAGGTTGCAGACTCTAAATGGTACTGTTGATCCTGTCTCTGTGTTTTGTTTGCTGTGCTTGTCATTTGCTCTGAGGACTCAGACAACTGTATATGTATGCTGTAACTGTTAATCACATGGCTCTTCACCATGTCTCCAGAGCACTTAAGCGCAGTAAGAAAAAGTTAGTGAGTCAGAAACAGTCTCCTCTTTTCATGCTCTTACATTTTTTAACTTTTCTGTAAGACTTTTCCACACTGGGAAGTTATGCCCAATGAGTGAAGGTGTGAATTTACAGCACGTAACTCTTTCATATTTCCTACTGTGTGGGCACTCTGCTGTTCCAGGGCTGCTGGGATTTTCCTAGCTTTTCCCCATTTCCCTGCTGGCATCAAAACAGGGTGCAGCATGGGAAAGAGTGACTTTCATGTGTCCCTATCTGAGTCCTGTATTGCAGTAGGGAGCAAGCACAGGACTTGCAAGTGTCTTTCTGATCTTCAGGGTGACTTTTTCACTCTTGTTCCGCTGCTGATATTGATAATTCTAATGTCTTTCACAAGTACTGACATCATTTCTGTCTGATATTGATCAGTTATTTCAGTGAAATGTCTCTTTTTTTCAGAGTAGTAGTGCTTTAATTAACCCTTACAACTGCATACTGTAACTGTGATGTCTGTTGCATGAAACCTTTTTAATACCTAAACAATGCCCTTCTTATCACTTATAGAAGCATCTAGGCACTGTTTTGAGTAGCATGTTGAGGATGGACATGTAAGAGGAGATTCATAAAAGACTTGAAACGGGCCTGTGTTGGCTGTTACCTGCTGGTGAGAAATACAAGCAATTCAGAAGGGCAGGGAATAAGGTCATGGCCACGCAAAATGCTTCCAGGAGTACTGGTGTTGCTCACAGGAGTGTCTAAGCTATTCTCACTAAGCCTTATGAACGCAACAAACCCCAGACCAGGGGCCATAAGCAAGCTGCAGATTATCACCAGTCTTCCCTTTAGTTGTCCTGTGTGTCAATCTGCCCTGAGGTGGCTGAGTGTGATTTTTCTCTCCTGTGTGTTTTGAAGGCCAGGAATAACCAGGTGTGTCCCAGATTTTCTGCTCTACAAAGTGCCTCTCTGCCTCTGCACTTGTGACATCTGTCTTACCAGTGAAAATTACTAAGTGAAAATGGAAGATGAAAACCATAACTATACTTTTTGTACTCTACTGTTCCTTTGATTCCTTCAGTCTGTTGCCTGTTCCTGGAAGGCACTTCTTACTGTGGTACAATGAATCAAGCTGAATTCATTCTCTCTGTCAGAGAAATGAAAGAGCTGCTATGTGCTCCCTGCCACCCGATATATCCACAAGTATTTTCCAGAGGAAAGACATCACCTGAGTAGTCACTTAGCCACAACAGGGGCTCCACTCTGCCCAGCTTTGGCTGTAGCACTAGTTTTACTCCATTTGTTGTGAAAGAAATTGAGTTGAAAGATGTCCTGCGGGCTTTCTGTATTATGAGTTTGTTTTTTCGCTTTGTTTGTTTTGTTTTAATTGTTCTGTTCTGAAAGATGTGGAGGAGAAAGGAAAATAAGGAAGAAATAAGAACCCACTGTATTTTTTCTACCCTCAATAAAAACAGATTTTGTTTTCATAGTGCATTTTCAACAGTGTTTTCTGCACACACTTCTATTGCTCCAATAAATGCTGGAATTTTTCGTTATTTTGTTAGTTATTTTGACAGTGAATTATTGCATAATGATTAAATCATTTTAGCTCAATACTTCTGATAACACAGAGCTCGTAGCATTCTGCTTTATAATGCTTGAGTCTTCTGACATGTTTTACAGATACAGTTTAAATCTGACAGGCAATGAATGGTTTTGTTCACTTTTTAGACGTGACAAGCTGTGGATCTGCATGGAGTTTTGTGGAGGTGGCTCTCTACAGGATATTTATCATGGTACGTCAAGACCATAATTCCTTAAAAGCTAAGTAAAGCTTGTTGTAAGAAAATGGAGATGATTACAGTGTTTTGGAATCAAAGAGGATGAATCTTAAATTTAGTATCCATAATAATCCACTGAAGGTCAATTTTAACTTACTTAAGTATCTATGTAATAGGTTGTTTTTTTTCTTTTTTGAAACACAATGAACTGCAGCAGGGTGGAGTAACAGAAGTTGTTTCCTTCCTTCATCAGTTCATGTACCAATCCACTGCTTTCCTAAAACTGTAAAATTAGACAGTATTATACAGTGAAAAAAAAGACAAAGCAAAATCTTGTATCCTGGTGTGCTGTGTTCATAGTCATCTCATTTTTGAGCTTTTGAACTTTGTTTTAAAGCAGTCGATACCGCAGCCTACAGGTACCTGGATAAACAGACAGATTAGCACTAAAGCTCTTGTCTTTTCTGAGAAGCGACCTTCTGTATGTTAGTGATTCAGTAGTGCCCAAAGGGCCTTTTCAGTGCGTGACATGTAAAAAATAAAGGTGGCCTACGTGTTTGCTTTAGATCTGAGTGCATTGGGTGGTTGAATAAACAAGGAGTGTGTGTAGTTCTATCACATGCAGACAAGATAAGTCAATTGGTTGCTAATTTTTGACAGACAAAATCAGTTTTAAGAGTTTTTATTGCCCTGGCAATAAGACTTGCTTAGGAAATGACTATGCTACAAACATGTAATGGCTCTGTGATTGGGAGATAATGTTTTTCAGACAGGAAATCCATCCAGATTTTAAATAGTGAAGATTTTCCATGTTAGGTTCCTCACATCCTTCTCATGTACATAAACAGCTATCACGTGTTTTTTACATCTAACTTGGGTGCAGTTAAAACAAGGCAGTGATTCACAGATTCACACTGTGTTCACATTGCAGTCATTTGAGTGTGTTCTTGTTGATCCCTCACATCTTCACCAGTGTTGATGAGAGTATGGTGCCTGATAGGCTTTGTTTTGTGGAACACCTGTAGAGTAGGAAATGAGCTCATGTGGCTTAAATGCCTGAACAGATGTCGTACAGGAGCTGTTTCCTGTCGCAGCTGATTTTTTGGCTTCTCTGCCAGCAGCGGCTAGAGTGGAAGGTTCTTTTCTAATCTTAATTACGCTACTAAGTTCTTAACTCCAGTTGAACCATAGGCCTCAGCAATTGAATCCTAAGTAAAATAATCATTCAAGTTAATTCAATATCAGTTTCTCAAAATAAACATGGGTTTTGAAGAAACTGTAGCTTTGTGCTTGATTCTTACTTAATTTTTTAACTCCCTACTCATTTGTGAAACCACATCCAACTTCTCTGTTCGCAAGCTTCTCAGGTTTTGTCCAGAAAACAATGAAGACTGCATGTCTGCTCATAAAACCTTTTAATCTCAGGATCAAAGTCAAGTGACTGAGGACAAGTCACAAGCTTTCCTTGCTTGTGGTTCGGTGTTTGTTTTGCATTTTTGTTCCAAATGTAATTATTTTAAGAAACTTGGGTGAGCTGGGGCTCTAGAGCAAAGGGGAAGACTCTTGAGTAGCTGCTGAGTTTGCTCAGAGGAAGAGATGTGGAAAGGTGCCTGGTGTGGCAGGCCCAGGAGCCACATTTCCAGCAGAGCGTATGGAGAAAGGACAGAGGAGCTTCAGACAGCAGGTCGTGTGGCTGCAGGAGACTAAGGGGGAGAGAGCAGGTTATAAGGGGTGGAACTCGGAGGGGCTTTGAAGTCCAGGACATAGGAGATTTGTGCAGGGGAAAGAGCTGTGCTTAAATCGCTGCTTCTGTTGTTATAGAATATTTCTTGTGCTTTTTTTTGTTTTTTTCCTTCCTTCTGACTGCTTTGAGATTAATGTATCTGGAAAGCAAGCAATTTCCATTCCAACAGGACTAGATAATTTTGGAATTTGAAAACATTTTGGTAGCTCTTGTGATGTTCCTTCTGTGGGAAAGTTTAAACATGTTACTGGGTGATTCTATTCTATACTCTCAGTATGAGTGGAAATTACTTGAGGTGTAGGTTTGGGAAGGACAGTGTCTTACCTGATATTGAGTGGGTTGTTTTTCTTCCGTTTCAGTGACCGGACCACTTTCAGAACAGCAGATTGCCTACGTTAGCAGAGAAACACTACAGGTAGTGTATGCTAAGGTTCTTGTGGTCATATACATGTAACTGTAATGTAAAAACATTAAAAGCTAAAACTAAAAGCTAAAAATATGTGTCATGTCATGAAAGTACAGTGTTTGGAGGGCTTAGCATTTTTCTCTGCTGAGGAAGTCCTCTGTTGTAGCCTAGAACTGGTTTGTTTAATTGTGTGACCCTAAATGATCCAGGATCGTTTGAGAAAAACTGTCATCTACTTTCTGCCGGTTTTTTTGTTTGTTTTAAAAGAGAGATAAAAAGCAGTTTATTTATTTGTCTGTATTTGTGATGCAAGTTAGTTATTGCAAGTTTGAAGGAAAATTTTAAGACTCAGTTTTGTGTATCTGATTGATGTGCCAACAAGGAGGGAAAAGAAATGTGTATGTATACTCAAGGAGTTCCAATTATGGTCTTTAGTCTCTCCTTATGGTTGTGTTAACTTTCATATTTCTTTCTTAAACAAAATATTTAACTCACCAGTAAAACGTCACGAGAACTATCATGTTATGTCTTGGTTTCATGTAAGAGAGCAGCTCTTGGCTTCCACTGAATGCTGAGCTCTCAAATGCTGTTTGTTGAGAGCCTCTCACACTCAAGATAGCTCTGTCGCTGAGCCAGCTCTATTGCATGACACTGACCATTTCTCTATGCTGTGCCAGAGATTGCTGTCTTCTGAATTCCAGGACATTTTCTTACAGTAAAGTCTTGACTTACTAGTATGAAGGAGTGGGTTTGGTTTTTTTTTGTTTTGTTTTTTTTTGGAGTCTTGAATACCTGAAGTTAGATTTTGAGGTCTGTATTTAAAAATCCATAATGTGGTCTGATGTCAAAAAACAAACAAACAAACAAAAAAAAAACAACCCAAAAAAACCCAGTCACTGATACTGATTCAGATACTGATTCTGAAACTATAGGTACTGTAATATGGAGCTTCCATGATTTTTTTGTGCCGTTGACATCTGGAGATGTACATGTGAAGAGTGCATGTGTGACACTTCTAGCTAATGCCTGTTGTTGCCATGTGGAGTTGATGCTTTGATTGTACTCTCTACTAAAAGCAAATTGAGTCCAATTTTGGGTATGCGTGCATCCCTGCAGTGAGAGCACACAAGGTCTGTTGATCTGATCTCTTCAGCCATTTGCCCCAGAGAACCTGTGCTAAAACACCTCTGAGACTTCCAAGGAGTTGGATTTCACCATTAATTAGTACTTTTATATTGCATTTAGATTTTCATGAACTAACAAAAAATAGCCCCAAACTGCATTTTCAGTGGTGCTGTTGTCAGTCCACACAAAGAAGATGTTGACCATTTCACTTGAAAATCTAAAGTACTAAGTCATGTAAGCTAGCACTTCCCAGTTTTTCCTGATGATGGGAATAGGACCATCCATGAAAATGCTCATAAATGGAAAGGATCCTAGTATTGTTTTTGAAATCAACTATGTGATGTCTTGCTGAGATAATTGGGAGTTAAAAAAAAAAAAAAAAATTGTCTTAATATGGATATCTTCAATGAAATGTAGTCATTGCAGAGGCTGATGATTGCAGAGTGCTGCAGATGTTTACCTGCTGCTTGCCCATGAAAGAGCATTTCGGAGATAAGCCCAGAGTGTTAGAAGTGGTGTGCTCTGTGATTCCTCATATGAGGATTTGACTGTGTAGTATTATTTCAGATCTTGTGTTGAGGCACTGAGTCCTAAAATGTTTCACTGCCGTTACCACCTGCAGAAATGCATGACTTAAAGTTGAAGCAGAGCATTAGCCCTGAGGAGCTGCCTGCTGGTGTCCTTCTAGAGTTAATTGAGGCCTGTAATGGCACAGGTGATCTCTGTGCTAGATACCTGGTGATCAGACTGCTGAATAGAATGCTGTTAGGCAATTTAAAAGTAATTAACTTGCTCTGAAAGGGTGATAGTTAATATATCCAGAGGAAAACTTAACCAGAAAAGTCTTTCCTCTCAGTGGGCTGATGGTGCCTGACATTCTTCCATTCCACCCCTGCATTTAGATGTTACACTACTATGTACATGGAATTTCCAAGTGCATTCAAGAGTCACTGAAATAAAGGAATGTTCTTCAATCAGAAAGTTATTTAGGTTACTGAATTGCATACTGAATACATCTGTTAATTGAGTAGGAAAGGCATATTAAGTAAAATATTGGATTTAATTATTGTTTAACTATTTTTTGCAGGGGCTCTATTACCTTCACAGTAAAGGAAAAATGCATAGAGACATAAAGGTGAGTAAAAACGGAATGGAATTTTGTGTTTTTAGGGTAATCTACATCATCACCTCTTAAGAGTTTTTACTGTTATACGGCACTTTTGGGGATGCTTTCTAAATACATAAGGTTTATTGGAATAATATTTTCTGCCCGCTAGAAGAAAAATATCTTTAAGGTGCATGGGAATCATTTGTTCTTGTAATTGGAACCACACGCTTATTTTGAGCAGTGCAGCAGAATTTTGGCATCAGCTGCTGTCCAATACAGCTTGTATTCAGATGTCCAAAAGGATGCTTTCTGTGCAGAAGGAAAGGCTTGGTCTTTTCCACTCCTTTCTGAGAAGCTTGGTTTACCCTTCTGACTGAACCAGCAAGTAAACAGAACTGTTGCTTGGCTTCTTGCTTCTTTTCTTGGTGAGCAGATTGCAGGGCAGTGGCTGCTGTTCCTTGTACTTCTTACAGACTAACTTGTCTCCTCCTTCACATCTAAAATTAGAGAGCACCACAAATCAGGTTCTTAGCACCAACTTCCTTAAACCATCATCTCAACAAAGCTGTATCAAAGGTGGCTTGCTCATACTATTATACTCCCTGTTAATAGTTTCCTTCTGATACTTCCTGTTGACTTTTTGTCCCTGGGGTTTTATTACTTACTGTTTGCATTTCCAAACTGTTCCCTGCTCAGATTCCAGCTTTAATTTGGCAAGCTACCCTCCTGGATATATGTCAGCAAATTACTGTATTCCTTTGTGTTGTACATGCATTTTTGTTTATCTACCTTGTGTTTCTTTCAGTGCAATAATGCATAGTAGCTTCAACTCTAGGTGCTTTAGTACAGGTTAACTCCTGTCATCCTTGTTGTCTGCAGGACGATACTTGGGTTTAGTGCCACCAGGAAAATAATTTCTGAATGAGAGATTAATTTGGACACTAAACTTGAACATTTTTCATCGTACTTGATGGGATGAAAAATGCTACTTGTTAGGCTGCAGTGCATAGATACTCATTTCTAAACAGAAATATGCTGATGAAAACATGGAAGTGTGCGTTTTTAAATGAAAAACAAAAATAAAGGTGAGCATGGAAAAATACTATCTTCATCTGCAACTCTCCTGGCGAGGCAGTTACATTTGCTTCCTGCAGTAGCTAAGTTATGTATTTAGTGTATCTGTTCTGTTAGTCTTGAAAGGTGAACAGGGTCAAGAGCATGTTAACTGGGCCTCATGTTATTTACCCAGCTCCATTTATGAGGCTCATTAACTGCATTGTGCAGCATTTGCCAAAGTAAGCCTTGTAGCTGGAGCATGACTGCAGGCCTGACTTCTTCCCCATGCAACCCCCTACCTGTACGAAAGCAGTTGTTTGGGAAGCCCTGCATGCTGCCTTTCTGTGCAGTCTGTGGGCAGGGCTGGCAGCTGTAGCACTGCCTGGCTGTGTGATTGGCTCCAGCCTTCGCTCGGTACTGCTTAGAGCTGCTTGCCTCCTTTGGAGCTCCCACTTCCTTCTTGTGGCATTTTCATGGCACCAGCTGTCATTTGGGGTTAGCTTTGGTTATTGAGCTGCTTCTGGAAGTGTTGCATGTAGCCACGCAGCATTGTGCTCTTCAGAGGGAGCGCTAGCGGAATCTCTGCTGCGGAGAGACAGAAATAGTTTTGTTAAAACACTGGAGTTTCAAGGAAGGCCCTTAAGGCTATAATTATCGTGGCCCTGAAAGGAGACAAAACCAGCTTGGCATATGAAAAGAAAATCAGATTACTTCCGTTGTGACCTTTAGAGTTCCTATTTCCTTTCAGTCAGTGTAAATGGAAAAAAGAAAGTAAGAATTCATCTTCATAAGCAAATCATCATAATTCTGCTCTTTGAGAGGGCTTTGTGTACAATAGAGAACTTTGTAGTACTATGGGCTAAAGAATACTAAACTTAACATTCATGAGAAATACTGAATATCTGAGTTCCTTTATATAATAGAATGGCAAGTTACTAATTTCACAGACATTTCCTTGTTAATGCTACATATTTCTCAAACGTACAGTTTTGGCTTATCTTCTTACCACTAATTTGCTGTCCATATATCACATAAACATTGGTTTTCTATAGCATCACAAAAATCTGCCTGTTTTAATACAAATACGCTTTTTTTTAAGGGAGCAAACATTCTTTTAACGGATAATGGACATGTAAAATTAGGTAAGTTAATAAACAATCTGTTAATAACTGTAAGTTGTTTGTAGTCTGAAAACAAAACCTTACTGATTTTTGTCTGGTTATGTAAGGGTTCGTTATGTAAGGAATTAGCACATGTCACAATTCTTTTTCTCTTGCTGGTAAGATCTAACTCAGCAGCACCAAATTATTGTCTTAGGAGTAATTGGAGTCTGGTTTTGCAACACTGAGGTAAAACTTCCTGAGGTTGCAAACATGGGGTGGAAGTCAAATCAAAGGTTTTAAAAAACTTTTATTGAAATGTAACATCCAGAGTTCTTAAACATGAAATATACCTTTAAAAACTGCCAGAAATAACCCCTTAGATTTTATTAAATGATGTATTTTATGTTATTAAAAGAATGCTAGTCATTGTTAGAACTTCTGTGTTATCCTTTTGGTTTCTTGCCCTAATGAGAGGGGCCTCCACATTTGATAGGCAACTGAGAGGAATTAATCAAAAGTATCTGAGATTCATCAAGTTTCCATTATTTGCTTTTTTTTTTCTTTTGTAAATTATTTTCCTGTATATTTAGGAAACTCATACAGTGGAGAAATCAAACTGTCATGTTCTTAAAGAAAATGAGCTACATCAGAACACTATTATTATGCATCATTATTAATGATCTTTATTTTTTATAGCTGATTTTGGAGTATCTGCGCAGATAACAGCTACAATTGCCAAAAGGAAATCGTTCATTGGCACCCCGTATTGGTAATTGTGTTTTGCTTCGTCATCAGTATATACGTAGCAAACATCATTCTGTTCAAAAATATTTGTGAAAGCATGCCACAAACTTTCTGGGTAGACTCATCACAAAAAACTGATGTTTCTGGGATTGTGTCTTTTTTTTTTTTAATGCTGAGCATTAGTTAAATCATTCAAATGCTCTGAAATGTTGAAAACAGTTTGGATGTGGTGCTCGGGGACATGATTTAGTGGAGGGCTGTTCGAGTTAGGGCAGTGTGTTTAGGTTGTGGTTGGACTTGATGATCTTTAAGGTCTTCTCCAACCTGATTGTATGATTTTTATGATCCCATCTGTGTGGTGCTATTACTATTGACTAATGGATTGCAGTTTAGTCTGATTTTAAGTATGTACACAGTTTTATGTTTTTAACTGTGATCTTGAATTTTTTTTCTGTTCAATTTCCATTTTGGTGTCTTACATTTCTTCCCCTCTATCTCAGATAAGTCTTCTCTGTAACTCTTCAGTTGATAACAAGTTTCATTTGTTTGTCTTCATGGATTCCTTTGCTGCTTGTGAAATGTTTTTTCTAAACTATTTTTTGTTGTTGTTTTCAAGCAAGAATTAAAGCAAGAAAGCCCAACTGAATATGAAATTAAGTTTTTATTGTCTGTACTGTATCTTTATTCTGTCCTCAGCAAACTGGTTTCTGTAATTCATCTTCTCTAAAGTTCAGCTTTTTGTTTTCTCCTCTCTTTGTACTGAAAGTGATTGTTCCCTTTTTGCTTTTGAAGTACGTGATACTTATTCTTCTCTGTAAAAGTAGCAGTTTTGTATGTTTCCTAGAAAGATGCTCAAAGTTCTGTTACGTGGCAGCATAGTAAATACAAGGAAAATGTGTGGATGGTAAAAAGCCACGTTCAAATATTCAGTCTTTGAAACAGATTACAGCACAGCATTTTTAGCATTTTTCTGTAGTATAAGTCATGCCAAGGCACAGATTCACTTCCCATTCTGAGTAGCACAAACACCCATCGGTCATGATTGTGTAACTGATTTGTTGCTCTGTTTCCTGAGTAAGATGTCTGGGTGGCTTGAGTCCTGACCTGGATGACTGTGTAACTTCCAAATTGCACCAGGGTTCTCAAATGACATGCCATAACTTTAAACAGTAATTATGAAAGCTTACATCAGTTAAATACTTACAAAATGCATCAGTTTTCCATAGTAAGTCTTCTCAGATTTGGGAGTGGAAGCAAGAAAGGAGAACTGTTGAGACTGTAGAGAAGAAGTTGTAATGTGAAGGTTTGAGTGATCCTTATAGGTGTCTGAGCAGGGAAGGGTATGGTAGTGGGGTGGGGGAGAAGTGAAAGGCAAAACTGCTGTGCAGTGTTGTCAGTTCTAGTAACCCCACTATTTACCCATGCATTCCTTCTCTTCTTTCTAAAGGTAGTGCATGTTTCTCCTCTGCGTTGGTAATGCCTTCTGCCTTTAGCATCTTTTTTGATTCAATATTGTTTTCTCTAATGAGTTCTACATGAAAGTTTATGTAAATATTTCACATTTGTACCACCAAATTGGATGTTGTTTTCAGATGCACAGTTAAGGATATCTGTGTTTAAATAGTGCATCATTTGAGATGTCCACTGAGTAATGCTGTTTACTGCTTTACTGTAGAACTCATTACGTTACATTCTTCTGTCCTACCTATTTTGAGTTGTATGTCCTATTTCATTGATCCTTTTCAGGTGTTCTGAAAAAAAAAAAAAAAAGGAATGCAGAATGCATTTGATATGGCTGTATAGGACAGTCAAATCCAAAACATGCAGCAATTCCTAGTGAATCACTTCATTTAGGTATTCTTCTCTGTGTAAATTGTTAGTTTTTTTCACTTGTGGGTCTGAAGTTACTTTATAAACCTAAATAAGGTGTGTTGATACTACAGTGAACAGGTACTGTAGACAAGGAGTTCTCTGTGCCGAGTTGACAGGTCTTATGCTTCCAGAAGAAAAAAACCTGTCAATTTGCTGCGTTTGGTCAGTTATCTGGGGCAATGTGTGTATTTGGATACTGTTTGCATTTTATTGTTGTTGAATAATTATACTCTAAGCTGTTTGGTAGTCCGGAGATTCCTTGTGTTCCTGTAAAAAGTAGAAGACAGATTGGTTTCATCCACTTCCTTCCTGTTTACTTATAGGAAGATTATGGAGGAAAATTGCATGCTTGCTACAGAGAAGAGGATTTCTAATTTGGGAATTATTTACCTATTACTGCTTTCAGCTGAATACATGAGTACCACAATGTTTATTCACCGAAAAGAGAACTAGGAAAAAAACCTGGTGTTCTCTAAATATTGTAGTCCACAGGGTGAATTTTTGAAGTTTAAATCAATAAATATATATGTTGTATACTTTTTTACATGCACATGCATATGTGTGTGTATATGTATGCATTTGTTTGCATGTGTATATATACACACAAGCACATATAAATGTATATGCAGCATATTGAGAGCTGTTGAGAAATTATGGTTGCATACAGAAGGACATTTGATTTGTGATGAGAAGTGTATCTTATATCAAACATCTTCTACTGTGTAGGATGGCACCAGAAGTTGCTGCAGTAGAAAGAAAAGGTGGCTACAACCAACTCTGTGATCTGTGGGCAGTTGGAATAACTGCTATAGAGCTTGCTGAACTTCAACCTCCAATGTTTGACCTGCATCCAATGAGGTTAGTAAGGGGTTAAAGTTTGGTGTGTAAATACAGCTTTATAAATAATCCATTTGGAATAGCTGGCTCTGTATACGTGTGGTGTCTGGGAGTACTGCATGGATGTTCAGAGAATTATAGAGTGGCCTGAGTTGACAGTGACCTCAGAGATCCCTTAATTCTATCTCCCCTACCATGAGCAGGGTTGCCAACCACTAAATCAGGAGCCAGCTAAGGCTGCCCAAGGCCCTATCTAACCTGGCCTTAAGCACCTCCAGGTATGAGGCACCACAGTTTCTCTTGGCAGCCTGTTCCAGCACCTCACTAGTCTCAGTTAAGAATTTCCAATGACATGTAATATGAATCTCCCCTCTTTTAGGTTAAAAAGATTCATCCTTGTCTTATCACCATCAGACTGTGTAAAAACAAACAAACAAAAACACAAAAAACAGCACCACAAACAAAGAAAGCTCTCATTAAGTTTGGAAGGCTGCAAAATCTCCCTGGAGCATTCTCTTTTTCCAGGCTGAACAAGCCCAGCTCCCTCAGCCTTTCTTCATACAAGAGGTGCTTCAGCCCACTGAGCAACTTCATGGCACTCCTCTGCACCCACTCCAACAGCTCCATGTCTTTCTTTTTCTGGGTTACACCTGGTTGCAGTACTCCAGGTGGGGCCTCACAAGGGCGGAGTAGAGAGGAACAGTCTCCTCCCTTGCCCTGCTGCCACCCCTCCTTTGATGCAGCTAAGGATGATGATGTTGGCTTTCCAGACTGCAAGTACATGGTGCTGGCTTGTATTAAGTGTTTCATCTGCCAGGACCACGATGTCCTTCTTGGCAGGGCTGTTCTCAATGAGTTCTTTTCCCAGAGTATAAATGTATCTGGGATTTCCCCAACCCAGGTGCAAGGCTGTGCTCTTGACCTTGTTGAACCTCATTACGTTCCTGTGGGCCCACCTTTTGAGCTTGCTCAAGTCCCTGTGGATGGCATCCCTTCTGTTTTGCCATCTGCACCATTCAGCTTGCTGTAATCTGCAAATTAACTGAGAGCGCACTGAATCCCAGCACCTTTGTCTTTGAGAAAGGAGCACTGGTCCAAAGACGGACCCCAGTGGGGCACCACTTGTGAACAGCCTCCACCTGGACATAGAGCTATTGACCACAATCCTCTGGCTGCAACCTTCTAATTGATTCTTTATCCACTGAGTGCCCACCCTTCAAACCTACATTTCTCCGTTTTAGATATAAGGATGAGGCCATATCAGAGGCCTTGCACAAGTCCAGGTAGGCAACATTAGTTACCCTTCCTTGCACCACCAATGCTGTCACTTGATCACAGAAGGGCACTAGAGTGGTGAGGCACAATCTGCCCTTGGTGAAGATGTGCTGGCTGCCTTGGATTACTTGCTTGTCCCTCGTGTACCTTAAAATCTGTTCCAGGAGTATTCGTTCACAATATTCACAGGGATTATAGGCCTTTAGTTCCCTGGATCTTCCTTTCTTCCTTCCTTTAAAATTGGAGTGATGTTTCCTTTTTTCCAGTCACCAGTGACTTCACCTGGCAGTCACGACTTTTCACATATAGTTGCCAAGCCATTCTCCATCTTATCAGCCAGTTCCTTCAGGACTCTGGGATGCATGTCATCAGGCCCCATAAACCTGTACACATGCAGTCTCAGGAAGCAGTCTCGAACATGCTTTTGCCTTACAGTGGGAGGGATTTTGCTCCCTCAGCCCCCACCTAGAAGTTCAGTGATGTGAGAGACATGAGAAGCCTGGCTTGCAGTGAAAACTGAGGCAAAGAACTTACTAAGTATCTCAGCCTTCTCCATGTCTATTACACCTAGTTTTCCCTTTTCATTTATCAGAGAGTGGGCGTATACTCTCTTTAGCCTGTCTCTTCTCATTATTTTTCACATCCCTTGCCAAGTGCATTTTGATCTGTGCCTTGTCTTTCCTGAATCCATATCTACATGTTACATTATATTATAATCATCCTCTAATAAATGCCATTCCTAATCTGCATCATCAAACAGTGAAGGACCCAGATTAGTGACATTGCTATTACTATGGGGACAATTCAGAGCCATCTGAAGCATTTAAAACTGCAACTTAGACACCACCTCTACATCTGTTAACTACATTGTTTCTTAAGTGTCATTTACCTCAAAATTTAGTTAAAAGATCCTTAATTTTTTATTTCAGACTTTGAACGTGGAGTTTATAAGCAGTTCTGGTGTGGGAAGGCCTCCTACCACAGCAATTAACAACTCTTTTTTGTGCATAAATAAGCAATGTTGTCTTGGTAGCATCTTTTAAACTGATGGGCTCACTGCCAGCAAAATAATGCCTATACTAATTTTGTGTGTGTATATACACACAAAGTATACACACACACACACACACACACACACGCATGCGCAAACAAGATTAGTATATAATATATCTTTTTATATATAATGTATACATATAATATATAATATAGTATATCTTTTTTCTTTCAGAGCACTTTTTCTAATGACAAAAAGCAACTTCCAGCCTCCTAAGCTAAAGGACAAAATGAAATGGTAGGCGCTTCTCTGTTTCAGTAGATAATAATCTACTGAATGATTTTCACTGGGCTGATTTTACCATTTCGTTTTACAGGTCCAATAGTTTTCATCATTTTGTGAAAATGGCACTTACAAAAAATCCTAAAAAAAGACCTACAGCTGAAAAATTACTGCAGGTATAAATTTGTTTGGTTTCCTTTAATTTTTCTTTTTTGTAAGTTATAAAATGGAAATGCACTTAATATGGCTGTTTGGAATTTTTATCTGTTTGTTTCTTCTTTGTTCTGTCTTTCAGCATCCTTTTGTTACCCAGCCATTAAATCGAAGTCTTGCTATTGAACTTTTGGATAAAATGAATAATCCTGATCATTCCACTTACCATGACTTTGATGATGATGATCCTGAGGTAAGAATATGCTATATCTGCAAAATCAGGTTGAATTTGTTTTCCAATAAAACTAAATGATTAGCTAATTAATTATTATTTGTTGGACCACAGAATGTTTTGTGATCTCAAGAAGTCTCAAGAGTTCAGGTTTTGCTGCTGAATGTTATTTGTGACACTTAACAAAATTTGTTGTATTTCAGGAGGAAAAGCTCAAAAAGAGTTGTAAATGTTACAGTTTTATTTACTGTTGTCCTTGTCCAATTTGTGGTGTGAAAGTAGATGTGGAATATGTTAATCCTGAGTTCTGTCATATGTCCTGCTATGTTTATTCATGGAGTTGTTGCCATCTTCACAGGGTACATTCATAGCACCATCTTGTACACATATTGAACTTGTTCTTTAGCTCTTAATCTACTGTCTGAACAGCTTTCTTATGAGAATGTTTCAGCGGTTGTTTTTGTCAAATGTTTTGCTATTTGTGTCTTGCAAATTTTCTTTTCTGTCTTAGAATATGAGACTTGATTTCATTTACTGTTTTGTCAAAGTCTCTGATTTTTGTGCTTTAACATCAGGGAAAAGACAACGTGCTTATGTAAGTGCAGGGCTGAAATGTTACCTAAATTAGAAAAAGCAAATATTTTGCATATTGCATCCTATCTTTATATTTAATTCTGTTATTGAAGACTTTCCTAACATTTACAGTACTCTTATTGATTATCTCTTTCAGGGAAATTGTTTTGACAAAAATGCCACTGACTCATTAATTACGTGCTTGTGTGTTGTGTGTTTTTTAGATTTCTGTGGTTTTTTTTCCCCTACTGTGGTCAAAAATGCCTTCAAATGAAAATAAGCTTAAAAGCAGCATATTTTAGTATACTCATTTTCAGATTTCAAAAGTTAAATGAGATTTAGTATTTTCTAGAACATGAAAGACAAGACATCACGCGCTGAGTCTGTTTTATTCTCCCTTAGAAGTTGAAATGAATGATTGTGGAAAGAAGTGAAGGTGAAATCTGTTGTGGAGAGCAATGTTTAAGTACTTCTTAAATGAGTGAGGAAGGAGAGGAAGGCATAAGGACTGAATAATCAGTACTCTTAAAAACGTTTCCTTCTAGTCAAGACATTAAAAATAATAAAAAAAAAAAAAAAAAGGAAGTCAAACATGCAAGAAAATCCTTAGTATGTTTGATTCTTGCAAGAGGAAGGTTTCTGTCTCCATCAAGAATCAGCACTGAGGAACTCGGATCTGCTGCTCACTCTGAGATCTGAAGATCAAGTGTCCTTTAGTTCAGCATCTATTTAGAGATGGCAAAAAACTCTGAGATCTCCTTAAAGCAGTATTTCTGTGGAAACTAGAAGACGGGAGCCTTCATACGATGTCGTAAGAGGAAAGATAGCTGTTCTCAGCATGCTTTCATATTAGTGACGTGTTCAGATCAAAAAAGCTTGCACTGAGTAGCTTTCCTGGAAATTGTTCTGAGTCAGTGATGCACCCTTTCCCCCTGTCACTTCTACATATTTTCTAGCAAAAATCTCACTCCTCATTTTGGGCTAGTCACATGGGGAATCTCTTTTCTTTGTGTACTGAAGTGACTCTGGAGGCATCTTACTGACAGTTATCAGCAGCTTTCAAACTAGTATTCACTCATATGTCTGACTTTGCTTTAAGAAAACTCTTACTTTGTGCAATATATTACTTATCAGTTATTGCATAATGAAGCCTGATATCAGGGAAAAACTGTGCCTTGTCTGGGAGAAAATAATAAATAATCTCACGGCAGTGATAAGAGAGAGTGCCTGTTTTCATGATTTTAAAGAAACTAGGTGAGTTGATAGTGCTTAGGATATGCAAGCTGCTTTGCATGTCTTTTTGATTTTTATTCTTTCAAATGTTAGTTCATTTGCTGTTTACCTTGTGTGACTGAGGAATTTTTTGTTGCATTCATGGACTTCAGGGATAGGCATAATCTTTTCAGTCTTCATTCATCACATGACCTTGAGCTGTCCAGTGAGCTTCAAGCACCATTACTTGTAGCATTGGATCATCTTTATCAGACAACTCAGATGTCATGTTACCAAATAATTTTCCATTGAGGCTTTTCATTTGCCTGCAAAATGAGTTGGATGTTTGGGCAGTGTTTCCTTACAAAATAAACAAGTCTAGAATCTGCTTCTGTAATAAATTATTCAAGACATCTTGAATAATGAGGCCTGTGTTTTATATTAAGAATTTGTCATAATTAAAGCCATTGTTGTCACTGTTGTCATTTCTATAATTTAACAAAGGGTAAGAAGTGCATCCGTTCAAACACACTCCATGACCTGCCTGCTCATAGACTGAAGATGTTCATCAGAACTTGGGGAATCACCTCTCTTACACTAGTAGGATACACTGAATGCACCAATCAAAAATTCAGAGCAGCAACATGACCTATGTTAGCTGTTCACCTGGCGCATGCTGATTTTGTAGTTTGCTTCTGTTTGGGTAGGATAGTCTGGAAGCTTGTCTTACAAATGAAAAGATCAGTGTAGAGGAAAAAAACCAAAACAACAAAAACAAAATTACCATGGTCCATGGAATCAAGTTGTTTGGATATAATCAGGAAGGTGACCCCTTGCTATAGCAAGTATTTGGCAGCCATATCTGTGATTGTGGCATTTTCAGTGTTTTCTTACTAAAACTAACGGAGGACCTAATTGGGTTTCCAGTTCAGTCAAAGACAGGATTTCCAATTGGTACTCTGTGTTCACTCCCTTACAAATAAACCCTTGTATCTGCTGGCAACTGTCTGTTCTTTACTTTCCTGTGACAGTGAGTCTTGTGGTGGTTACTGACATGATAACTGAAAAGGTTGCAGAGAGGAAAAGTGCTTATGTGTGAGCCTTAACATTGTATGTTTTGGCTTTAAGACTGCTCTTCAGATCTGTCCCATGCCTGAAGTTGCACCAAAATGGCAGTTGTTTTGGAAGCTAACGTACATTCATTCCTTTGTCCTCAAGAACATTCAAGTGTCTGCTGCTTCTATTGATTTGTTGTCAGCATAGGTCTTTCAAGGTGAGTTGAGGACTCTGTCCTTGTGACAGAGCAGTGAGGATTTGGCTACTTCCAGTAATTCTGTTGACGAGGAAAAGGAAGCATGAGGGCAGGTTCTGCATGTAGCACAGTGTGAATATCAGTGAACATCTGTGGCAGGATGCAAGGAACTCGCAGAATAATACTGCAAAGGCAAAATTGCCTGTCCTCCCCTACTATAAAACCTGACTCATGACAATGGTGTTATAAGTGCTCACGCACAGTGAGCAAGTGAGCAATGCCTTTCAGCAAAGGATTATGAGTAAGCAACCTTTCGGCACTTTGTGTTTGAAATACTTGAGTGGAAAATCGGATCAGATCTTGAACTGCATCTTGAGCTATCTATCAGGCCGTTTTTAAACTGCAGTCCCAGTTTGTCTGTTTTGCATAAGTGGAGGACTGGCACAAGTTCCAAAACCAAACACGTGCCTGTGAGGTACATGGGAGAAAAATACCCTTAGTCCTGAAGCCCATCCAGCTTCAGAAGAGACAAAAGTGAATGTTAGAAGTGAGGTGAATGCTATGTATGTGTGTAAGATTCTAATATGAATCAGGGAATTTGTTTGTGATGAAAACAGGAGGGGATTAATGCTTTCAGATAATATTTCATGATCAAATAGTTGCAGGGCTATTCGTGACTCCTTGTGAACCAGTTAAAGCTCTTTTCCATTGTTTTGTAGATAAAAGCTGCCAAGTGAAGATTAGAATTAGTATTTATAAAAGGAAAGTTTACATAAAATTTATGACCCTGTTATGTCAGATTACTGTCATTACAAATTGTTTTGCTGCCGTATATTCAAAACAGAAACGTAGCAAATGTGCAGTTCTCATGGATTACTTGTGCTGATGCTATGGAGAATGAGATTTTTTTCCTGGAGAGTAAGAAGAAGACCTTCTGAAAACTCAGTTCTAGGATTTATGTTACTAACTTCAGGGCCTGATTGTACACAGCAGACAGTTGGTCTTGTAGTCTTGCTAGGAAACCTCATGTTATAGTTTTTAAAAGAACCTACAACAGTGGATGCAGAGGGAAGAGAGAGAATCCAACAGGGTTGAGGAAAAGCAAGTGAGATCTTAAAGTCCACGATACTTCATTCTGTAAATAGAAGTAAATAGAAATCCATGGAAAAGGTATCTAAAAAAAGGAAAATGCCATCAACAAGTCTGAGTTAGTATTACTACTTATTTTGGATGCTGAAAATACCTGTAAACTGAAAGGCACAAAAAGGAAATGTTAACATGAGAAAAAGCAATTGTTGATCAGCATTGACTTTACTTGCTCAAACTCGGAGTTTAAAAAGACTTACACTGACATTGAAGCTGCTTTCAGGGGAAATGTCTCCAAATAACTTTAAATTTAACATACAAAAACCATTGTTTTTGGCTTCCACTTCTTTTCTTTGTTGATACTATGCTAAAGTAATGTGCTTTAAAAAACTGCACAGTATTGTTTCAAGTGAAATATATTTTGAAGTATTTTATTTTTGTTTTCTAGCCTCTTGTTGTGCCTCATAGAATTCATTCGACAAGTAGAAATGTGAGAGAAGAAAAGACACGCTCTGAAATAAACTGTAAGCACGTGCTTATGACGTTCTGAAATAATTGTTGATATTCACTTAAAGGGAGGCTATCAGAAAGGTGACGAACTATTTATCAACTATTTCCTGTGATAGGATAATGGAAAATAGTTACAAACTAAAAGAGAGGGGAGATGTAGACTGGATAGAAGTAAAATGTGCTTTATGATAAGGGTGATGAGACGCTGGCATAAGTTCCCAGAGATGTGGTAGAAACCCCATCCCTGGAGACACTCAAGGTCAAGCTGGATGGGGCTCTGAGCATCTGGTGGAGCTGTAGGTGTCCCTGTTCGTTGCAGAGGGTTTGAACTAGATGGCTTTTAAAGGTCCCTTCCAACTCAAATGTTTTTATGATTTTATGAAATTTTGACCACTATTCTGGGTATTTTAAATACTTAGAAACATCTTAATTGATATGCACTAAAATTTAAAAAAAAAAAAAAAAAGTGATATTTTACCTACAGATTTAGGTTCCAGATGATTACGCAAAATAAATACTTATGTAAAATATTTGAATACACCCTTGTCAGCACTTTAACAAGTCTTACTATTGCCTCATCTCAATAGAACAGGATGCAACCTGAGCTCTTCTGAGAGCTGGTTGGTATAGCCCTGTGTCCCAGACCAGCAAAGATATTCAGTCTAGTACCAGGTTATGTTCGGTAACAAAATGTCAAAGAAAGCTTTTTCTTCCTTAATTTTGTATATTTGTTGTTTTGGGTTTTGAGTTGAAACAGACACGTAGGAATCAAGAAGGGAGGAAGTTGATCACTGGCTGTAAGAAAGAGACTCCATCCCCAAATTGTAGTCGTTCCTTTGCTTGAATTAAATTAAAGCATTACTGGCAGCTTCAGTTGTCTTTTCTTAAGCTAAAATAGACAGGAAGTGTACCTGCCAAAGAGAAAGTGTTAGTAGCTTTCCCTGAACTTGAATCAATTCTCTTTAGTGCTAATGAGACTCCAGAAAAACAGATCCAAGAGTGAATTCACAAAATTGTTTTTTTTTTTTCCTGTAAATCACAGCTGTGTTTCTCCTTTAAAGAAGGCATTTCCCTGCCCTATTTGCTAAGTTCTTCTCCCAATCCTTCTAATGGTGATTGTGCTCCCTTTCCTGAGAGTAGTTTCTGTGCTGTTACTTTCTAGCAGGGACAAGTTTGTGTCTGTGTGTCAAATGTTTCCATCAGTGGACATATGATATACTCATTAAACTGAATTACTTTTGTTAACCTTTGGAGTTAAGTGTTGCCTAATCACTGTCTAATTTGTTTTCTTTTTCTTTAGTTGGTCAAGTAAAATTTGATCCACCCTTGAGGAAAGAAACAGAGCCACATCATGAATTTGTGAGTAACAAGCAAGATGTGCAATGCACTGTACGTTATTCTCTGCAAATATCCATGGAGTAGGGGAAATCTAAGATGTATAGTGTACTTTCTTAGCACTACTAAAATTTGTAGCAGTTTTCCCAACAAGTGGTAACATATTAGTCCAAAACTGTTTGGTGCCATTACACTATACAGACAGACCCCTTATTTGTGGACTTTGCCAGGTGTGATGTATGTGCTATGTGATGTATGGGTTTCCTCTGTCCTTTATACTTCATTGCCAAGTGTATCGTTCCCTTTTTGTTTTAGTTATAAAATAGTTCTGTATGTGTACTCAGATGCTTATCTCCCTCGTTCTCACATTGACAATGATAACTAATAGAAATAATTATAAGATTAAGAGCCTGGGAAGAGATATAATGCATTTGAAAATAGATTTTTGTTGGTTTGTTTTTTATTTTCCCGTGCAAACAAACTTTTTGTGGCCCTGGATCACACCTGAAACACACTGAGTCTGGTGGCTGCTGTTTTGTGTAACAGTATAGTGCTGATGTTTTCCTCCTATGGATGGGTCTGCCAGTACAAGGTGTGTGAGAACTCAGGCAGTGTGAGTAAAGGTGTCTGTGCTGTGTCACACCACTGCAGTAAATTCCTCTTCTATGGAGGCTGTTACTTTCCATGTTTGTACACTTTGGTGGTTTCTTCACATTCCTAGTTAAAAGAATACTTCTTTGCTTCCTTACTGCAGACTGCTGTGTTCTCTAAAGCAGGTGTTAATGTAAATAAATTGATTTAGTACTTTAGGTGAGAGGGACATCAGCTCAGCTCCTGGAGTTGCAGTTGTTCCTAAGAGTAGGTTGGTGCCTGGGAATGTACTTCCTTTTCCATAGTCTTCAGTCTGGTGTAGCATTAGGTGGGATGGTTGGTGGCCCTGCATGTGGCAGGGGGGTTGGAGATTCATGATCCTTGAGGTCCCTTCCAACCCTGGCAATTCTGAGATTCTGTGATTTCTGATGCTTATTGCCTTAGTATGGCTCTGTAGCTGTGCTTAAACCTCTTTCACAGTGCTCTGTCCTTTATCAGTGGGCCAGGTGGTTCTGGGTGTATGAGATTGTGCACAGTATTGCTCTTCTGCAACTAGCTGGGCAGGTGGTCTGCTGTTTCTGGAGTCTAATTGAGAGGGGGGAGAACAGTTTCCCCAGTTACATTCAGGGTGTCGCAGTGATTTTAGGTACAGTATTTAGACATCAGTGTAACTGCGTTAGAGGTCCTAGTTGTAGCTGTGTGTATTAAACAAGGTAGAAATTTTATGCAGAGGCTAAAGAGAGCATTTCTGAGAGCACTTCTTTGACAGGTATTCTTGGAAAGGAGAAGTTGGACCTTCTACCACAGTGGCTGTTAGGAATCAGGACATTTGGACTTTGGACCCTTTGGAAGCCCTTGCTGCTGCAGGAAGAGGCTTGAAATGTCCAGATTAACTCTGGAAATTTTACTGTTTTGTACTCCTGTCAGAGTTTGTGTATTTCAAATCTTGCCTTATCTGCTTGTGGAGATTAACAGCCTCACTGCCCATATTGAAATGAAACAAGCAGACATGATCTGTCCTTTTGAGATAAAAATGTGTTTATTTAAAGGTATTTTATATCAAAGTGTTAATATATTATGTCTGATGACCTGGTAGGAGTATTTCTTTAGTACTAGTGTCCAAGTTTATTTTCAGTGTAGGTGTGAATGGAAAAGAATTCCCATTTATGAAATAATCATCAGTTGTCTGTCACAGAATTACTGTGACATATCTGAAAATGCCACTGCAAACAAGATACAGTTCCTGTTAAAAAACAAAACCGTAGCAACTGCTTACATCAAATATTTGTATCTGCAGTAGCTGTTTTTATCACTGTAGATTGAGAGTTAGGAGAGTTGTGTTGATTATTACAACTGCTGTTAGCCAAGAGAGAGGTTGGGATTTTGAGAGTGATGATGTTCAGTCTAGAAACCAAAGACAAAACATATTTTGTTGTTGGATGTGGAAATAGTGGAAAACTCAAATTGGTGTGTCAGAAGCCAATGAGATCTTTCCAGGGAATGGATTGAGTGGGGAAAGAATGATTTTAAATGGAAGCAGGGGCAAGAGGTATTATTTCTTCCTTCAACAATAACGATGTTATCTCTTTAATTAAGGCAGTTCTTCTGACCCTTTAGCTTTTATCTCGCTAAAACATGCATAATTTTCATTCTACTTGACCTAAGAGTGAGTACTCGAGCCAAAGGACTGGACAACTGCTGCATGATAAGTTACTGTTGGTAATACACTTTAATTTTAAGCTGGTGCATCCCTGCATCTTATTGAGGCAGTTTTTCACCAAATACCACAGCTCAGGTGTTGAACAACGTCCTTATTTTGGTGTGATTCAGTAGCCTTTGGTGATGGCACAATGCCCTTTGCTGTGCTTTATCCTCCCTGAACTGCTCTAACATGGTTTGAGCTTCAACTAACAAATTGTTTTTCTTTTTTGCAAAAACGTTTCCCTTTATCTGCGCCTGGCTTTCAGCAACAATGTAAATAACTTGACTTTCTTGATCTCTTATCTAATGAACAGCCTGACAGTAGCGATTTTTTGGACAATACAGAAGACATATACTACACTGCAAGATCTAACCTGGTATATTTCATCTTATGCCTTTCTATGTCAGTGTTGGTTTTGTCCTTGTTTTACTTTTTCAGAGCTCGTGCTTTGTCCTGTTGCTGTGCTGGTGTTTTCATCTGTGTAAAAGCCATTGTAATGTAGAAGGGAATTCTTAAAATGTGCAGTACTGCAAGTGTTTAATGCATGTTCATGTTTAGTTGAACCGCTTTAATGGAGGGGGCTCAGTGTTAGGCAGTCATTCTGATTTATTTAACTACTTTACAGTGCGTAACAGTAACTTTTTAGAGAGTGATTTAAAAATAGGAAAGAATGATGTTGGTAGTTTTATTTGATAGTTCCTTTAAATAGTCCCCTGAAAAACTATAAAATGACATAAACTTAAATATCCAAGTTCTCCAGATAGTAGTTAGGTTACAGAATGAATATAAACTCAATACAAGTAACAGATGGTGGGGTCATAAGTGTTTTCAATGGCATTTGGCACCATTTCTGCTCTGATACATTTTCCAAATTTTCTGTTACCACACTGCTAAAAATCTCAGCTGTTAGCACTGCAGTACAAAAGTTACCATAGAAAGTGAGTTTACTCATTTTTTTTTTGCTCTTTAGGCACTGCATAGTTTGAAAACTAATACTTTTGACTCTGACATCTTCCTGTAGCGTGGAAAAAAAAAAGCTTTCTGTGTTAGATGAAGAGCATTGTTTTAGTGGCTTTCTTTGATTTGTGAGCTGCTTAATGCAAGTGTGCTGTGGGGAAAAATGGAAAACTGAGCTGTTTGGGAAAGTCTTGGTTTTTAATTTTTTAGTGTGATGGGTTTTATTTTGGATTTCTGGTTTTGGCTTCACTTGGCTTGATGTGCCTTGTATCTTCCAATGCTGTAATTACTGAGAGCTTTCACTCTGTCTTTTCCATTCTTGGAAGGAATTTCATGTAGATTTGCTTGATAGAAAAATATCTCAAAATAATTTGTGAAACAGAAGCTTAGGTTTCTCTGTATGAGAAATATCTCAGCTGTGCATTTGCTTTAGTTCTGGGGGTACTTTCTTGGTTTTTTGGCTCCAATTTTTTTTCATCTTGGTTTTTATTTTTTCATTTGATGCTTTTCGATGTTGCTTTTGCTGTTGTTTCCTATGATGTTAACCTACAATCTGTGGGTCTGAGGGGCCAGTAACAACATACCTCCCAACTGGACTGTCCTTTCTTCCCTTTGAGAAATGGTTACTTTACTAAAGCTGGTAAAGTACTAATGCTACAATCATGAAAGGACATAGCAGGACCAAAATTATTGCCCTTAAAAAGCTTTTGCTGTATTTAAAAATGCATTCAGAGATAATCTCAAGTATATAATATCTTGAGGAAAAAAATGTGCAACTTCTTCCAGGTTATTTTTTTCTATCACAGGGGTTGGAAGGGACCTCTGGAGATCATGTGGTCCAACCCTCTGCTCCAACAGGTTCCCTACAGCAGGTTGTACAGGAAAGTGTCCCCAGGTGGGTTTTGACTATCTCTGGAGAAAGAGACCTCACAGCCCCTCTGGGCAGCCTGTTCCGCTGCTCTGTCACCCTCACAGTAAATAAGTTTTTCCTCGTGTTTGTATAGAACTTCCTGAGATCCAGTTTTTGCCCATTGCCTCTTGTCGTGTTGCTGGGTACTGCTAAAAGAGCCTGGCTTCTGGGTGCAGGTTATTTATTTATTTATCTATCTATTTATTTTGCATCACTGATGGTGAGATTATAAAGCAATGTATAGAAAATGTGACAGATATAATTTGTTCTGATTTTAAAAAACAAACAAAAAAAACCCTGATTTTTTCTAAAATCAGTTTGTCTCACCAGACTTTAAGAAGGTAAATTGAGGAAATAGAAAAATCTTTTAAAATAAATTTGGAGAATAAAGCTGCTACTTTGAAATTTTATGTTTTGGTGACAGATGGAAGTGCTGATGCTACGGATATGGCTCAACTTGCTGTGTTTGTTAGAGACATTGGTAACAAATGTAATGTCACTGAAGAAATGGCTGCTTTGGTGCCATTAAAAGACACAACTACATCTCTTTATTTGTACAAAGCACTAAAATTGCATGAAAACAATTTTCTTTGACCTTTGTTAACATATCTGTACATATATACAGGCACCCTGGCAATGGTTGGTTAATGAAAAAAAAAAAAAAAGAAAAAAAAATTATAAAATGAATAGAAAACAGTGCAGTTGCTACCAGCAACTCTCTTTTGATGAAATAGCGCTACATTGTATGTCAAGAAGGGTTTGAATCATAGCCAATCCTACGAGTTCGTGAATAGTATGGATGCTGATAATGGGGACATCTTTTACACATCTGAAGGAGGGTGGTAAGTCAGGGTAAAACGTGAA